TAAATACAGGAAGCGAAATTCACCGGGCGTGGTACAGTATTTAAAAGGTGAGGTGCCGCGCGGCTTGTGCCAAGACCTGTGGGGCCGGCTTCCGGCGTTTCTGACCCGGCACCTGACCTGTGTACTCCGCCACGATATGGCGTGCGAAACTCCGTTACGCTTACATGATAAACCGAGGGTGCTGGAAAGGACACGTCAGCAGAACAGGGGTTGAGCGGGGTCACTGGGTGAGCAGTATTGAGGTTCAGGCGATTCAGGTGAGATTCAGGTGAGCCGAGTGAAGGGGGTGAAGACAGGGCGGCGAGGGCGCTAAACCCAACGAATTAAAAAAAGTTGGTGAACTCCAACATACAACAGCCAGGATTCGCTGGTGGTCACCCACCCAACTACTAACCGGCCGGCGTGTGGCTTAAGTACGGCTGAGCGGACGGGAAGCCCTGTTCTCCACACCCTATGGTCGTATGTGCTTGATTCCTACGAAATACTAAAGATAGAGATGTTGTAGATGAATGGCAAAGGCTACTTGAACAACTAAGGCGGACCCAATAGGAGAGGGCTGTTCATCGCGCAAAGCATTCTCCAGGGCGATCGCAAGCAATTAGCACCCATTGGTGTATAAGAATTGCCTAGTTGACCTTGAATTTATTATACTAATAGAGACAATAGGGTATATCTATTAGGGGTTCCTAGTTTTATAGTAAACACTTACTAATACTGCCTGAATATGATAATATATACTGAAATTTCATCATCCGGTTAAGAGGTATATAGACATAGTTTCCCAGGCTGAGGCTGCCCTTATATATAACAATTGAGGGCAATAGCAGTGAATGCTGTCAGAATCTACTACAACCATCAACTACCTAGTTCATTATACCACTACCTTTGATTCGTATTGCACGTGGGCGGGAATAGGAGCGGTGGACACACTTCAAATAGAATTCTCGTTTTTTCGGATTTGTCCCAATGGCTTGCCGTAGTTCTCCAACCGTGGCAGGCTGTGGTTCTAGAATCCAAATCGTATTTGACGGTAGAGCAAGGGGAGAAACTTGGGTCTGAGAAATAAGTTCATTGGACACGTTAATTTCGCTGCTCTTAATCTCGATAACGAAATGGCACCATAAGGTAGACTACAGAAGACAGCAAGCATTATCTAGTTATGTAAGGGGGAGAGCTTCCGAATTTCCTTCCCCCACACAAACCATGCCCGTTCTTGAATTTCTTCTGCCGTCATGCCTGGAATCCTTATGGCGTGCAGATCGTCGCATCTGACATATTCCTCTTCCGTGGCCAGAGTATTTGTTTGCGCTGTCGGGAAGAACGAAGTAGGAGCTTCATATTCGAAAACCGCCACAAATTTCCCTGTTGAAACCACTTTCTCCTCGGTGGAAAATCCTAATGCCCCAAAATCGATTCCTGGTGGGCACGCGGTCCAGGTGTGTGGTACGCCAGCCCCTATTAACACCAAGGTATGAGGTGGAATTACGTAGAATTCGCCCCCAAGCTCGGCTACTGCCACCCCCTCCATAACCATGATCTTCTCAACGACATATCGATGGCCTTTGCCTGCAGGGTCTGGCGCCATATGCACATGACGCGGCATTCGCGTCTTTGTGTCGAAAGGTAATAATCCTTGAGGTCCGCAAAAACAAGGCGTAGACGGGTCGTTGACATGGCCTCCGCTGAAGGTTTGGAGTCGGCCCGGAATGCCCAAAGCCGGAGGGAAGGCGTCTCTGGTGGCGGCTCCGGTGCCGTGCACTATACGGGTTCCATTGGGGAGCAGAAATCCGAATTCGACAGACGACATGACGGGACGGCGAACTCTCGGATTGTTGGGGAAATCAGTAATAATGACGGTCGGTATGTTCTGTACGGATGGTGACAAAGATTGGCCGTCTTATCTTATACCAGAAAAGTAGCCAAATAGCCGCGGGACCGTGGCTTGATTTGTTGATGACGTGGCTGCGCAACACCCATGGAATACAAGAATATGCTAAGCTACTGAATGGATGCTGAATTTGAGAGCTTGATCAAAAGATATCGCTAAATATCTCTGGGCTAGCTGTGGCGTACGGTAGAGTACGTAGAACTTCAAAAACAAGTGTTTCTTGCATGCTACCTAGGATAAGGGACGGTTTGGCTTCAACAGGAAGCAAACCGGCCGGAACGTCCCAACTACCACAGGGCTTAGCCTCATTCTCTTAAAACGGTACAGATTCACCAAGCACATGGTGAAACCCATCAAGCCTGCAAATTGCCAAGAGTGACACTCTTAATGTTCTGGTACTCTTGCAAGCCATACTTGCTGCCTTCTCTCCCCAATCCACTCTCTTTGATGCCGCCGAAAGGCGACTCTGCAGCGCTGATAAGTCCTGTGTTCACGCCAACCATACCACACTCAAGTCGGCGCGCCACTCTCATAACACGCCCAACATTCTCACTAAAGAAGTATCCAGCTAGACCGAATTCAGTAGCATTGGCCAAGTCCACTGCCTCCTGTTCACTTTTGAAGCTGAAGATAGCCGCTAGCGGCCCAAAAGTCTCCTCATAAGCGACAGTCATGTCAGGCGTTACGCCACTGATGACCGTCGGCTCATAAAAGAATCCCGACAAGTTACTTGGTGACTTGCCCCCAGTGTGCAAAATTGCCCCTTTGGCAATTGCATCCTGAACATGCTCCGCGACTTTCTTGACAGCGGCGGCGTTGACTAAGGGTCCTTGTGTAGTGTCGATGTCTATACCTCTTCCAAGCTTGAGGGTTCGAACCTTCTGGATAAGCTTTGCGATAAACGCTTCCTGTACATTTTCGTGGACAAGGATGCGGTTTGCGCACTTTGGGGACAGTTAGCAAAGGAATTTCAAAAGAATGAAATAGAGACAATAAGGCAAATTACCACGCAAGTCTGGCCCGACGAACGAAATTTGCAGACCATTACTCCCGCAACTGCTTGGTCCAGATTCGCATCTTCAAATACAATGAACGGAGCATTGCCTCCGAGTTCCATGCTGACCCGTTTCATTGTTTGAGCGGCTAGCGTCGTCAGTGTTTTACCAACCCCAGTCGAGCCAGTGAAGCTGAGTTTCTTGACTTTGGCATTTGCCGCTAACTCCGAGGCTGCTTGCCGGTCGCTCGTGGGAACAATGTGGATGCAGTCAGCTGGAATACCCGCAGCTATAGCCAGTTTGCCCAAGGCAAGTGCGCTGAAAGGAGTCTCTCGAGGAGGTTTGATAACCACTGAACAACCTGCAGCCAGGGCGGGGGCGATCTTTCGAGTAATCATGGCAGCAGGGAAATTCCAAGGAGTGATAATACCACACACTCCCACCGGTTCTTTCAAGGTGAAAACCTCTGTGTACGCGTAAGATGAAGGGATGGTGTCTCCGTATGCGCGAGTCGCTTCTTCGGCAAACCAGGAAACGAACGAGGCAGCATAGTTGATTTCTCCTCCTGCCTCGGCGATTGTCTTCCCGTTCTCTAGGGAAAGGATTCTGGCCACTGTGTGGAAGTGCGGAGGTATTAGGCTTGATTCACCTGAAATATAAGAGCGGAGAGGAGGAGGAGGAGGATGGTTAACTTACAGTCGTCTGCATTGTCAAGCATTAGGTGGTAGAACTTTTTCAAGAATAGCCCTCGTTCCCTTGCGGTGGTAGTCTCATAGTACGTGACATATCCTTTATCGGCGGCCTCGATGGCCGCTATGATATGTTCCTTTGACAGGTCTGCACAATGGGCAAGCACTGTTGCACTTGATGGCTCTATCACAGGGAATGTCTTGCCTTCAGCCCCCTTTATTTCTTGACCATTGATCAATCCTGATGTCACTAGCAATGCTGGATTTTTGAGATCCAACAGTTCAGCAGCTGGCGCGGTGACCTGCTGGGTTGATTCCATACTGGAATGTCCTGCAGCTGCAAAAGCGTTTAGTTGTATATTAGATAAATTTAGTCTTTAAAAAAGGAGGGCCTTAGTTACCTGGGCAGACTGGTCCTAAAATGCTGACGTTCCAACTAGTATCTGTCGCAAATGATTCCACATGGACGATGGTCGTTTTATGATTGATCCCGCTCATCAACCCGCGTTCCTTAAAAGACAATATGAAGCTGAGCAACAGTTAATTTGATAGCATAAACCTAGGCAGATTATTCATGGTCGTAGACCTACCGTGCCCCAGATCCTGCGCTACTCGTCAATTGAGGTCCCGCGGATCTTTGGAAGTTGTATCCGTGGCTTTATGCAGTTCGCTACAACCGAAAGGGAAAAAAAAAAATCCTCGGCGTACAGTCCTGGCATGATCCAGATACTAGGAAGGATTATTGCAGAGCATTCGAGCTTGTAGCTATATAATACTATGTCGAACCAGCTCAGCTCATTAGGTATACTTCAGAAATAGACTCGTCAACTGAAACGAAGCCGTAAAATGCAAGCTGTCGTATTCAAAGGACCCTTGCAAGTCGCAGTGGAGCAACGGCCAATCCCAGTGATCCAAGATGAGACGGATGTAATCCTTAAGGTGCGGTACACGGCGCTGTGTGGTAGGTAAGTCGCTAAGCTCATTGCCTTTCCTTGCACTCCATTGTGCTAACAGCCATCCTAGCGAACTCCATGTATATCGAGGACACCAGCCCGCAGGCTCAGGGTTTATTATGGGCCACGAGTTTACAGGCACGGTGTTTGAATTGGGCTCTGGAGTTCAGCATTTCAAGAAAGGCGACCATGTTGTGGCACCCTTTACTGTGAATTGCGGGACGTGTTTTTACTGCCGCTTGGAGATAAGTTCACGTTGTGTCAACTCCAAGCTATTTGGGTCCCCTCTTCTTGATGGTGGTCAAGCTGAATATGTGCGCGTACCGATGGCAGATGCCAGCTTGATCCAGGCTCCGAAGGAGATTGACGAGAAGAAGCTCGTCTTCATGGCAGACATTTTCCCAACAGGATATTTTGCAGCCTCCAATGCGTTCAAAGGGCTGGACAAACCTGCAGTTGAGGGATGCACTGTTCTTCTTCTCGGCTGTGGGCCTGTTGGTCTATTTGCTCTTATGAGTGCTCTGGAATATCGCCCGAAACATCTGCTTGCCGTGGATAAGGTCGCCTCACGTCTACAACGTGCGAAGGAGCTTGGTGCCGAGGCGTGGAACTTTGAGACTGATAGAGAAGGTCTCGAAAGAAGAGTCAAGGACCTAACTGATGGGCGAGGCGCTGATATCGTCATTGAGGTTGTCGGCCACGCTGATGCTCTGAGGCTCGGCTTCGATCTACTTCGACCCTTTGGCCGCATCTCCAGCGTCGGGGTACACAACGAGCCAGTTCCATGGACAGGCTTTGAAGCGTATTCCAAGAATCTTTCCATTCAGATGGGTAGATGCCCCGCTCGAAGTGTGTATGCCCGGTATTTGCCCTTCTGCGTCAAATCTAACATAGTCGGATTTAGGCATGTTCAAGGAGGCTGTGAAGTTGTTTGCGCGGAAACAGGATTCTTGCAGTTTCATGGTTGCAGATGTTCGGCCGCTATCCCAAGCTCCTCAGAGGTGAGCACTCTCTCTCTCTTCACGCAAAGACAGCTGGTCGCTAACAATTTTCAGTTACGATGATTTCAACCGTATGAGGTCACAGAAGATCATTTTCGAGGCCGATAAGTAGCTTTGAGAGTAAGAATGAGGGCATTAGATGATATGTTTGCGATAAAAAGATTGCGTATACAGAAAATTCCAATGTTACTCGGCCAGCCCGAAACTCACAGAGGATATAGACGGTCTCAATCTTCAAAGCGCCAGCACGTAACTTAGTAAATTTTTCCTCGTACACAAGAATACGTGGAATTCTAACGTTAGCTAAGCAAGTAACTACGTGTAAGCAAGCGTTTCTATATGTTATAATAAAGTTCCAGTAGATGCTATTCTAGGTCTCAGCTCTGCGACGACTCACGTAAGAACGATGCCTCCATCCACCAGCATAGTTTGCCCAGTCACGTAGTCTGAATCTTCACTTGCGAGAAACCCACCCACTAGTCCAGCGACATCATCCGGAATACTTGTCCTCCCAAGCGCAATACTCTTGCTATAATGTTTGAGACTCTCGCCAGGAGCCCGACCCTCAATCTGGCCAAGCATCTCATCCACTTTGGTCCACATGGATGTTCCCACTATTCCCGGGGCGTATGCATTGACGGTAATTTTATGTGAAGCCAATTCCAGAGCCATAGCCTGAGTGAGCCCACGAACTGCGAACTTGGTGGCAGAGTACAAACCCAGCGCCGCAAACGCTCTGAATCCGGCGATAGAAGAGGCCCCAACAATCTTGTACTTTTGCCGTCCAAATACTTCCTCCGGGTCACCTTGCGCAATCATTTGGCGGGCTGCCTCCGTGTAACAGTTAAAGACTCCCTTGAAGTTGCAAGAGAATACGTCCGCAACGTCATCCTCTGTAGAGGACAGCAAAGGCTTCACTGGTGCCTTCCCGGCATTGGAAACCATGAGGTGTAGTGGACCCAAAGTGGAAACTGTTTTCGATATCATAGACACTACATCGCTTCGCGAAGTCACATCTCCAGGTATGGCTATCGCTCGAATCGCTTCTGCACCAGATTTTTCAACCGGGCTCCTACCCCCAACTGCAGTGCTATTGAGCTCATTCACGAATTGTTCGATCTCCGCTGTCGAGCTTGGAACGTCATTAATAGCAACGCGGTAGCCATCCCGAGCCAGGCGAAGCGCTATGGAACGACCGCTAATGAATAATGTCAGTCATGCAGTTATTATCATCGGATCCAGAGGCCAACACACATTCCCCGCGCCGCGCCGGTCACAATCGCAGTTAGAGGCGAAGCCATGGTTCACGTCAACTCAGGAGTATCTCTGATTCAATGGGCACCACCTAATCTAGTGCTCGGTTCTGCGTGGATTTATCTCTCCAGAAGGCCTGTATTGATTCTACGGTGTAAGTAGCCGGCCACTTCCACGCAATTGACTACAAGCCGCGGGAAACTAAAGCTAGACGAAAGCATACTTTTTTTTTTTCTCCAATTTCCGAGCTGATTGTATGTGTGGAAACCCAGCTTTACCCCGCAAATTCTGCTTTCCGGGGGAGCTCTTGGACAAAGTAGCCGCGGGACAGAGCTTACATAGCTTCCCACCCTCAACTAACCCCGGAACATCATCCAATGCTGAGGTTCTATCGACGTTCCCGCACTGGTTAGAGATCACTACCCTCTTGCTGAGCATTTAAATATTTACCCAGTGGAGTAATTTTGCAATGCCCACCGCACCATTCGCTGACCACTCCGGATCTGGAGGATTTTGCACATACGAAAGCATGTTTTCTTCTGCGAACGTTCGCTATTCTAGCTGTTAATTACGCAAATCAATGACCATACGGTTTCCTAAGCGTGACAGATTATCTTTCCTATCTCATCAATGGTTCCCTGATAACGGCTGAGAGGTAGAACCAACCAGCTGATGTTGTCAGCATTCAGGGTCGAAGATATTACTTAGGTTATGTGTCCTTTTAGCACGAAGTTTAACAACATGATGGTAAACTGAACCTGAAGCAAAATGAGGCGTTTATAATGCCTTCCCCCCTTCCCTATAGTCAGTGATGGAACACTGAATTCAAAATTTCATCTCATTGACCAGATTCGAGATAATACATACTCGGCCACCACGACTGAATTGAAGTAACCCGCAATCACGATTTCAGTTCCTTCAGTACTACCCAACCTAGTATGACTTTCTCCGTCCTGCCCGGTCTGCGCCTTCAAGGCCGCATCCTCTCTATCGGTATCACCGTTGCCTGCGGCCTGGCATTCATGTTGTTTGGGTACGACCAAGGTGTTTTCGGCGGTATACTGTCCAACCCATCGTTTCAGGAACAGTTCGATCATCCAGATGCTACAGTTGAAGGACAGATTGTTTCTTCGTATGTGCTTGGATGCGTGATTGGGGCCTTTATGTCCATGTTTCTTGGTGATCGCCTTGGCAGACGGAAATCAATCGGCCTTGCCTGTGCTTTACTCACAGTCGGTGGTGTTCTCCAAGCAACCGCCTTTACGCTCCCCCATATGATCGTCGGCCGCATTGTGTCCGGCATCGGAATTGGTATGAATACTACTACTGTTCCAATCTGGCAGAGCGAGACCTGCGATCCAAAGCACCGTGGGATCCTGATGTCAATCCAACTTACCCTCCTTGTCTTTGGCTTCGTGGTTGCCAACTGGGTAAACTTCGCCTTTACGTATATCCCTGATCAGCCGGTCGCTTGGAGGTTCCCACTGGCGTTCCAATCAGTGCTGTCAGTTCTTACCCTTGCAATTGTGCCATTCATGGTTGAATCTCCTCGCTGGCTTTGCTTGCGTGGGCGTGACGATGAAGCGCGGGATGTGCTGGCTCGCCTTGCAGTGAAGCCCTCAATGGACGACGTCTTGCAAGAGCTCCGAACCATCCAAGAGATCATAAGTCACGAGAACGAATCTCAAATCTCCGGATGGCGACACATTTTCACCAATGGTCCACAACAGAACTTTCGTCGAATCGCGCTAGGAGCGGGCGCAAATTTCATGCAACAGTTCGGGGGCATCAACGTGGTCGCGTACTATCTGCCGGTTGTCCTCAAGCGGTCTTTCGGATTCAGCGACCGTATGTCCTTAATATTGTCGGCCGTGGACTCCATGCAATGGATGTTCTGGGCGGGGATGGCATCGTTTGTGATTGACAAGGTCGGGCGCCGACGACTACTGATCTTTGGCTCAGCGGGCCAATCTCTCTGTTTTGCTATGGCGGCCCTGGGACTGGGAATTGACACAAAGGCTCTTAACGGTGTTGCAGTCGCCTTTATCTTCCTCTACTATTTTTTCTTCGTAAGTCCTCTGGGTGTCCTTGCCGGGTTGCCTCCCATCCGCAAACATTGTGCAGTGCTAACGTGAAAGCAATAGGGGTTGTCTTTTCTTGTCATCCCTTTCATGTACCCTTCCGAGATTAACTCGCATCACACACGGAATCTGGGAAGCGCTATTGCCATGGTTACGAATTGGCTGGGTGTCTATGTGATTGTCTCTGTGACTCCAACAGGTATATGAGACCCGTCCACTGCGACTGTAATTTTCTTAATAATAACTTTGCGACCAGCCATTGAAAACATTGGATGGAAATATTACCTCGTCTTCGCCATCACGAACTTTGCCTTTTGCCCCATATGCTGGCTTTTTTACGTGGAGACCTCGGGCCTGTCTCTGGAAGAAGTCGACAGGCTCTTCGAGATCAAATACCACGGTGGCAGGAACATGACCTACAGGGACGCCGCTCGGAAGGCCAAAGAGGTTATACACGTGGAAAATGTGGACAGTGTGTACGGTGCGAAGAAGGTGGATGCTGGAGAGATTTGACGTTGACGAAAGAAGTGTTTTGATATATTTCGTGAGATTCGTAGATAGGAGCTACTGTCATGTTCGATTGGCTGAACTTTGACAGCTTAGGTATATTAGAAACAGGTAGTATAAGAAATCATTACTTGCTTGTCTGTCAAATTTCTATTGTCCTTAAGGATGATCAATTTTACTGGTGATACGCAAATATCGGGGCAATTGAGATCTATTAACAATTTCTACATTCTGTTAACTCGTTCTGGAGACATACAGCCAAAAATTATTGAGAGTGGCCGGTAGCTACTATGTCGGTATCAGTATTTCCTACTTCTATTTCCCTCTTTCTTTCAAATCTCTGCCAACTTCTGTGTCCTGTTTTTTGAGGTACATCATGAAAATGAGGGCCATATTAACTTCCGGTTCTTGGAGTTATCACGGTCACAGTATATTGGTGGTATAGGTTATATGTTGTAAGCGCGGCTTTATGTTAAACCTTGAGTAGATGCGGGGGAGGGGGTACGAAAAGTCCATAGATAACTTTCAGGGTGGGGGCACCCAGCAGCCATAATGATATATTTACCGTATGGCTTCCCTCATTTTCGCCTTACTTTCTGACAGGGGAGAAAAAAAAAAAAAAAAAACAAAATTCACTCTTGTATCGCAAAACCACAACCATCAGACACGCTATGACTCGAGACACCATGCTGGCACTCCGTTTACACGGACGGCAGGATATTAGACTTGACACTGTTCCCATTCCGTAAATACACATCTAGCCTCTTATCCTAGGAGCATCCGCTTACAGTTAGATGCAGGGATTGCCTTTCCGACCAAGTCCGAGTGCGCGTGGCTTACTGCGGAATCTGCGGCTCAGATATACACGAGTGTCAGGCAGGGCCTATCCTCGCCCCTCAACCCCAGGAGACAAATCCTCACTCTGGCGCAAAGCTTCCAGTAATCCTTGGACATGAAATATCCGGCACGGTTGTTGAAGTCGGGGCAGACGTCGAGGGGATCCGCATTGGGCAGAAAGTAGTAGTGAACCCTTTGCTGGCAGATCCGCAGATTCAAGCTGCGGCATGCACTTCTTGCCTACGCGGGCGCTTTAATACTTGCAAACGGGCCACATATTATGGAATCAACGCGCCTGGTGGTGGTTTCTCCGGAGAAATTTCTGTCAATGCAGCCAATATCGTTCCCGTTCCTGATAACGTCTCGCTAAGGGCCGCTGCTCTCGCAGAACCCTTGGCTGTAGCCTGCCATATGATCGAAAGGTCAGGTTTTGCCGCTGGTGACAATATCTTGATCCTTGGCGCGGGACCAATTGGGTTGGGTCTACTCATACTTTTGCGATCGAAAGGGGCGAAGAAGATATTAATAAGTGAGGTGTCCGATCTGCGAATTGACCAAGCCAAGCGCCTTGGAGCGGATATTGTCATAAACCCTGTGCAGGAAAGCCAGGTGTCTGACCCCGTACTAAGGGCAGTTCATGAGTTGACAGACGAGGGGGTCGACATCGCTTTTGACGCGTCTGGCCTCCAGGCTACTCTTGACACCGCCATCGCGTCAGTCAGGCCAGGAGGAACCATTTTCAACGTTGCAATCCATGAGAAGCCACTAAGTCTCAATCTTAATGCTTTGTCTCTCCAAGAAAAACATTTAACTGGCGGTATTTGCTACTTGAGAAAGGACTTTGAAGAGGTTCTGTCTCTCCAGTCGTCTGGAAGACTTCCAGCAGAGGAGATGATTACGTCCGTCGTGCCACTTTCGAACATCATTGAGGGAGGATTTCAGGAACTGATTGTCAATAAAACTAAGCATGTTAAAATGCTCATCCAGCCTGACATTTAACCAATAATGGTATGGTGCAATATTGATCTACACTGGTGTAACGAGCTATTAACTCAATCAATGGAAAGTTGTATATATTTGCGCCATAGGTTGGTTTCAACGTGGTCCTAATCCTGTATAAAACTGTAAGATAGTCATCATCACCAAAACGCGATTTCTGGCAAACAGTACTGGCTTTCTGTTTGAGATTTCCCGGAGCATTGGCAGGATAACGGCCGCGTTGAATCACAATACTTAGCTGACAGGGGGGCTAATGGATCGCACGTCGAGTACGAGTCTTGCCGAGGAGGTCCATCTTGCAAAGGCTAAGATAAAAAAATCCACCAAATAGACTCTTGGTCTAACGTGGTGGCAATCTGTCTTAGCAGTATTTGCAGGGGGGCTCGTTCTGGGTACTGTTCTAGCTGTCAACGGGATTGCTGGAGCCCATCTTCACACTCCTTTGCCCATCACTTCCCGGGCTTCCTTCGGTTACTATTTCAGCTATGTCCCTTTAGGATCCTGCATGATCATCGGGTGGTTCTGGTTTTCCATCAAAACCTTTCAGGGAGGCATCGGTTTTGGGCAGATCATCACGGCAATCTGGCCCCACTACGCCCATTTCCCCAAGTAAGCTATCTACTTTCCCTTTCTTACCTTCATCACTGCATCCTAGCAAAGTTGATACGCTGTTGAATGCGTCGCCGACTTTCCTCCAGAGCTCTTGCCGGTGTATCTTTAATTGTGAGCAGTCTACCAAGACAAGGACCGCATGCACACTGATCGTCATCTCGAAACCCGTAGGTCTTGGCATAACTTTATGTTGATAACTAGGAGTGGCCCACTCGCATTTGTGTCAGCAGGAAGGCCCGGTTTCTTGGTCCTGAACTATACAGCAGCCTCGTGTAGGCGGCAGGTGTTGGAGTATCAATCTTGCGAAGATGACTCCTTTTTTTATATGTCTTCCATTCCTGCTCCCACTGTGAACGGATGCAGTTACGAATAAATGCCTTCTCCCTTGATAGAAGAGGTTGAAATGGATGCAGCTTGCCTGGAATTACAGCTTCCTTGGCCAGCCGATCCGCTGCATCGTGTCCTGGGTCATCACAGTGCCGGGTATCCACTGGAGGCGGAGTATGACCCCTCTCACTCTGGCTTCGGTGGCTCTTCATCGATATTATAGTCCAAAATCGATGTCCTTCGTTTCATAGGGCCTACCTAACAACTTATAATGGAGCGTCCAGTGAAAATGTAAAACATGCCACAGATTTGGTCCCAAGTTACTGTGTTGATCAGCAACAAAGTACGCGGAACAAGTTGTTTGAAAACCAAACTTCCTCCGACTATATTGGTAGTAAAGTAAGACGATATACCAAATATATAAAAGGAAGTCATTGGAACGCGACAAAGGCTGCCCAGATCAAGACATTTGATGAAATCAATCGCAGTTTGTCCAACGTCGGTGAACAAACTTCTCCTAGAGGCAGGTTCTTAAGAGCAACATCACTCTTCAGAGGACACTTAGTATGGCCAATGTAGCTACACACCTTTAGAACCCAAAGTCCACCTCCACATACCCATTAACACGCTCTATGTTAGCTGAAAATATAAGGCTATCTCAATCAAAACCCCCCCTGGCAACATATGTCTGCCGGACATGGGGCCTGCCAAAGATCAGTCCGACAAAAACACGACGACTTCACAGGGACATCAGCTATCGCAAGAGCCACCTTCAACAGCGGCTCGATTACCCGTGCTTCGGTCGACCGACCTAAGCGCATCAAACACTCATAGTACCCTTGCAAAGCCCACACATTATTCGGGTGCTGGCGAGCACGAATCACAGTGCCATCAAGTCCTAGATCAGCGCGGTACACATCTACCGCATCCTCGACGTGACCCTGCTCTAGCAAGAGAGCAGCGTAAGCATGACGGGCTGGTTGCATCCAACTCCACGGCTCACTATATCCTAACCCATCATCCAACTCAATAGACCGGCGAAGGTGCTCAAATGCCTGGTGGTAGTTTCCGCGTCGGTACTCGATCTCGCCATCCAGCATGGCGGACGCCACACCCAGAATGTCGACGCATTTATTCGGGTAATCCAGCCGTGACTCTGGGACGCGCTTTGCTGCCTCGCGATACAAGTCTCGCTGGCACTCAGCGTCGGCAATTTTCTCACTTGCGGCATACGCGACGCCCTTAGCGTAATATGCGAGAGCCGTAGTGACACAGAATAGGTCTGTGTCGTCGGGGAGTGGGCGCTGGATAATCTCGTTCCACATGCCAAAACGGACCATAACGTGCCAGCGCACGGACATGAACACTTCGAGAATGTCAGCAATTCCGTTAAGGAGCTCCTTTGGAAGGGTAGCTTCCAGGCGGTCAACAGCGGTGAGTGAAACCGCTTTTTGGCCGGCAAACATCGCTGCATAAATGAGCGAGTGGTAGTTGTGCATACGGTAAATTGTATAGAAGTTGAATGTGCCCTCGTGCCCTATGAACTTCTCGTCTGCACTGGTAGCATGTTGGTTAGCGCGGATGGCAGCTCGATAATCCCCGACTAATATATCCAGATGGGAAGCATATGGCGCAGGTGCCCGGAATCTGGAATCAGGTCTCGCAGGTGTTCGGCCGGAATGAGGCCAAGCTCTGGAGTGTGAGACATCTCTATGAGATGAATATACATATGCAGAACACCAGGATGCTCATAAGCATCTTTGTGCTTCAGGGCTGTTTCCAGCACCTTTTTGGCATCTAGGGTACGTGTCCCCGGATTAGGCTCGCCAGTCACCAGATTCCAGAGCTTCCAAGGAGTCAGGTTGATCAGTGACTCCGCGTATAACGCCGCAACGTCTAGATCGTCTCCAAAATCGCGATAGACCATTTCCATGGCGTCCGCATAAGCTTGATTCTGGATTCTGTACTGTCCCATACTGGCAGGCTGATCGCTTTTTTAGCGATCTTGGATGGCGGATATAAGAGCCTGTTCCATCGGCGTCGCATTAGCGGCAAGAGACTGTGCCTTTTGCGCGGCGTGATAGGTGCGTTGCACGACAATGTTGAGATCGGCACCAAGCAATTCCCAGGGCTGATTGTAATTGGGGCCCAGGGCATACGCTAGGCCCCAGTAGGCCATGGCGCAGGATTCATCGTGTGTAATGGCCTGCTCAAAGCATACCGCTGATTCCTTGTGGTTAAAGCCGTAGGCCCAAATCAGACCGCGATTGAACCAGACCTGGGCATCAGGGTTGCAGGTTGTGATGCGTCGTCCGAACTTGCCTAAATCGAAGGCGTAGTCCGTTCTCTTAGGGATGGTGACGGTATATGTCATGCTGAGCGCAAGTGTTAAAGGATGCGGATTGCGGGGTTCGTGAGAATGTACGATACGAGAGTAAGGATGACATTTATACGCACATCACTTGGGCTATTTAAGCTCCACCCTTCGGTGGCCCTCGCCAACAAAGACCTGCCTCGAAACGCTGTCCGAAGCCGGCCCCGGTCCGGGACCGAGTTTAGTCCACCACCAAGATTTTGGAGGCTTCAACCGAAATGATTGCTATCTCGACACTGAAAGCCTTCAGATTGCTCAATACCCGTAGGAATAACCACGCTCTATCTTTCCATGTGTCCACCGATTTGGAAAGTATTATACGTCTCGGGTTAGGGGTGTTATGGGGTAACGCAGAATTCGTACGCCTTATTAAGATTACCGCTAGTCGCAGAGAAATGCAAAGAACTTAATTCATCGTTCTGATGAAGAATGTAGCTTAGTTTATAAGCGTTCAATCTACCCCTTTTTCCACCCCTTCATCCGATTGGCCCGAATGATCATTTTGGATACAGATAATTCAGGTTGCAGGTGCTCCTGCATCCATATATACTAGCAAGCGCGGTCACTGGAGGCCTGTAAATTACGGTCGGCTCAGGGCGACAGATATCTAGTAGTCAATTTACGCAGATAGTTTAAGGATCCAGACTCTCATGCATGAAGTAGAATCTCTTTGGCAGATTTTGGTGGATGGGGGGGCGGCGATTAATTACCAGTAGGCTATGACAATATAGATGACTGGAGGCTTTCTCTCTGATAATCTTGAACATCGTCTTGGACAAGTAGAACTCCATTTAGTTTCCCCATCATTGGGAAGTGTAAGTTATAGCTATTGACTAATTGACTGTAATCACGTATGGAAAGAATCCAACCAGCTCATTGACGAGAACCCCGAGGTCACGCAGTGCCGATATCGCCCTCGAATTTGCCTTCTAATACCGCAGCCGGAGTGAGCGAGGTCTGATATGATTTGAACTTGCGAGATGGAACACGGGCTTGAAACATCTCCTCCAGCTCGTCAAAGCTGCGGCCCCTAGTCTCTGGTAGACAGAAAAACAGATAGAAGCACATGGGAACAGAGGGAGCAAAGAAAACAAACGCAATTTTCCCACCCAGGTTAGCTTTGTCTGAGTTAATCAGGATCGGCATGAGTTGGTACACCACCGTGGATGATATTGTCGTGGCCACCATGTTGAGGGCGTAGGTCTTCTGGCGCACAGCAGGGCTTGGGATTTCACCTCCAATAGCGTATGCACATGCTCCCAGAGTCGCTTGGTACTGCAACCAGGTTTTCAGTAGTCAGTCTCGGCAGATTGCAATGCGGTTTCCGGGAGAGAGTCTTACCAGGAAGCCCCAAACAGTCATGAGTGCCACGGTGACTTTGAGTGCTGTGGGAGTATTCAGGATGTTTATGCCACCGATGACGGGCAACATGGTTGTCATCATGATGCAGCCGCCCACGATGAGTCGGCGCCGGCCAACACGCTCAATCAGGGGCCATGAGCACATATTGCCAAAGACCTGGATTGTATATGATTGCTGAGCAATGGCAACAGGGTGATTCACTCCCGCCAGCGCATAGTAGTAGCTACAACTGAATTAGTCAACTGCAAAGAAGGTTGGGTATTGTTCATCCTACGCGAGATAACCAGCAATGAAGTTAACTCCAATCAGCTGCTGGGCCAGGTAGGTCATGACAACAATTGTCGTCCTTCGTAGATTGGGCTGCTGGAAGCGCTCGATCCAAGAGTGATTACCACTTGTATTCTCCTTCTCGACCACAATGGCTGCCAAAGTGTGATTAAGGGCGGGTCCGCTGTCGAAGTGCGGACCGTTAAATCGTTGAAACGCCTTTCGGGCTTCGTCATGACGGTCCTTTATGAGGAACCAGGTTGGCGACTCGGGGAGAATTGTTCTTGCCGCTAAGAAGACAATACCTGGTGGATCTGACAGATTAGTGGAACTCGCCATGCATCTGCATCAGACCGAAAGGTCGACCCGTATACCGTCAAGGAGGCCAGCCATTGCCCGCCAACTATCATCGTGTTCTATGCCCGTGATGGTCAGCGGTGAGCTATGAATCACCGAAATGCTGTCAACAAGAGCGTACTCACAATGAGCGCAAGGCAGATTCCTCTCAATGAGCTCGGTGCCAGCTCTGATACAAAGACTGGTGCTACAGAATGACCAATCCCAAACCCCAGGGTTGCGACAACTTTCCCACCAAAAAGCATCAAGATGCTTGTAGCATAGTATTGGACCATAACACCAGCACAACAGATAATACTGCCAATCATGATGGCCTTTTTCCGACCATAGGCATCGGACAGGAAGCCTGTGATGATTGCAGCACAGAACACCCCAACAGACAATGCACCATTGAGAATCTGCTGATCCCGAGCGCTCAGAACCCAAGTTCCATTGACCTGGTGTCCGAATCGTACGAGGAACTGGGGCATAGCCAGGAGATTACCGACGATGGCATTCTCGTAACCAAAGTTCATGGGCAGGAGGAATATGAGAAGGCCTATTGAACAGAATCGTCAGCTGCGGTCATTGTATGATGGACCATCCACATCTTTGACAGCCGTCTGGGGTAGGGGCTATACTAACACCATAAAAGAACTCTCCAATGCTTTAAAACCTCCCTCCAGAGTGCCTCCGCTGGCTGTTCCTGTTGCACATTCTCCTCATGGTCGAGAGTGATCTCCGTTTCGTCTTGCTCCTTTCGCTGGTCTGCCATGTCAAGAATCCGGATGGTGATTTCTGGTTACTTTTGCGAGTCAATCCTGGGGAAGAATACTGCGTTATTTGTAGTCCTGGGGCGTGCCTTCTTACACTAGTTATCATCTGTACCCCACAATATGCTTCCCCGTCTTTTGCAGGGGGGAACCCTAGAGTGCCGAGTTCCTTACCCGATTACGCCGCATATTTTATCCAAATCTGATGACGGCTGGACGGAGGGACACCCGGGGCCTCAAGGAACGAATAACCAAAAGGTAGAGAGGACCAGGGCGTTCTTGGGAGACAGCTCGGCATTTGGGAAGGCAACAACCTCTAGGCAAAGAATAACGAATGATAGGCTCAGCTAAGTACACTATGCAGTGATAGGTCGGACTTCGAGGATGCCACTTTGTAGGCTTCAATGATACAATTGTTAGTCTCTCGTACATTATAGCACTAGACCCGAGAAATATCTATATTGAACTCCAGCCTCATCCGTATCTGACGGTAGTGTATGGCTACAGATCTATTAGCGAACTAGAATATGGGATCAGGTTGTGGAGGTCGGTCCATGGTTAGTAGAATCCATAAATATTGTCACCCACAGGATGGATGTTAATGACTCGGGGTGAGAGAAGATGTGTATTGCAGCACTATTCGGGCCGCGGGTTAATGGTTCAAGAGACAATGGCTGCCCATAGTCATGGTTGTTATAAGAGCAACTGTCTGAGTCGGTGTATAACCCAGGCGGCTGTATGGGGTCACGGTGAACGGCTATTTGCTCAGCCAGCGGCCCCGTCGATAGAAATCTCCGCGGCCAAAGTTTTCAAAAGGACCGTGCCAATGAGTATGGCTTCCCAATTTTGACGCAAATTGAGCTCCATTTCGTGGCTGGGTGCTTATCAATAGTTGCCTGACGGCATCTCCGGACCTATTATGGAATCTGGCATGGTTCGTTTCTTGCCGTCAACTTCATCCGAGGTCTCACAACAGGGATAGTCGTCGGAGTCCATCTATAGACTCTATAACTTAAGTAGATGGAGGCCTGAGCACTCCTACCAGATTTGTTCAGACTGAGTCCTTATCGTACCGCCGCTCGGTGTAGCAGTTGCCGCCTCCAAAGTGATGTCAACGCCTCAATCAGTGCAGGCTGGCGTGCAGACCAGCAGCATCGACGTTAGAATCAGTGACAAGTCAGAGTTCCATGGCTTTGTCTCGACACTCAGGGTAGCCCATTTTCTTGGTGTTCAGTTCGCAAGGATTCCCGCTCGCTTCCGCCAGGCTGAGCTGGTGCACCCCGCTGGTCATGATGGTAGTGTTGATACAACCAAGTATGGACCAATCTCTCCTCAACCACCTGATAACTCTCGCGAGTTCCGGCAACACCTCTTCGCTGGTGCACCGGCCGCGAATCTGAAGCAGTCGGAGTTTGATTGCCTGCGCTTGAATATCTACACGCCTCAGGTGGTGATTTCATCTGGAGAGAAAGTCCCTGTTCTTGTATGGATTCATGGAGGTGGATGGGCAATCGAAAACGGTAACGCTGACTTTTGTGAGTCGATAGCCTGTACGCTATGTTACCCCCAGTTCTCGACTAATGGAGGGCGTTAGCTGGCGACTTCTTGGTGCGGCACTCAGTTGAGAACAAAAAGCCCATCGTGTTTGTCTCCATCAACTATCGGTTAGGGCTCTTGGGCTTCCTATCCTCGTCAGAGCTCTCGGAAGAGGCAGATCGGTATGGAGAAGTTGGGTGGGCGAACCAGGGTCTCCACGACCAACGTCTTGCACTTCAGTGGGTTCGTCAGCTGTTTCATGAGGTCCACCACGCTATGCAGTTCCCATGCTGACCATCATCTACAGGTCCGAAATTACATTCACCTTTTTGGCGGTGATGGCTCCAACGTAACAATTGCCGGAGAGTCGGCCGGGGCGTGGTCAGTCCTCGCTCATCTGCGATCAGACCAGCCACTTTGTCAACGCGCCATCATACAATCGGCCCCATCCTGGACCATGATCCTGCCCGAAGAGGCCCAGTTAAAGTTCAATAAGCTCCTGCAGTGTGCCGGAGTCCCTCAGGGTGCAACTGCCGATGAGAAGATCGCCGCATTACGGTCAGTTTCGGCCGAGCAGTTAATCGCATGGAACGATCTGTTAATGTCTCCAATTTGGGACCCTAAATGGTTCGTTGGCCATAGCTCGCCCACGTCACCACTGGACAGCGCACAGCCCTTTCCCAGCTGGGTACAGGGAATAGTCGTTGGAACAATGCGAGATGAGTTGTCCATCTTTGGGCTCGAAAGGTTTTGGCAAACGAAGGCAATGGTTAAGAGCAGCCTGAATCATTCTCTATCGCTCCCTAGCGATCCTGACTTCAGCACTGAGGTTCTGAACGAATACGGCATCCTGGAAGCTGGTTCCGACACGGAAGCACTGCGTGGATTTATCAGGGTCGCCACAGATGCTTGCTTTTCCCGCTTGCCTTACAATCTCGCCAGGGCCTGTAATAGCCCTGACTCACCATCCCTGTATGTCTACCGCTTTGATCAGGTTGACGAAGAGGGCAACAGTCCCCTCCGAGGAAACGCCTTTCATGTGCTCGACAACACGTACCTGTGTCGCTATCCCGCGGTAGCTGGTCCTGCAGCACCACCGTCCTGTCAAGCCACTGCCGACGCCTTCTCCCGGATGATATTGTGCCATACATACGGCGAGGCTCCATGGGAGTCATACAATATCAGGAGGCTTCAGAATGTGTTTGATGGAACGGACACTAGACTTGAGGGAGTGCGCCTTGATGACCAGTGCTGGAGGAAGTTCCTGACCACAGAGGAGAGAGTGAGCATATTCGGGAGGTTGTTTGCTGCGCTGATAAATAATGGACCGAAGCACTGAGTGCATTGTATTAGCGATAACAAGCTCTTTAGTGGACTAATAGCCAATTGGTGATTAACTGAGTGGTCAAAAGTAGTACGTGTCCATCCAATATATATACCCTCCGTTGTGTTGAACACAAAACAATTACGTTGCTTTTCCTAGGCTAGTATTATTTTTCACTGCAACTTAGAATCAGAGAAGGCCTGTAACTCCCCATTAGCCTCCTCCTAACCCTTTGTGAGGGCACCCCGTAACACATATGTATAACCAGCATCATGCGTTTGGGGATACTCTGGTAGTACAGCCACATGTTCAATAACCATCGCTGAAACAGGCTCTGGTAGGCCACATGTGAGCGGAATCGGTAGTTTGTTTTGATCCTAATAGAATAGTTAATAACTAGTTATATAGTAGTTTATAAAGAGTGGTGGTGGTGGTGGTGGTAATATATATTCACCTCATGTTGCCCGTTGCTAACCGTTCTTTCCTCATGTAAGATATCAAGATCGGCCTTATAGGCTATCTCCTGCCAATCAGAGCTCTCTTCTACATCAGAGTCATTCAGATGAAGCAGATCATTAATCTGCCTGTTTTGAAACTGCTTCCAATACTGTTCTTCCATCTTGTTGTGTGGTTTTGGTTGTGTTGAAGAGAGAACTAGTTAGTAAATAGTGTCAAGCTAAGAGGTGGTATTTTAACACTCAGAACTGGCTGATTCAGTGACTACCCACTCCTCTATATGTTTTTGTATGGTAAACCAGGTCAACTCAGAATACCCGCGTTGTAACACGCTAATACTGGCCCCTTAGGCTATGAGACGCTCTCAACAGCAATCTCCAGGATAGTTCTTCAGTCAACTCCTTCAATTGGTTCCCCCAGTACTAGCATGTACGGAAATCCGGCGATCCATTAAATAGTAAAACAAAACAAGACGGAAAGAAAACAGGGATGGAATTTGGCCGTTACCATCCCATTTCAAATTCTTAATACGCTTACTAAGTGACTAATTAGGAAAATAGTGGAGCAAGGTGAACAGAGCATTGACCAGAGTCACGTAAAAAAGTAGAGCCAAGTGACAGGAGCTTTCTGTCAGGATTCCGTCCCGTTTAGGTTTAGCGTCCCGACTTAGTCAGCCTATATATAGTTGGCCCTTGAGCCATCCTAATTGGACACTTTGCGCTTCCCGATTCTCTCAGATTACGCACACTTTTGGCTGAGTGGGTTGATGGCTGACAATATTTAATTCTAAGGAAGATATCGCAACAGAAGAGCAAGCAGGACCTATGAAATATGTATAACCTAGAAGAAATAAGACAACTATAACAAACAACGCTCACTCGGTCTTAGCGACTGGCTTTTTGGCTCTTGGAACACGAACCCACCAGTACAACAAACACGCTGCAAAGATATTAAAAATAATAAATACCCACATGAGCCCAAAATTCCTCCAGATATCCGAGTAACTCGATGAAACACTACTAAGGAACACATTCGTCTCCTTGATCGGGCAGAAGCTGCAGTTAGAAGTCGCCGTTTCGTCTTCAAGATACCCACCCATATTCGACATGTATAGATCCATGTACTTGCCGCAAGTCCCATTAACTGGGTCAAAGCGCAGATACTCATTGTCTGCGCAGGTTACGTTCGTATTCGATATGCCCACAGACAACATCCCGCTGACCAGGTAAGTAAATGGCGAAACGCGATACATGAAGATCCAGAAGCCTGGGAGCTGATCTGGTGTCGCCAGAACACCGCAGAAAAGCAGACAAAGCAGGAAGAGCAGGTTACCTAGGTTTCCAGCGTTCTCGGCGGCGTCGAACGCCGCGATCATAAAATGTGCAAAGGTGGACGAGAAGAGAAGGAAGGTCCAGACCATCAGCCACATTTGTGTGCCCCGCAAGTTCACCGCATCTGTTGGTTCGGCGTTGCGGTAAAGACCAATCGGGTAGTACCAGCACAGGAACATAAGGATGGACATGAGTGAGTTCCAGGGGAGTTCAACAACGATGTTGGAGATGATGAAGGCTTTCCAAAAGTAGGTCTTTGCGGGTCGTTCGCGGACTTCGTATAGCGCGCGCTGGGCGACGAAATGCGGCGTGATTTGTTGGATGAGTTGGCCGAAGAGGGTAAGTAGCATGAAGATGCCGAACATTTGGTTCTGGAGGCCTTGGATTGTGTTGGGTGTGTGGAAGAGGGAGAAGCCGACGAAGAGAGCGGATAACACGCAGAGAGCGGTCTTGGAGTAGATGTAGGTGGGTGACCGCCAGATTTGCTGGAAGACTCGTACTTGGACTTCGCAGAGCTGGGCCCAGAAGGGAGCAGCGAATTCGCGGTAGCTGGCTTTGTCTTTGCGCTTCTGGCTGGATGTGGTGCGGAACAGGTTGGTTTATTGGGGACGTTCGTGTTTCAATTCAGCAAGGTGCTCTTGGACTCGTGCATATTCGGGGGATTTACGCCAGGTCTCGAACCAGTTGATGTTAGTGTGAGATCCAGGAGCGGCACCGATCACGTCGAGCATCCATTCGGCGGGATTGGCGGCTGGAGGACATGGAGGGCCACCGTTGCGGACGAAGTAGTCAATGAGTATTTGCGAGTTCTGGCCGACTTCTCCAAAGTAGACGGTGCGACCACCAGCTTGAAGGAAGAGGAGATGATCAAAGCGCTGGAACAGCATGGCAGATGGTTGATGGATGGTACACACTGGGAACACGTTAGTGACAATTATAAATGCACGATCAGACACTTACAAATAGCCTGGCCGTTCTTCTTCAGTTTATCAAGGAGATCAAGGATAGCCCAGGATGTCTGGGAATCAAGTCCTGAGGTCGGTTCGTCTAGGAAAAGAAGCAGAGCCGGCCTGGCCGCAAGCTCTACCCCGATTGTGAGACGTTTACGTTGCTCAACATTGAGGCCTTCACCAGGGACACCAATAGCAGCATCAGCGTACTCAGTCATGTCAAGAAGCTTAATCACTTCTGTCACGTAGTCAATCTTCTCTTGACGAGGAACATGAGCGGGCTGCCGTAGAAGAGCAGAGAATTCAAGTGCCTCGCGCACTGTAGCAGTACTCAAATGCAGATCTTGTTGCTGAGCGTAGCCTGTCTTACGTTGGAAGGAGTCATCACGCGGTTGACCATCGACGAGCATTTCTCCACTGATAATCCCCATAGTGGTGCGCGTAGCCAGGACATCTAAGAGCGTGGTCTTTCCAGCACCAGAAACACCCATAAGCGCCGTCAAGGTTCCCGGTTTGACCCATCCGTCAACGTGGTCAAGAATCCTGCGATTCTCCTTTCCAATTTTGATATCAAAGCAGACATCCTTCCACTGGAAGATCGCGGTCTGGCGTTCAATCATGGCAAGGTCATCTGAGCCAGTCTTCTCCACTGTGACGCTGCGGCCACTACCCCCTTCAAGATCTTCATCTGACTTGCCCTTCTTCAGAGCTTTGTGTCCGCGAGGAAAAACTAGGATCTCGCCCTTCGGCTTCTTCTCAGTGATGAAGTCAGTAGCAACGAGATAGACGGCCCCAAGCAGGAACATGTAGGCGAATATGACACCGATGTTTCTCCATTTGTGCGAGGCTGTATAGCTATATGCTGACTCAATGTAGGCATCGCCATTGACAAAGGGCTGTCCAGGTACTGATCCGATGGTGAAGCAAACACGGTTGTTAAGCCCGAGATCCGCATAGCCAGGACCCGATGGGACATAGTTCATGCACGGGAAGTCGCGGTTGTGGAACTCATTGATCAGTAGGGACTCAAAGCCATAGCTGATAGGATTGATGTAGGCAATCCAGCGAGCCCATCCAAGCATATACCCTGTTGGGATAGCGAACCCAGTATACATGCTGAGACCGAGAAGTAGAACGGCGGAGAAGGGTAGAGCTTGAACAAGGGATCTTGATAGCGATGCCATAGACCGGAAGAACATGGACATGGTCAGAGTCAGGACGAACGAGGTGAAGACAAAGAAGAAGAAAGCACCGGGTTCTCTCCTTAAGTTGGTCATGAAGTACAGAACTATATTAGATGTAATAGCGTTGAGAACCTTGTAGGGCAAATCCATTATCATTGATGAAAACGCTTCAGCAGATGGGTGGTAGAGAGCGTATCGGGAGTGCTTCTCTATGATCCCTCGTTGCGCGTATAGAGTCAGCATTTCAAGGCCGCAACCAAGGGCGTTCATGAGAACAGCAAAGAAGAGAAGAGCACCGCGCTGAAAGAAGGTACTTGTGTCAGCCTTGAGGTCGTAGAATATACTGGCGATAACAAGGGATATGATAGTATTTCCGAATAATGAAGAGATTGTGACGCTGGGGTCAGCCTTCAATCGTTGATACCCGCGCCACAGGCACAGTTTCACCTGTTGGACATAGGAAAGAGTGTAGGGTGATGATACACGCTGAGCCTTGGCTTGCTGAGCTCGTCGAGATTTCTTTAACTTATCCAGGTATTCACCACCCAGTGCGAACTTTGCATTGTACCTCTCGATGTCTTGCATAAGCTGTGCTCGCTGTGGTGAGGCCTTCCATCGTGCAGCGAACTCATCAGGTGTCTGAGGTACGCGGCCTTCATAACCTGGCTGAACAACACGCTCAAGGTGGCTAGTCATAGAGGTGAGAAAGTCAGCATCAGTTTGTCGGTCAGGGCAGACGAAGCCCATATCAAGGAAGTACTGCTTCGCCATGGATGTGCGACCAAAGTAGATCACGCGACCTTCGTATAGAACCAGGGCCTTATCGAAATAGTCGTAAGCGGCCTGAGGAGCTTGGTATAGAGAGACACAGGCTGTGGCGCCTTTAATATCTGCCTGCATGCGCAACGTTTTGCAGAACTCAATGGCATTCGCACTATCAAGACCACGAGTAGAGTTGTCCCAACATTGCAGCGGTGCATTGCTGAGGCAAGCTTCAGCGATACTAACCCGCTTGCGCTCTCCACCAGACACACCGCGAATGAAGTCGTTTCCTACAATTGTGTTCTTCGTATGGCTGATGCCAAACATGGCCATGATCACATCTCGCATGTGGCTGGCATACTGGGTCGCATTCACCCCCCCAGGAATGTGTCGTGGTGCTCGGGCGCGCGCAGCGAAATAAAGGGTATCTCCAACAGTGAGCTTGGGGAAGTGGACATCAACCTCCGCGGTGTAGATGGCTTCTCCTCTGAACTCGTGGGCCATTTGTTTGGCGCTCACACCTGATGGGAATTAGTAAAGAACCCTGCTCTGGAGTCAATCAGACATGCCTTGGAAATTGATGTTTGAGTTTTTATCAACGTGAAAGCCGTAAGTCTCTCCAGCAATGGTCTTCAAGAAAGTCGAGCATCCGGATCCAGGGGGTCCAAGAACCACCAGCATCTCTCCAGCCTCCACCAATCCTTCCATGCTCTGCAAAATCTGGATTTTGCGCTGCTTTTGACCGAGCGCTTTCCTTGCCAGGCTGAGCGCCTCTAACCAGACATTGCCGACACTTTTCTGGTAATCAGTGTCGGAACCGAAACCATGCACATTGAGATTGCTGAAGGCGACCCCCAAGGTTCGCAGCGGATGTGCCTGCTTGTCCTCGGTGTGCATCTGCAGCATGGCTTTGCACCACGCCCGAGCATTGAAGTGTTCGCCATTGGGGTCCAGGGCCGATCCTGCCTCCGCAGCAAAGGGGTTTTGTCCCGCGGTGGAATAGTTGCTCTGCTCTGTGAACTGTCTGGCCAGCTGATGAACCTCCGCTTCCCTCTTCTCCACACTGGAACTGGAGGGGTTTCCGGCCTCATGGTCTCCATTCATGTTTGCAGGTGTTCTGGTTTACCGGCGCCAATGAGCATCACCGAATGTATCAAACTATAGTTATAGGAAGTTGAGAGAGCAGAAGATAGGCCACACTAGATAAAGCAACAGCCCCTTTTACTTGCGTTCCTGGCTTCATGGCTGACGCGATCCATGGTACTATTGTCGGTTCGGCCCGCCAAGTCAACGGCTCTCAAGCCATATCGATGGGCTAACGTCAGCCAGATCTTCGGGCCGCAATCTGAGAGAATCGGGAAGCGCAAAGTGTCCAATTAGGATGGCCAAGCGGCCAACTATAAATAGGCTGACTAAGTCGGAACGCTAAACCTAAACGGGACGGAATCCTGACACAATCCACCCGCATCCGTGTCCAACCATCTGTCCTGCTAGTTGCTTGCTGCGGAGATCGCCGTTGTATACATCTTCTCCCCGCGAAGTCTAAAAATCACTAACGAAAGTGCAGCTGGCTTCACGGGTACGGATAGTTCCTGTTCCGCAAGTTCTCTGGGATCCCTTTAGGATTCCGTTTCTAGTGGGCCGAGATCAAAAAAGGATAGTGAAACAACCTGTAAAGTCTATCCGAGTAACCGTGTCATTATAGGAGCTGTGCTACATTATCAACTGGGTTGCTATCAGAGCCCTATTTCAACAGATTCGGCCGAGCGCGTTCCTCTTACTTCTAATCCAATAATTGGTGTAATAGAATCTAGTATATAACCGAATCTAGAGAATGTAGACATTTTCTTCAAATTCACAAACGCTTCTTTCAGCTCGCGCCAAGCTCGCCTTCTGCATCTCTCCCAGAACATCACCACCCACCTTCTTCATATCCGCCAACAACTCCATCACCGCCCTCCCATTCCAGCTGCGAACTGACCTCGTAGTCACCCAGAAGGAGTTCTCGCCAATCCGACAACATGCGTGTAGACGCTGGCTTGAGTGAGCCGGATGAAGAGGAAGAGGCGGATGTGTCGAAATCCCAATCCTCAAGAAGGCGATCGTAGCCCCGCAACGATGATCGTCCTGAAGCAGCCTGGGTGCCGGGTGTGCCATTTTTCATGCTATACAGCACAACGATTTGCCCACAGACCGCGACGATTTTCTCCGTGATAAAGACCAGCAGGACGAAATTCTCCCTCTTGCTTGTACAGCTGGTGCAGTTGATCATCGAACGACAGCACTTGATGGCTTTTTTCTGGTATGCGATTATGGAGTCGAGTTCGGCTCGGTTCTCGGTGTTGCAGCTGGTCTCGAATTCTTCGACGGCAAAAACGACTGCAGCCAGGCACTGGCATGATTGTGTGGGTGGTGTTTGAGGTAAGAATAGGGCGGAGGTGTGTAGGGATGTGGAAGTAGCCGTAGTGCCGATCTCAAAGACAGGCAAATCTAGGGATTTTCTAGTAGATGAGAGGTGATGTGGTAGCTTGCCTCCTGAGTTTACTGGCTGTGATAGAAGATTTCCAGATGTGGAGAAGAAAGGAAACGGTGAGAGAGTAAGGTCGGAGAGAGCATCCCCATCCTGGTCGCTTATTTGCTGACTCAATCTCGCTAGAAAAGACGGGTCAAAGTTTGGTGGAATGTCTGTTGAAAGTTCTGGAAGCAGCTTCTGTCCTTGTCCTTGCCCACTATCATATCTGCCGTCCGGTGGGAGTGAAGACCGCTGGTTTGAGCACATCTGTTCCTGACTGGTGTCATCGGTGGCCAAAGAAGCCGATGGCTGGATCAAGAAGTCTAGCTGGCGCTCGTGCTGTGCTAGATTGATGCTTTCCTTCCGTGTCCTTTGATTGCCTCCTTGTTTCAAGGAACTGAATGTACACATCTTTCCAAGCCTCTTGCATCGGCTGCAACCGTCGTTAACCGTACGACATTTGACCTGCATATGTGGCCAGATCAGTCAACATGAGATTCTGGGCTGGTAACATTTCTGATCAGGGTTTGCAGGATTTTACCTTTTTGGCCCTGCATCGATCGCAGGCTGAGTTCCTTTGTAGATTTGACGATCCATGCGGCCTCTCGACAAACTCCGCCTCTTTGCGGGAGTTCCAGTGCAGAGTCCCGAACATCATGGAGAGTATTGGTTGAGTAGCTTACGGTCAGGTTACTGTTGCTACAGCCTGGAGGCTTTAGTACTCTTTGGCTTCTATTCTAATTCTTATTGCTATTTTCTTAGGCGGGGTATTATGCTAGGGTACTGTTGCTACAGCCTGGGGGCTTTACCAGCTATAGTGGTGCTTCACTCTTTGTTCAGACGCCTAGTCCGTGCTGGCAGAAAGGTTGTATAATGATGAGCCGATGACCCACCTGGGTTAATTTATTTAGTGCAACCCTATTGATCATAGATATTACTAGCCAATAATCTAGCATCTCCAATGCTCTATAATTGTGCCTCACAGAATGATTCCTATTACCTGGTAGGTAGGATTTGACATGGATGTTTTACTGTGCAAGCTATTTGTTCAGTCATAGTGCACTATGGCTCTGTTACCAAGACCTTAAAGGCATGCATTTCTCCTTTGCTAATGCAGATTGCTGTGCCGCAAACCCACACAGGTATAAGAGGTGGTCTCTTCGATAAAACCTAGGAGGTGAGTGTCTGCTTACCATGGAGCAGACAACCATTACTTGTCAGTCTGATGTCGGGGATATTCTCGAAATGCACAACCGGATAAGCTGGGAGCCAGGACGAATAGCTGGAGTACAGCACCACAGAGAAGATGGCTGTTGCTGCGACGGAAGTGTAGAGGGCCGTTAGGCGACCTATCGGATGGATTGGTTGGGAAGTCTTGTCTCCCGCTGCAGTCATTACAGTGAGATAATTTTACGTTGTAATATATGACTCCAGAATCTATTCCAAATGTAAACAGGATTTTTCGTAGTGGATTATACCATGTACGCTGCTGCCTGTGTACTTAGTGTCTTAGTATCCATTGCTGCAAGCCAGCGGGTGCATGAGAACAGGTGGAATGTCCGGTCGACCAATTACTATATAGGGATCTTTTTATTTGGTGGTGTTAGGGGGATTTGACCCTGCAGGGATCTACTGCCGCAATCCTATCTCTTGCTCTTGTCTGGCTTTCCAGAACAGCTGGTTTTGACATTGCATGGTCTAGGCTTGATGTAGCCAGTCTCTTGCATTAGCTTGATGTATTTTGGTGTTGGTGTCCACTTCTAAGATTGTTTTCATTTAACATAATCAATGGCAGAACTGCTAATACCACTGAATCACCACTTTTTGCGGAAATCATTGAATTTTTTGCTTCTAGTTAGCATGTTTTTTCTCACCACCATTATCAAAAAAGTTGTTATCTAAAGAGAATTAAATGCAGATGGGTATATAGTCGAAACCTTGTTATAACAAGCCTTGATATAACAAGATCCTTAATATAAGGAGATCCATCGCTATAATATGACTTGTTAATTTCCCCACGCTCCCATCCAAAATCTGGTTATATGATTATATCAAGGGCACCAAGCTAAAATGCCATAGAGAATAGAGTTGCATAACCAAATGATAGAAATCAGAACCAACCTGCACCGAACTCACTGTGTGTGGATTTGGTCCTTAGACTAGGGAACCACATGTTATCTAAGGTAGATTTGTAGTACGCACATTGCAACTGTTTACTATTCAGCTATAAGTCCTGCTTCTAATTTAACAGATCTCACATTAATGCAGAAATTTCCCCTTCTATATTTTGAGGCCATTATATCTTGCAATCTACGTGAGTCAATATGGTTGTCTCCGACAACATGGGGTAGGCATGGCTTTGAACTCTATGGTTTCTCAACTTCTTAAATCTGGAAATGAGGTAGGTGCAGGATTTCGTTTCGTGGTTGGAGTGTCGCCGAAAGCACTGTCGTATTCCAAGCTGTGGCTATACTGAAGTGACCATGGGCCGACTAAGATTTTAGTTCCTCTCAGTTCTCAAAATAATTACAGAATTATCCTAAGAGCCTAGTCCCCTTGATCGTGCTTGTTGTAATTCCGCAATGGCAGATCCTTTCTGCTTTCCGGCATCCTGCATTTTTATCTCTTATTGCTATACTGTGAATCAAATGTGACCTTCCATGTTCAATCGAGTGTCAGAATTTTGATAACCAACAAGCTATCTCCATACTGCTACACCGTTTTAGCCCAAAAGAACTCTGCAGAACCGTCTCGTCTACCCGAATAAAAAGCCATAGTCCATGATCCTAGCTCACAACCCCTCAATCACCTGCGGCACCACAATCTCCTCCGAGTACCTCCAAAGCAAACTACTGTCCTCCCCCTTCCACGCAGCTCCAGTCCAGTGCGTATTTCTTTGGCCCTGCAGCGTATACAGCTTGTCATAAAACCCGTCCTTGATATCCTCCGCACGCACCTGCAGGTTATACGGGGCATGCGAAGCAAATGTCACGAATTCCGGCTCGGTTGGGGTAAACTTGTCCGGGTTCTGTTTCTGGATCCGCTTGATGGTATTGATAATGTCCGCCTTCACGGCCTCATCGGGCAGAGGCAAAGACTTGGTGGTCTGGCCCGTGGCATAGGTGACCAACTGCAGACCGGGAACTGCTGAGGGCGCGAAGCTGTACGCTGCCGGCAGATATGGGAAGGTGAATTCGGTGTGGCCCTGGGCTGCGTTGGAGATGCTGGCGTTGTTGGGCAAGCCTGAATTTTTGACAAGACCGACGTAGTAGCCTGCGTCGATATACTTGCTGAAGAGGGTTTTCTCGGTGGCGCTGAGATCGAACGGGGCCAGGAAGTCGAGCTTCGGCGGGAAGGCGATGAGCAGCTTCTTGGCGAGGATGAGCTTGCGGCCGGTTGGGGTGCGGACGATGAGCATAACACCTGACTCGCCATCGGCGCGGTGGGCGTGAACCACCTCTGAGGAAAGGAGAAGGCTGGAGCAGGAAGACAGCTCTGCTCCGGCTCTGGTGTAAAGTTCGCTGACGTTGCGGCGGACGGGACCCAGAAAGCCGGTCGCGACAGACCCGACCATATCTGACGACCAGTATCGGAATTGTTCGATGACCGGGTTTGACAAGATATCGCCGACACCCGGATTGAAGTAGTACATGGAAGGGATGGCTGCTTGGATTCCGTACTTCTCCACGAATTTTCCGAACGGCATGTACAGTTCCTCGGGCACGGGGCTCGGAAGGATTGTCCCATTGCTCAGACCGGGGTATTTAGAGTACTGTGCCAGGTAGGCTGCGAAGGCTGCGGACACCTCCTCTGCCAGTGGAGTGAACGTTGGAGTGACTGCTCTTCCGGTGCGGAAATCGTAGTAGAACTCGGATCTCATGAACTCGTCCGCCCTGTTCAAGGGGATATCAAATCGTTTGAAATAGTCCTTGACCACGGTGATGTTATGGAAGACCAGGACTCCCATGTCTACCGGAGTGCCGGTTGCGGGATCAATGTAGGTCTCAGCGTGGCCACCTAGTCTGCCTTTCTTTTCGACGAGAATGACTGATTTGCCTTTGTCCTTCAGACTGATGGCGGAGTATGTGCCTGCCGAGCCGCCGCCTATGACAGCCACATCTCGTTTGATAATGTCAGCCGATTTGAAATTCGCGACATCAAAATTTGAAGGCGTAGCTGACGCAACGGCGGTCGACGCCAGGAGACAGGCGGAGAGCGAGCGAAAGGAGAGATGCATAGCTTGGATGGTGTGGTCAGGAGGGCGAGTACGAGACTGATGCTGGATTGCTGTTGGACAACCTCAGAGTGAGCAACCCATTGCATTTTAAACGTTGAGCCAAGACCATGATGAAATGAGGACGATAATGGAATATGCGAATTCCGTTGCTCAGAGTCGCTTAGAAGAGGAGGACTCGGGGTTGAATTTCTAATGGGGAAGGCCGAATGAGGTAATACCGATTCTTGTCGGCCTCAGAAAACGAAACCAGGTATGTAGACAGAATGCCCTAAAATTCGGCCAGGGGTAGTGGCCATCCCTGCCAATAACGCCAGCGTCTACTGGATATTTAGTTAACTTCTGTATTTTACATCGCGAGGGTGAGCAAGAAGATGCCCCCCTAGCTGCTACGTAGTCAATTTCAGAGTTACGGGTCTCTGACAATCGCGATACTCCTCCTCAGACGCATTCGCACCCGTTAATACTGTCTCCGACAGTATATCTTTGATCATTAATGGAACTCGACGTCGACTTGCGAAGATAAACGTGGACTGGGGGTGTCATGGGGGAGTCTGATTCTAAGCAAGTAATCATCTCTCTGAAATTCAAAGGAGAATTTCCCTAGAGCGTGTTAGAAAATGTCGTGGGAAGCATGCAAGACATGAATGATGGAAGGCGCAAATACTGTGTAGTTACGATGTATATTTTCAGGGAACGTCCGGGGTTTACTTGTAGAGATCATGATACCGTTCCGCCTCCATAGATACTGGGAGTGGAGAAGAACAGCCGAGGAACAGCCGTAGAACATTCCAGCCCTAATGAGCGAATATCCTGCTGTGACAGCATAACAATCTGACAGACAATCTGACCAGTTACCAGAACGAGCACAGTCGCTCGCTGTCGTCCGCCGTAGACAGGCATTCTAGGCCGACCACGTCTTTGGAGTCGTCTTAATCCGCACTTTCCCCATCAGCCGTCCCACCCAGCCTACCTCATCCATCCGTCCATCTACTCTAAGGATCCACACGACAAAAACGATATACACGATGCCACGAGACACGACGGAGGAGAAAGCACGGAGCGAAAGCATGGGAGAGGAGAAGCGAAAACCCGTCCGTCGCGACCCTGAAAAAAGGCGGCAACAGAACATCCGAGCGCAACGTAGATACCGTGAGTGCGGCTTGGATTCTCCAAAGATAGATCAGGGAAGATCTTGGGGGGTGGGAAATTACTGATAGAGTGTTCTTTCTAGGAGAGAAGCTCCGTGAGCGATTGGAGAACCTCGAAACGCTTGCAGCATCACTGGCGCAGAGATCCCCGACGACGGGCAAAATCCAATCCGAGTCGATCCTAGGTGATGATGTCTGGGACGTGTCGATTTCCAGTTTATCGATGGCTACTCCCAAGGATTGCCAACAGCTTCTTCCACAGTCAGACCATACCGCATCAGCACTGAATATCTGGAACTCTACAACACATCTGACATCCTCAGACAATACCCTATCGTCACCAAGCGTCTGGGATTCTATACTCAAGGATTACACAGCACAACTCTCACATTCAGATATCTCCCCATCAACACTAGCAATCTCGGACTCCACAAGACAATTCCCACCATCAGAAACTCCCTTGTCGGCACCGAGTGTATGGGTTCCTCCAACACATGTTAATCCTTCCGTTCTCATCCATGATAAACACAAGGACGGCATCGATCGATGCTGGATGACCACCACCATCAAATGCAATTGCTCCAGCCCACATTTCCAGGTACAAACGCACCGTCCCGGCCCATACAGCTCTACCGAGGTCAGGATACTCAGGACTGGACCGGTCACACCTACACCAGATCCATATGCCAACCATCTTCGCCTGGAAACAATCTGTACGTTAGCCGCAATGGATACTCTCAGGATGCATATTAGCATTACAGAGGAGATGATGTGTGCTAAGGAATCTCCCTCGCCATTCTATCGGTCGATTAGGGCATCAGCGGATGACATGGTCAAGGAAAACATGATCTGCACAGTGCAGAGGATATTCATGACACTCAAGCCAGACTTGAGGCCAAGTATTGAACAAATTACTGTCGAGCATCCTCCATACATTGATGTTCTGCCCTTTCGGACGCTACGGAAGAATCTCATCCTCCACCAGCAAGAGGTAGACGAGGATGAATTTCTCCGCGATGCCGTTACTGGTTTAGTGTGTTGGGGAGGGGCAGGCGTTGGGAGGAAGGATCGAGATGCTTCTACTGGATATGCTTCGACTGGTACTCCATGGGACAACCGCAGCTGGGAGGCAAAGGGGTGGTTTCTGAAGAAGTACTGGTCTCTGCTAGGTGGTCAAGAGGGAGAACTTGTGCGACAAAGCGAGTGGTGGCGCAGTATCAGAGGCGAGGACCCGCTGGACATAGAGGCGCTGGCATGACATTACGAACTGCCCTCCTATCTCCCAATCTATATCTCTTACACCTTCAGCAACTCTAGCATCAATCTGAGTGTGAAGTTCTCCTCGCCAAACTTCGCCTCTAAATTTTCAACTTCCTTCTCCAACTCACCGTGCAGTTCCCGCAGAACGCTGAGTGTGTACTGCAGGCTTTCCGTTTTCTTCATGGTCGCCAACACCTCTCGCTTGGCCTCTTGGCTAAGCTTGCCTTCATGCCTTCTCTTCACAAGGAACGCCCGCAACTGCATCATCTCCCCCGCGAGCTCGGGCTCTGACTCCAGAGTCTGAATGCAGTGGATCAGCGTGAAGGAATACTTCCCTTCGTCGAGATCCTCGGCAAACCCCTTCGCCTTTGCGTAGTCAGCTGAAGCGAGATTTTGATAGTCGTCGCGGATCTGGAAGAAGCGTCCAATGAGGCAACTGAACAGATTCATATCACTGTTAGAAACCTTGTCGACGACCGGACTCTCGGCGATTATCATCCGCGTCAACATGCGAAATAGACCGCCCGTCTTCATATCAACCATTTTCAAATAGTCAGCGACGGTTGGGCAGAGCGTGTTGTGCGTCCAGTAGAGGTCATAGCTCTGCCCCACGTGCAGCTGCTGTAACTCTTCAACGAAAATACGAAAGTTTTCTGGGTTCTGGAGTTGGGCGGTTATATCTGTAGCTGTGATGTATTGGTACGTTGCGCTATTGATTGTCTGGGCCATGCCGTAGATGCTATGGGTAGAGGGCTTGCCGCGACGTAGTGGAGAGTTGTCTTCGAGATCATCGAGCCTGGGGTCGTTAGACACTAGAAAAGCGCGATAAAAGCAAGAGAGCAAGAAGGACTCACATGAGAGATGCACTATGCAGCATCTTGACGACGTCTTTGATCATCTTCACCGACTTCGGGGGGACCTTCAGCCATCTATTGATAGAGTCTATGGCTTGGTCTCGGAAACCCTTGGAGGGGAGGGAGGTAAGGTACCGGTATGGTTGGAGAATAACCTGGAATCACCGTCAGCGACAGCTGCGTCAGCGCAGGAAGATATCTAACTCACCTTATCACTCAAGTCCGGTAAATCTCAAGTACGCGCCAACTGCACCACATCCTCTAGAACAATCGAATCCGTGCTTGGTTGTGAGATATGCGCTGGCTTCTTGGCACCATTAGTGCCATTCGTCCTCATTTCGTCATCCACACTGACGCAATTCCTCTTCCTCTTCAGCTCGTTTGGCTTGGATTCGTGGCAATCACCCTCAACGAGGCCGCTGGTTCTGTTCTCCTGTGACCACCTTGACGGGTATTTCGCCAGGCCGTGCTCGCCTCTCAGCAACTGCAACTCATTAAACTTGGTAGGTCCGTTGTACCGCGGGCAATTCGTACTCCAGGCTGCGTTGCCAGAAAGGGTATACTGCATGATATTGATGTACCTCTTCAGCTCATCACTGACATCCGCCCGCGCATTGGTCTCTTTGACATTGCGGACGTAGTTGGCACATTCAAGGCGGATGCGCTTCTTGAGGATATCTCTTGCTTCTTCTTCGCTACACCCATGCTCATTCATGACAATCAAGACAGCGTTCTGGACATTAGCGTCGTTCTTTTCCTTCTCGAAGGAGAAGAGATCGTTCAGCAGCGACGCTTGGATCAACGCAGGTATGATAAGCCTCTTTGCCTCTTCTTCCTCTTCGTCGGGAACTGTAATTGCGCAGCCAAAGGTGACGAGGCCGTGCCAGAGCATGTACCCGACGTCGAGGGCCCTGTAGGGGATATGCTCCTCAAGTGTCTTAAAGTTCGTGTCCTCCTTCCGTCTGCTTGAATGTCGGACGCCAGAGGCCCAGCTCTTAGCGACATTCATCGCTCTCTCTGGATCAATTGCCATCATTTCGCGGATGATTTGAGTGACGATTTGACGCTTTCCATCGGAGCCCCTATCTTCGATCTTGCCAGTTTGACTTTGATTTAAGGCATGTCCCACCTCATCCAATGAGGCATCGTTGACATCCGTATCGATGACATCTGTTTGAATGAGCCTCGTTCGGCAACCCCAGACAGTGAGCACATACCGTCATGAATGAAACCAAACTCCAGTGCATAAGCGATGATCTCCATTCTATCTGGGTGACACTCGGGCACCGCGCCAGTTATGAAGCTAAAGTCGGGACCTAAGAGGCCCGCATAAGGCTTTGGAAGGGGACCAACCAAGCGGCGCCAGTCTTCTTGGGCCCTGAAAGCACCAACCTCTTCAAGCTCACTGGCTACATGCCTCCTGAGATCAATTCCAGGGCAAAGACCTTCCCTGTCATACAGGGAGGAGTCGATGAGTGTCGAGTACTTGCAGGCCATTTCTATACGCAGGCATGCAGAGCGGGTCAGGTCGCGGGGAGATAATGTACATTTACATGGGCTGAAGAAGTTAGCGAGTGTTTCTAGGAGTGATCCACTTCTCTTATATAATTTCATTTTCTATCAGGTAGAGCCGCGTGGTTTAGGATCGTACTCATGGGGACGTTCTTCTTAGGGCAAAACCCGGCCGACCCAGAAAAGGTGGGAGGTAAGCTGACGAGCCATGACCCCAACAGCCCGTAAGAGAGATAAGGTCAGATGGAACGAACAACCTTCGGCCGCTCAGATAGGGCAAAGAGAGCAGAGAGGGCAGAGGAATACCTGTCGGGTTACCTGTCGGGGTACCTACCTAATGGGGAATCACCGGATTGGGCGATTCGCCCACTTATGTCAGAAGCATGTCAAAGCGCTTATAACAGGTGAAGTAATCTCTATCAAGCCTCGTTGACCCCTCAAACCCCTCTAGGGTTGGGCGCCTTTTCACCTAGTTTCTCACCAAGGCCCCAAATGGAGGCCAACTTGCTCTTACCCATGGATGCCAGTTTGCGCGCTGCCGTCGCCGTTCTCGGTGCAGGCGCATTGTATCTACTCAGCCTAGTTATTTATCGCCTCTTCTTGTCTCCCCTAGCAAAATTTCCAGGTCCCAAGCTTGCCGCAGTAACAAGTTGGTACGAGTTGTACTATGATCTTGTCCACAAAGGCAAATATCTGTTTGAGATTGAGAAGATGCACGACAAGTATGGTAGGTACTATGACTTTTTGATTTCACTTCACAAATTGCAAAGGAAGCAAAGCTTAGGGCTTCTTGTATATAGGACCAATCGTAAGGATTAATCCGTTCGAGCTTTCCATCCGCGACTCGGAATACTACGACGAACTCTACGTCGCGGGCTCCGTCCGCCCCACGGACAGATACGAGGCCTTCGTCGAAGGTATTATTGACTTCAAGGGCTCTCACATCGCGACGATAGAACATGACCTCCACCGCAAGAGGAGAAAGCCACTCGACCCTTATTTTTCCCGACTTGGTGTCTCAAGGCTAGAGCCCATGCTTGGCGAGCTGACCGAGAAACTGATCGTCAACCGATTCGAAAGCTTCAAGGGAACTGGAAAGGTAGTGAGACTGGACCATGCCTTCACGGCTTACTCCGGTGATGTGATTAACAGGCTGTGTATGGATGACCCGCCTGATGTTTTGGTAGATGATCCGGAATTCTCACCGTGGTGGTATAACCTGTTCCACAATGGGATTGCAACGCTGCCTTTGTTTATGGGGTTGCCTTGGTTGATTCAGTAAGTTATTCCCGCCAATTGAGGAGTGAATTCTAAACTGGGCAGTGTCGTCCGGCTTATTCCTGTGAGCATTCTGGCAAAGCTGGACCCCGGAACTCAGACCTTCAATAAGTTCAAGATGGTAATAAAAACCTAGCCCCAAGAGTATTACCCTGCTGACATTGATAGATGTGCGATGACCATCTCCGAGTCGCTAGGCGTGAAAAAGCAGCCCTGGGATCTAAAGATACCTCGATGATGGGTGGCCGCCCGACCATTTTCCGACATGTGCTGAACAGCGATCTCCCGCCGTCTGAACTCACAGACGATCGCCTGTCTAAGGAAGCCCAGGTCCTTATTGGCACTGGCACCATCACCACAGCCGGATCGTTGTGCTTCATTTGCTACCACATAATGGTCAACCCCGCCATCAAAAAGCGTCTCCAAGAAGAGCTGAAGCTCATCATGGCGAACTACCCTCCCAAGAAACCGACTTGGGCTGAATTAGAGACAGCACCGTATCTACAGGCGGTGATCAAAGAGGGTCTTCGGTATTTCTATTGTTTCCTCTGTGCCTAAATAGAGCACCACGCTAACTGATGTTGTGTACTACAGCCTCAGCTTCGGCACCATGCACCGCCGTACGCGTGTTTCCCCCAAACAACCCCTCCAGTTCAGGCAGTGGACGATCCCAGCTGGCGTCCCCGTCGGCATGTCTGCATACTATGCCCATCGTGATCCGAGCGTCTTTCCGCGCCCTGATGAATTCCTCCCCGAGCGATGGCTGGCGGACGTTACGCCGGAGATGAGTCGCAACTATGTCCCTTTTTCGAGGGGGTCAAGGCGATGTTTGGGAACGAAGTAGGTTTTATTAGCCCAGCATGCTAACCTGCTTAATTGTCTCTGACTTGGCTTGAATAGTCTCGCGTACGCTGAAATCAACCACGTTATCGCTACACTTTTTCGTCCTGGGGGTCCCGACTTCAACCTTTATGAAACGAGTGAGAAGGATGTTAAGCCCGCTCACGATTTGATTGTGCCGCTGCCGAGTCTGGAGTCGAAGGGGTTTCGGGTTATTTTTTATTAATCACAGGCATATAAGTGTACTGGGATCTCAGAATTGATTAAAAGCAAGCTTAAAAGGCTTCAAGAATCCTGTCCATCCCGCTTACTGTTCCTCTCTATATTACTCTGGGCTTGGATTGTCTACATGCTGGATATCAATCTAAGCCAAAGTGCTCGCCTGCATATAATCCAGGCCTTGCAATACTGGGCCTTAGTGTAGGAGTCTCAATGATGGTTCAAGAAAGCTTCATGGCATTGCAGGTAAGACCTTAATTCACATTTGAGTTCCATGAGCGCCACTTCTTCCTGTACTGCAGCACCCATCAGCTGATAAATTCCTAGGAGGGATGAGGATAATTATCTGGGTAGAGGGAGAACTTGCCCAATGCAACATAAAGAGAGGCTCAGAAGCAGGACCATCAGTGTCCTGTTACAACACCAACGTAGGGTGCGGCAACATCCGCGACGTATCCAAATCCGCATATCCAAATCCGCATATCCGTGGATATGGACGTAATCTGATGTCCACATATCTGCAACGATACGATATAGATAGTAAATGGTATCCGCAGTGTGTATTTGGATATTTTGCGGATAGGCAAACAATATAAACATGGCTAAATCCATTACTACATAATTTATGCATGTTTTGTTTGTAATTTATCGTTCTAGAGGTGTATAGAAAAGTCACCTTTCAGAATCCAAGTATCAAGGTATAGAGTCGTAGTATAGACTATAGGACAAATTGCAGAAAAGGAGATACTACTTGAAAGTCTTGTATTAGGCTATGTGACTATGGTTTGATAATTTCATAATCCTCAAACCCTCTTGGAGCCTTCCGAGATCTCTTAGATCCCCGCGTCAGTATGTCATTCTGGGGTAAGGGATGTTCAGTCTCGTCATCTAACTCATGACACTGCTCTACTAACTGTCCTTCTCTTTGGCCCCCTTCCCTAGTTCCTGTACATTGTCGCTTACTTGGCCGATCTTGTGTTTCAGTCTGAATATCACCAGCATCATCTTCTTCATCATCACTAACGGGCTCAAAATCCGCCTGTAGCTGAAGAGGAGCTCTTTCCTCCTCTATAGCAGCAACCTCACTAGCTGGAAGATACTCTTCCATTAGTTCTAGCTGCTCTTGTTCAAGCTCAAACTTTGATGTACACATCCACATCATCAAGTCTTTGATCATGCAAGATTTAAGATGGCCGCGGTGATAGTGACAGATATCACAAGCAGAGTTAAAAAGACGTTCAACACCAGCCCCACTAGCTGGGATGGCAAGAACATCCCAGGCAAGTCTAGATAGTGCTGGGAACTCGTGCTCATGCTCTTTCCAGAAGGCCCTTGGTGATATATTAACTGTGCCTGTTATCTGACGTTAGTAATAAGTCATGGAGTCATTAATCACTACTAACCACTCTCAAGATATTTTGTAAGCTCGTCATTATCCATGTTTGATCGAGAGCGGTGAGATCTGATTCCCTGCTGTGAGGCCCTGCTTGAAACTAGCATTTTGATCTGAGATAGGTTTCCAGATGATAATTGAGTGCTTGGTGGTGTTGGTAGATTAGAAAGCTGCTTGGTGTACTGCTCAAGATAGTCCATAAGACTCTTATGATACCGTTCACGCCAGCCACCCTCCCACCATCTTGTGGAAAAGAATTGAAGCTTATTTGAAGGGGTAATAATTGTGCCAATTGCAAAGATATCACTATGCATCTTATCAGTCTCTTTATAATAAAATGAGAGCTTGGCCTTTGCTGCTTCGAGTGCATGGAGCATTGTCTTTTTCCAAGAAACCTTTTTACGTTGAAGTTGGTGTATTAACTTCTTGAGATAGTCAAAGAGATTGTTATAGATACCAAAGATAAGATGAATGGTGACCTCCTTCGTTGTAGAGAGCGCAGTGGTGTAATCAAAAAAAAGGTTGGGTAACCAGAGCAGATACTCGATTTGGCGCCATTCTTCCTTATTAAGCTTAAACTGGAGATATTAATACATTGTACAGTATTCATCAAAGACAGACTGTAGTTGCTTGGCTCAGCGAAGCATCAAGTAGGTGGAATTCCAGCGAGTACGGACATCCTGGCAGGGAACAAGCTTTGGCTCTGTAGTTTGAAGACTCAGAAATGCCTCTTTTCGCTGCGGACTTGCATTGATGAAGGTAGCAAGTCATCGAACCTTTCTTATTATATCATACCTTATTTAGTGTATCCACAATTCCACTTGAATCACTCTTTTTCTGGAGAGATTGCATACTTTGATCGGACCATTCCCTTTCTATAGAATCATTGACTGGGTTCACTTTCATCTTTCCAAGCAGTTGATTCAAACTAAGCTGAATAACATGGGCGATGCATGGGGTTCGGATAATCGTAGCATTACTACCAAGATCCTGTGACTGGATTGACTCCTGCAATCTCACCATCATATTGTTATTGTTTGATGCATTATCAGTAGTAATTGATAATATGCGGTTGGTGATCCCATGCTGTTGGAGGACTTCAAAGACAACTGAGCTTAGATTGCTTCCATTATGCGTACCATGAAGAGGTTCAAACCCAAGAAGAATCTCGCAATAGTTCCATTCTTGGTCAATAAAGTAGCCAGTGATTGCCATGAATGCCTGGTTAAAAGGTGATGTCCAGCAGTCAAGTGCAATTGAAAGCTTCCCATTTGGTGGAAGCTTCTGGAGTAGAGTTGCTTGTTTTTCTTTTAGAGGGGAGTTTTGGCTTTGATGGTGCAAGTCGTACAATATCAATAAACTCATCAAGCTCGCGATGCTCACTAAATCGAAAGGGAAGACGCCCAACAGCAACCATATTAAGTAGCTTCTCCATGAAAAGCTCTTGACTATATAGCCTTTGAGGAGAACACTGAGGCTAATAAGAGTAATGTGAGCATACTTGATGAACTATACCAGGGCCTTATAACCGAGTCCTGGATAAGCTGGTCTATACCCTTCTGCTGTTTAGGTACGGTACGCTGACAGGCAGCTCCTTTAAGGTGTACTTTCATTGGAGATAACCCTGCTCGGCGATGACCTGGGTGAATAAGAACATTGCAGCAGTGTCTACACATAACCTTAGGCTGGCCAGTTTTTTCATCTGCAATCTGATGAAATTGCTCCCAATATAATGAGCTCTTTTTTCCATCCCAGTATATTGTATCCTGCAACTCCTTCTTTGATCCGAAGTCTGTCTGTAGCCACCATCTTACAAAGTCATCCTTTGACATATCAGAGTAAAGGATCCAATGTTTGCAAAAGTTAGGCCCAACACATGTGAGGGTCTCAGGGGGGCGGGGCCGTGGTAGTGGGAAAATGAAGTCTGAGTAGACATCGCCAGACCCATGGGCCGCCCACGATGGGCATGCCCATGGACGTCCATGGACGGGCTTTGGGCACCCTTTTACTGCCCATGGGCGGGCTACGGAGGGTGCGTGCCCATCATGGGCCGCCCATGACCCGCCCATTTCAGCATAATTTGACAAAAAAGGATAGTTATGCTACCTAATGAATAGTTAATCAGCGTACTTTACCTAAATAGGTTGTATAAAATTAGAGTTTGGGCGTCCTTGGGCACCCTTTGCCCATGCCCGCCCATGGGCTCATGGGTTTGGGCCGTGGGCGGGCTTTGGCGAGGTCTAAGTCTGAGTCTGATGTGGAGATGATAGTATGCTGACTATCAGCGATATGCTGTGTATTATCTGATTGTGAGAAGTCAGGTTCATAGAAAGAATCAGACAATGGAGATTGTTGGCTTTGCGACATCTTCAATGTAAGGATAATACCATAAGTTAGGAATAAGAGAAAGGTAAGAAATAGGCCTCGGCAGACCCTGAGGCTGACCCTCCATTCTCAATTTTGCGGGTGGAGGGTCCGGACCTCTCACCCTCCGGGCGGGTCTGCCCTGGGTGTCACCCGTGGGTACACAAACAGGACAAACATAGAAAGCTCGTGACTTGCATAATTTATGTAGTTCGAGGCTGTATTTTTAAGTATTTGGTTTACATACTAGGCATCCAAGGAGAAATTCAGGGGATGTGATTACTGATTAGATTCAAAAACTGTATTTCAAGCTACATCTGTTTATATAGCTATGCTCAACTAACCTCGTACCCTTTGAGAAGCCTTGACTTCTTCCGAGCCCTGTTTGATACACGCAGTTGAGTTTTAGGCAAAGGAATCTCAGCATTATCATCTTCTGGCTCCTGAGCTTGCTCCTCATCTGACTCAGATGCCACACTTTTTCGACGTTTACCCAATGCACGTTGACTTGGCACCTCTGGAGCAGGTTGATTTTGAACAGAGAGTGAATCTGAGTCATCCTCTTCATTCTCGCTGATTGGATCAAAATTATCCTTTGGTGTTGCTTTTTCTTCATTTGCTACCTGGATCTCTTGGTTCGAAAGATATTCCCTGAGCATCGCATGCTGTTCCTCCTGAACCTCAAATCTTGATGTACACATGAACATCATGAGATCTTGAATTGTTTTTGGGTTCAGAGAGCCTCGGTGATAATGACAGATGTCTCGAGCAGAGTTGAAAAGCCGCTCTACACCTGCACCAGTTGCAGGAATTGAGAGGACATCCCTTGCAAGACTCGCAAGCGCTGGAAATTCGTGTTGACGATCCTTCCAGAAGATCCGAGGAGGAGACCGAACAATACCTATAATAAATATTAGATATAGTAATTTCTAAGCTTGTATAATACTCACCACTCTCAAGGTATTGTGTAAGCTCATCACGCTGGCCAGATAATGATTGCTGGGAATCTTCTGGCATACAGCTCGCTTCAAGTTCCGAGAGAGCAATCGCTGATTCTTGTGCCTTTGATTGTGACTGGGTATCAGATAAATGTTTTTTGTAGGGCTCAAGATAATCTTCGAGGCTCTTGCGATATCGTGTTGGCCAATCTTCGTCTGGATCTTCCCATTCTTTGGTCGAGAAGAACTTCAGCTTGTTCTGGGGTGCGATGATTGTGCCAATTGCATAGATATCACCAGGAATATCATCAGTCATAGCGTAATATTGTGAAAGCTTTGACTTTGCTGCTTCAAGAGCCTTAAGCATCACCTGCTTCCAAGGAACCCTCTTGCGCCGAAGAGCGTCCATTGATTTTTCAAGATGATCAAACAGCTTATTATAGATGCTAAAGACCAGGTGGATACTGACATCTCTAGTCTGAGAAAGAAGGGTAGTGAACTTAAAAAAGGGCAGGGTGATGCAGAGAAGATACTCGATTTGCCGCCACTCTTCCTGATTGAGCATCAAGTGAGGAAGAGCATACTGTGACTCTGAGCAGAACTCATCAAATGTTGACTGTAGTCGTTTTGCACGTCGAAGCATTAGAAATGTCGAGTTCCAGCGAGTTTTGACATCCTGGATTGGCATAAGCTTTGGCTCTTTAGTTTGAAGACTGCAGAAAGTTTCCCAGCGCTGAGGGCTTGCGTTGATAAAGATAGCCAATTTCCGAATCTCATAGAGAAGTTAGTAAACAGATATTTAAGCAAAGAAGCCTTTCATACCTTGTTCAGGGTATCAGCAATCTCTATTTTTTTGGTGTCTTGAACCAAGGGATTGAACGCATGTATCTGACCAGTCTGTCTCTGTAGTCTCGTTCTTTGGATTTGCTTTCATCTGCCCAAGTAGATTATTCAGGCTAAGCTGAATGATACGCGCAATACATGGAATCAGAATAATAGCAGTGTTGTTAAGACTAAGTGACTGGACTGACTCCTGGATGCTCGACATTAAGGTATTATTGTTTGATGCGTTATCAGTTGTGATTGCGAGGACTCTATCAGCAATCTGGTGTTGTTGAAGTAATTCAAATAGAACAGAGCTCAAATTGACACCAGAGTGGGCTCCATGAAGCGGCTCAAACCCAAGCAGGATCTCACGATACTCCCAATCTTGGTCAAGAAAATAGCCAGTCACAGCCATAAGCGCCTGTTGGAACGGCGATGTCCAACAGTCTAATGCAATTGATAGCTTTGCACTTGGAGGAAGCTTCTGAAGAAGGGTTTGTTGCTGATCCTTAACGAAGTCCCGTAGTCGCCCGCGAATCGTCTTCGATGAAGGCAAGTGTGGAGATGATGGCGCGAGTCGGGCAAAATTAATAACTTCATGGAAGTCAGGATGCTCGATAAGCTGGAAAGGAAGTTGTGATATAGTCAGAAACTTAAGAAGCTTCTGCTCCCATACTTCTTGGGTAAAGACGACCTTAGACTTCATAGAAGCCTTCTGTGCCTATTAATATAGAAGCAAGTGAGTTTCTGTAAATCATTATGTGAGATTATCTCACATACCGCACGCTGCATAGATGCTAGAATGTTTGTCTTCTTTCCTGTAGACTTTCGACAACCAGGCCCATTTATATACTTATTCATTAAAGATGTTCCGGTGTGGCCAGCTGCAGGGTGATCAAGGACTGAGCTACACTGGGTACACATGACCCCAGGTTTCCCAGTCTTCCCATGGGCTACTTGTTCAAACTGCTCCCAGCATTTTGCATGGTGCCTACCATCCCAGTGGATACGCTTCTTCTTGCCAAAGTCTGTCTCAAGCCACCAGGCAACGAACGCGTCCTTTGACATCTCGGAATGAAGAATATATGCTTTTGTCCGGTCTGGGCCCACACGCTCAAGGATATCAGGGATTGGTAGTAGGGGTCGGGGTCGAGTAAAATCAGTATCAGATGAAGAGAATAGCGTTTGTTGACTGCAGGAAGGATCAGGCGTATATAATCGTTGTAGGTCTTGAGGGAAGTCAAAGGGAAGATAATCTATTTGATCCCCATCAGGGACCGAAGAGGGATAAGCATCAGAAGCCTGACCTTGACTAGCCATGGTAAGAGAGCGATGGCTACACCTGAGAGAAGAGATAAGTAGAGGACTTACAGTAAAATTTTGCCTCTTGTGGTGCCAATGGAAATGTCCGTCTTGTTCATGTCGACAGCAGCATTGGTGATAATACTGTGCTATCCTGCGCGAAGAATTCCGGCGGCTTTATGTACTGGGGTGTGGGCTGGGGTCCGGCAGACGACTGGGAGACATTCCTCCCCTACAATCCCGCCAACCCGCGAAGCAGCTATGCAATTCGTGATCGCAGTACTATTGTCCTTCGCACACTCTGGCACATGTACTTGAAGGCAGGTCAAGATGAAAATGACTATACTAGACTCTATGCAAGCACTGAAGCGATCGAAGAGGCCATGCGGTTTGTGGTCGAGAAGGTATGAGGATTGGAAGCAGCAGGTTAACTGTTTACGACGCAGCACGAGATGGTCTAGTTTGTAGTCGTTCTGTCTTCTCTATGCCATTCCCATAGTCTGCTTGGAATTCCTGCAAGTAATTACTCTCAAGAGACTAATTGAACCACACCCTCTTTTCTGGTTTTACCTGTATTAAGTAGAGGAAGCATCCATACTATCGCATAAATGTATCGGCCTTCCAATACCCGGTTTTAGGCAGCTCCTTGTTTAACGTAATGATGTAGTTGTCAATGCTCCAGCAGATGCTAAACAATTTTAGTTGTACTCTCCCTTTGTCACCTCCAGTTCCATCCTTAGTCTAGCAATCACTATTATACTCAACCCGCTCCTTTCCTATAAGTGGGTTACCTTCTAGAGTATGGCATATGAGTCCCTACCCAGACATCCTTCCACTATTTTCAAGTCCAGAGATCCTCTGTGCTGGTTATAGCTTGTGATTACTGAGTCAGGTTCCGAGTCAAATGGCGTAGGTTTTATCCTCTGTGAAAGAAATTCATTTGTTCAGGACTGGATACTCAACTACTTGCTTCAAACAGTCAGACCAACGGTAGGTGCGTCTGTTCATGTATCAGGGATAAGGCCTATACTACGACTTAGGCGGCAAAGGCTCCACAGGCCACTCATAGTCCCTGGTGAAGCTGGTCTCAAACACCCAGTCTCCGTGATCAATAGTCCTCCTCTTCTTCCCATCCCCATCAGGAAGAATGACATCACAGGTCGTACTATACGGAACCGACACCTCCAACCTGAACCTCTCAGATCCATCCTCATTCTTCTCTGTCTCCCACGAACATGAAAGTAACCCGAACGGCGTGGCATGCTCAGCAGCAGCATTCGAAAGTTCCGCTCCAATTTCCGGAGCAACGCGGAACCTCTTCCAACCAGGTTCAACGCGTTGCAGCCCCGCAATCCGTTCATACATGAATTTCGCAATCGCACCGAAGGCATAGTGGTTAAATGAGGTCATTTCACCAGGGTTAACAGATCCATCAGGAAGCATACTATCCCACCGCTCCCAGACTGTGGTCGCACCCATGGTAACCGGATATAGCCAAGACGGACATTTCTCCTCGAGTAACATCGTATACGCCACCTGGATATTCCCAGTCTGGGCCAGTGCTTCACAGACATAGGGGGTTCCGGCAAACCCAGTACCGATTTTAAACTCGTTCTTCCAGACTAGGTATGCTAGTCGCGCCCCCGCATGTACTTTTTGACTCGGATTTAACAGGTCAAAGCAGATGGCCAAGGCATATGCGGTCTGGGAGTCAGAGACGATGCGTCCATTTGCAGTGACGTATTCGTCTTGGAACTCTTTCCGTGCGGACTTGGACCATGATACAAAGTGCGATTCATCAGCATCTTGCCGTAAAATCTGGGAGATCCTGCACATCAAGTCCAGGCTATGGATGAGGAAGGCGTTTGCGACCATTTTTGCGTCCGTGGTGCCCTTCCACGGGGCGTTGGGTGGCGCAGCAGGGTCCAGCCAGTCCTATCCTATTAGCTTTATATACCATCAGAGTTGGGAGACACTTACTCCGAGGTTGAAAACACTCGTGTCCCACAAGTGCGTAGCCCCAGTGCTATTCCGGGGCACCTTCCGCATCCAAGTCAACATACTGTTATACTGCTGCGCTAGAATACTCTCATCCCCTGTCTCCTCATACAACGCCCAAGGCGCGAGAACTGTGACATCGTGCCAGATGGCACAAGGGACGCGTCGACACCAGATTGGATCGGGAAGCGTTGCATTAGGGGTGACCATCGCTGGCACTCCACCCAGGATACTCTGGTCATACTCCACGTCAATCAGCCAGTTCTTTAAGAAGCCGAAACAGTCGTAGATGAGCACCGCCGTAGGAGCGAATAATGCTAGATCACCCGACCAACCGAGTCGTTCATCACGCTGGGGACAGTCCGTGGGCACGGAGAAGAAGTTCCCGCGCATGCCCCAGACTATATTCTGGTACAGCTGGTTCAGTAGCGGATATGAACAGGAGAATCCGCCCACGACCTTCATATCTGTATGGCAGACGATTGCTTCAGCAAATGTCTCCAACTCCTCCCCAGTCCAGTTGTCTATCTGCGCGTAGCGGAATCCGTGAAAGGTAAATCTTGGGGCATAGTCCTCGCCTTGGCCATCGCCCCTGAGCGTGTACTCATCGATAGCCTTGCAAATGCGAAGCGGTCTGGTACAGAGCTCTCCATTTTCGAGCACTTCTGCATGAGAGAGAATGACCTTGTGGCCGGTGGGACCCTTGATGTTGGAGAGCTTGACATGACCCACTAAATTCTGGCCAAAGTCGAGAATGACCTTTCCAGATGAGGTCACAATTGTAGACACAGGCTTCAGTGCTTCAATCCGCCGGACAGGCTCTCCGAACCCAGAAGTGAGCTTGACCGAGTCGGGTAAAGGTGGCATGAGAAGAACCGTTGACCAGTCAGGGGCATCTTGAGAGATACCAGGTGAGGACCAGGAGGGAATTTCCTTGGTAGCGTCATATTTTTCCCCATCGTATATCTCAGCCCGCCGGATGGGCCCTCGCGTGACTCTCCAAGAGCCATCAGATGTAATAGTCTGCACTTCCCCATCCTTCGATGTCACTTCTATCTGGACCAGCAGCGCCGTATGAGAGCCCCAGATATTGCGATGCCCACCTTCGAAGCCAATGCGACCGGAAAACCATCCCTCTGCAACACGAACACCGATACAATTATCGCCAATCGAGAGATAATCTGTGATATCGTAGGTTTGGTACTGCAGTCTCCCATCGTATGTCGTCCACCCAGGAGCGAGGAAGTGGTCACCCACCCGACGACCGTTAATCTCTGCTTCGTATACACCTTGAGCGGTGATATAAAGACGGGCCTTGACAATAGAATCCGGTGTTTTAAAGTCCCTGCGATACAGCTGCTCAGTGTCAGGCCCGGAGGTACCTGGACCCCATGGAGCCGCGATGCGCTCGCACTTCCAATCACTCCAATTGAGCAAACCAACTTCTAGAAACACGGGCTCGCTCCATTCCGTGCCGTGGCCATCCAGATCCCAGGCTCTGACTCGGATCGACACTTTCTGGCGGGAGGTCAAAGGCTGAGAATGTGGCCAGGGAACGAGATACGAGGAGGGCGATGTGAGCTTGGTAGATGAAAGAACAGTGACCTGCGAATTCCAAGCCACTTCTGAGACCTCAATTTCGTACGCATCCTGTTGGAAGTTGGAAAGGTAATCCTCGAACTGCCAGGATATCCGTGGACGAGTCTCCTCCACCCCGATGGTATTAGGGGGGTGATAATGCTCAAACTGGACGTGGGTAATGCGCGTCATGATCAAGAGCTAGTCCTTAGCAAGAGTAATGTGTTAGCGGATCGGCTTCTTTATTTCTACCATTTCGGGGCCATTTAACACGAGATCCACGCATCATGACTCAGAGTCGGGGTAAGCTGGAAGGAGATTGGAGTATTGTCGGCGCATCTTTGTCCCAAGGATGGATTCGGCGGCAATTGAAGCTGGGTAAATTCCGGGTATATCTAGGTAGTATCAGGCGAGTCCACTGTATTCAGGACTCCTGGCTGGCCTAAATCTCGCATTACTTTTAGACTCAGGTATAACGCCCAAGTTCAAGACAAGATGGCCGACAAAATGAACGTCAACATGTTCAAAGCAGAGGATCCCAACTCTCACCCGTCCGCCTCGCCCGAACCCCCCTACGATCCCCTCCCTCGCATCGAAAGCCTCCCCCTCCCATCGAACTTCAGATGGGGAACAGCAACAGCAGCCTACCAAATCGAAGGTGCTCCCTCAGCGGACGGGAAACGCCCGTCGATCTGGGACACCTTCACCCATCTCGTCCCATCTCGCACAAATGGCGAAAACGGTGACATAGCCTGCGACCACTATAACCGCATGCTCGAAGACGTCGACCTCATGGCCTCGTACGGAGTCGACGTGTATCGATTCTCTGTCGCCTGGACACGAATCATACCCCTCGGTGGACGGGATGATCCCATTAACGAGGCTGGAATAGCCTTCTATAACCGGGTCATCGACGCCCTTTTAGCGCATAACATCGACCCCGTCGTAACGCTCTACCACTGGGATGCTCCTCAGAGTCTCAGTGACCGATACGGCGCTTTCTTAAGTACAGCCAAATTCGTATCTGATTTCGCACACTTCGCGCGCCTCTGTTTCGCCCGGTTCGGAGATCGAGTCAAGAGATGGATTACCTTCAACGAGCCTTATATCATTGCTATCTTTGGACATCATAGCGGTGTTCTTGCGCCGGGCCGGAGTACTGCCACTGGTGGTGATTCGCGCACGGAGCCGTGGAGGGTCGGGCATACCTTGATCCTCGCTCATGCTGCTGCTGTACAGATCTACTCTGAGGATTTCAAGTCCCAGAATGGGAGCATCTCGATCGTGCTCAATGGGCACTATTACGAGCCCTGGGACGCGTCTAGCCAGGTTGATCAGGAGGCCGCGCAACGTCGTCTCGAATTTTACATTGGGTGGTTTGGGGACCCTATCTTCCTTGGGCGGGATTATCCATCGTCCATGCGAAAGCAATTGGGCGATCGATTGCCGGCATTTACTGCGAGGGAGCTGGAGCAGCTGAAGCAACTCGCCCCGCTCAACGCCTTCTATGGAATGAACCACTACTCCACCAAATTCGCGAGGGCGCTTCCCGACCCCCCTGCAGAGGACGACTGCACGGGGAATGTGGAAGAACTCCCCACAAACTCCGAAGGAAAAGCCATCGGCCCTGTCTCAGGGATGTCCTGGCTACGGGTTGCTCCAGAGGGGTTCAGAAAGCTCTTGAACTGGGTCTGGAGTCGGTATAAGTTGCCTATCATTGTTACTGAGAATGGTTGTCCCTGTCCTGGGGAGAGCCAGATGTCGTTGGATGAGGCAGTAAACGATACGTTCCGGGTTACCTATTTTGGATTGTATCTCGATGCCATTTTGCGCGTGATCTATGAGGATGGGGTCCAGATTGAGGGGTACTATGCTTGGAGTTTGATGGATAATTTTGGTATGTTCTTCGTCTTCGCTTATTCACTTTTTTCGTCTGACAAGGTGTTCTCCAGAATGGTCTGCCGGCTATGGTCCTCGCTATGGCATCACGCACGTGGATTATAAGACCTTGGTGCGAACTCCCAAGCGCTCTGCATTGTATCTGAGGGAGACATTCTGGGAACGTAGAAAACATTCGCTGTAGACTTTTTTCTGTGGATAGAGTTATAGTACGAACGGCACGATCAAGGCAGGATAGATTCCATAACATCTCCACGTGAATATCCATATCCAATTACCCAAAATATGCTTTGCCGCAAACTCCACATTCTATCAATCTGGATTCTGGACCACTGGCCAGGCGTAAATCATAATCTCGCACGGCACGCTAATGCAGCCACCGTCGAGTTTCTTCCCATTCTTGGTATAGTTTTCGAAATACGACAGTAGCTCGACATAAGGTCACGCTCGGATATATTTCAGCGACTGTCGGCTTATGATTTGGGATTCGGTCCTCGCTGACTCGACTCTCGAGTATGTCTCCAGATTCTCATTCATCCCCAGATACCGCCCCCGCACTGGAGTCGTCTGGGGAGGAGGCTCGGCTTTTGACAGAACGAGAATCCGGTTGTACCGAGTTAGTGCCATATTGCTCAGGCCCAGGACAGTATAGAACACAGGTCCTTAGGTTTGGGAGACACTCGAATGATCAAGCCACTCGGGGGTAATTATGCCATGAGAGGCGAAACGCCGTGGTTAAAGAGCCTGATCTGGCCAACAGAGTAAAGCCAGTGAGTTCACGAAAGTTCCCATTGTCCCAGCGCACTGCCCTGTCATTAAGCCAGTCATTGAGCCATGGAGTCCGCACGTATCACAGAGAAACCTCCCGCCATTGAGCATGTCGAAACAAGCGATGAAGCACCCGTCAAGGGTGACGCAGCAGTGGATGCAGCAACAAGAGGTCAGGCCACGACCGGATACGAGCATCTCAGTGTCATGGAAACGATCAAGACCTTCAAACTGGCCAGTCTCATATGCGTGGCTATGGCCTTCAGCGCCGCTACCGATGGATACCAGATTGGGTTCGTATCACCCTGCCGTATGAAGCAGCACGTTAACATGGTCCAGTATCAACGCCAGTATCATTGCCAACAAAGGCTTCGTGGCTCGCTTCGCCACCCAGAAATCGCACAATGGTTCCCCGGCACTCGCCTCCTCGATCCTCAGCGGCTGGAGTTCGGTCATGTCCTGCGGTCAAATCGTAGGCATGACAAGCTTGCCGTTCTTGTCTAGTCGATATGGAAGGAAAATTGCCATGTACAGCTACTGGCTTGTCTTGGTCGGTAGCGTGATTGCTGAGTGCACTACACGGTCATGGAAGGGCTGGCTGGTGGCCAAGCTCCTGGCAGGAATTGGAGTGGGATGCGTGCAATCCACAGTGCCAACCTACATATCGGAAGTGGCGCCAACGCGCATCCGTGGTGGATTGTTGATGGCCTATAGTTTCTGGTGGACTCTGGGCTCATTCTTCGCCCAGGTTGCACTGCAGCATCTCTCACGGAGTGACCCTACAGATTATCTCACCCCGATCTACACCCAGTGGGCCCAGCTAGGCGTCATGTTGATCATCTACCTACTGGTTCCTGAGACACCGGCATGGTGTGTCAGCGCCGGCAAGCTTGATAGAGCCAAAAAAGAGCTGTTGAAGCTGCACGGAGGAGTCAAAGACTACGACGCCGACCATCAGTTACAGGTCCTGGTGCTAGCGGTAGAACATGAGCGTGCCGTGGCAATTAAACAACGCCGTGAGAAATGGTACGCGATCTTCCGTGGAACGGACGGAGTACGAACGGTCATCTCGCTCTGGACGAATCTCTCGCAGCAATTCATTGGTCTCACCCTGTTTGGGTCGTTCGGCACGTATTTCTTCCAGCAGGCCGGGATTGATGACCCGTTCAGAGTCAAGGTCATCACCTCGTCGATTCAGATTGGCACGGTGCTGGTGCTGGTGGCCGTCGTAGACTTTGTCGGAAGGAGATATCTCGCATGCGGGGGAACAACCCTCTCATGGCTGTCGTGTGTCGCCATCGGTATCATAGGTGTTACACCACGGGTGAAGGCCTCCACATATATTTTCGTGATGTTCGCCTGTTTCTGGAGTAAGTCACCCCTTCCCAAGAGTCTTTGCAGTTACCAAGGGTATCAGATGTCGGTCTGGCCGCAAACGGAGCCACAGGATGGGGGTATATCGGCGAGATCTCCTCCCAGCGTCTGCGACCGTATACTGCCGGCTTCGGTGCTGCAACCACCTGCGTGGTGGGAGTTGTGATGAACGTCCTAGTACCTTACATGACCAATGCCAACGAATGGAACTGGGGCCTCAAGACGGGGTGGTTTTACGCGGGCGTCGGGTTCCCTTTTGCCCTGGGCATGTGGTTTCTAATCCCTGAAACTGCTGGGTACGTTGCCTGCCTTTGAATATTGAATACAACTAGCTGATAAGTGAATGCCAGTCGTTCCGCCGCGGAATTAGATGAGCTGTTTGAGAGAAAGATTAAGCCATGGAGATTCCATAAGACGCAGACAGCGACACAGCGCCTCGTTCAGGAAACTAAGGGGGAGGACCAGTAGGTCCAGCACTGTGAGGTCGGCAGTTCGAACCACCGCATGCAGCTTGGGGACATTGAATGAGAGGAGCATCCGTGTATTTAGTAATGGTGGACAGTGAATACTAACATAGTACCAGAAGTGAGTGGTCGTGATGGATCCAGGTCGATTCACAGTAATTTACGGAATATGCCCAGAATTAATGTGTCGCCCTGATCCGCCGTCCAGTGCACTTTTCCAGTATATCCCATTCTGATAGCATAGAGATCTCACCAGAGTAGTATCTCGGTAAGTATCCCACTACAGCCCTTGTTACATGTCCGGGAGAGGTCCCAAGGGCAGTGTATGGAACGCGGCAGCGTTTTTAAAGGCTACCGATTCCCCAATTGTCGATTGTACTTTAGGATACAAAAGGAGTAGGAAGAAACGATGTGTTGATTTCATTAGGTTGGTACATTGACTATGTGGACCAGCTCTTTATCCGCCCCTGGTAAATGATCCCTAGCAAGCTTAAGCAAAAGCTCCCCCCAACCTTCTAACCACCAATGCCCCGAGAGTATCTGCAAGGCGGACCCGTAGAACGCAAGGGCGAGGAGTGCTATCCGCTCTTTCCGAAGCAAACACTCAAAATAGTATGGGTCGACCACGACTGGCCATGCCATGATGGCCCTCGAGTCTCCGCTATTCAGGTAAAGTTGAAGTAGATCTAACAGGTTCCCAATCGAGCCGTGGGGGGCCGGTGTAAAAGGCCCCGAGTTCAATGATGGCCCCGCTTGCGGCTGGTTGAGGGCCAACGACTGGAGCTGCGTGTACAGAGCCAGAGTATACCGTTCCGCAGCTGTTGGGATCGGCTTTTGGAACTGACCATCCCGCAGCAAAGGATGCAATGGTCCTTCTTCGATCCAGGATCTCGCCTGGTCCACGACGGAGGCCATCCCACGAATTAACCTGAACGCTTCGACCACTTCACTCAGATTCTGGACCCTTGAGGTCTTCCTTGGGCTCTGGGACGCGAATACAAAGACTGGCACGAGACATGATAACGCAAACAGAGCGTGACAGTTTTGGCGGGTAATGTTATTGAATAACGGGGTACACAATGCCAGAGACCTGCTATGATGCGTCATGGCGGCTTCGGCATATAACTGGCAATGGCTCAAGGGCACAGTCTGGGCCCGGTGAAGGGCAGAAACTGCCAGAACACTGTGCATCAGGAAGGGGTTCGCCAACCCCTCCTGTGGCATGGCGGTGCGTATGACATCCTGCAGCGGCTTAGCATCAGCTAGGTATTTCGCGGTCACTGTATGCCAGTGGTGTAATAACTCCAAGTCTAGCAGTGGGAGCACAGAACTGCCCGGACGGTCCAGAGGAATGTCGGCAATTGACCGATGTGGGGAGGTCTGGGGCGCAAAGCTCTGAAAATCACAGGAAGCTGTTTCCTGCAGCAGGAACCACAAAAAGGACGAACTTCATCACATTTTATTTGGCGCCGCTTGCACTGGGTGCAGCCGTGGTGAGACTTGGAGTGGGATCGACGCGACGGCATTGGTGTCTCGCGGGGGTTGAGTGTGGATGTTGGCTGCAATCTGGGGTATGGGGATATTAAACTTGACCAGGCATTGTGGGGTCGGTATCTTTTGCTCCATCCGGCTAAGAATACGAGATATGGGTCACTGCTAGTCAAGATTGCCTCATAATGTCCCGGGGACTCCAGAACCACCAACATTATCCAGAGGTACGAAATATGGAATGGTCATTTGCAGAAGAACTGCCTCCAGTCATGCCTTCTCGCTAACAATAACACCGACAGACTCCTCATTGTCGAGTCTCGGGGCAAAACGACCAGCGATCTTCGTTTCTCCCCTTGAACCTCGGTATCAGAGCAGCGATCTAGCTCCTGAACGGTATGGTTTACGAGCATCCATCCGGATGCAGGAGATACAGAGAATAGAGGTATTGTCTGTAGCCGAGCCTAGGCTGGCTACGGCAAATGCAAAGCAGCACGTATATAACGATAACAGTCCCCGGTTATACAGCCGTATATCCCTCAGACAGGATAGCGCAGCCAATTTGCGGAAACAAAAGATGGCTCTTCTTCCTCTCATTGTTCTAGCTGGGCTCTACCTGTCGATAGCCTCAGGACAAGCGCCTCCGCAAGCTGAGCCCCTCGAAGTCGTCGAACTTCCACTCCCTCCCGTGGCACCGAGCAATGATGTTGGCGCCTGCACCGCTGACGTGAATCCGCATCGAACCGGCTGTATTGGTCAGAATTCAGAGGAATTCCAAGCGGGTGATTTTACCCCGGACGGAAAGCATGTCGTTGTGAACGTCGAGTTTGTAGGCGCTCCAGCCGCTCCTGATCCCGCCAGTATATATTCAGGTGAACAGCTTATTCTCGTCAAAGCCGACGGTACCACGTTTGCCAATGGTGACTCGTGGAGGTGCCTCAGCTGTGGTGTTCCCGCTGAGAATGCCAAGTCGCTGGACCCCCAGAGGGACTATCCACATGTTGCTCGCAGTGGGAAAAAGGCCCTCTGGGGCCACAACATCCTGGAATGCGGCGGTCTCCTTTTGACCAGCGACAAATGCACTCCGAACAAGACCTTTATCTATCCCATTTATTGGCCAGTTAACGCGGATGGCTCGGGACCAGGCGGATCTCCCCGTGAGATGCGTATGCATCCCGACGATGAGCACATGGGATGGAGCTCCTTCACGTCGACTGGAGGACAACATGCTTACTTTGGCCGCCTGAAGTTCAATAAGAAGCCATTGACTGGCGACGTCCTAGCCCCTCGATATGACCTGGCAGATGTGAACGTTCTGATTCAACCCAACGGGGCGGCTGCTATTATGGCAAAAGGCGATGAACTAGAGCTACACGACGAAGCCATCACCGTCGGAGAGTTGCGCGGATTCGGCGGCTCTGGTGATGAGATTCTTTACATTGGCTCCCCTCGGGAGGCAAATAATATCGATGTGTTCGCTGTCCATGTAATCACTGGCGCCGTTCGTCGGCTGACGAGTCACCCTGAATATACCGATCCAGTCGCATTCTCCCATGACAACAAGTGGTTCGTCGCAATGGACACCCGGGGCTCGGATCGCCAGATGTGGATGTCTGGCATGCGCATGGTCCCTCCCCTGATTGACCTTGTCACTGTCACAGCAGCATCTTCCACCCGAAACAATGGCCAGCGTCGCTTTTTCCAGCCTATCTTGATCGACCGCTACGGTAATCGCGGAGACTACTTTGGTCAGCAAGTCAATACTGAAGGTGACGGCAGTAATGGGAGCGTCAACGACCCAAACTGGAACGGCCGCGCGGATCCAGCCTTTTCCCCAGATAGCACTCGCATTGTCTTTTGGCAAGCCTTGGTGACGTCTCCCGCCTGCGGAGGCGTGAACCCCCTCGTCTGCCCTAACTCGACCGCTGACGGAGGGCGCACCTACCGTCTCATGTTGGCTCATCGTACAAGTCGCCAACCCACGAAACCCGCCCCAGTGTTCAAAGTCCCGGCCGCGATTCCCTGGGCGACACCATTCCCCCCTGGTGCTACTATCCCAGAACAATACAGCCTCCCAGCAGGGAATTACACCCTCAAAGGGCAGGTCAGTGGCATTGCAGACGTCAGCATCGTGGCCAACCCGACAACAGGCGGGTATCGGACCATCTCCGTTGAGTACGACGATTACTCCGATGATGGCGAACATATAATAAACGGCTACGAGTCCGTAACTACAACACCTAATCCCTCCAACCCGTGGTTGAATCAGCTGGACTGGGTCTCGGATCTTATACAGACGGGCGTAGTCAATGCGACGAAGAAGACGGGTCCAGGGGGGTTCCAGCTGTCTATTGATGCCACGACGAACATCTTCAATGCGAATGGGACGTTGACTACAACTATTGATGGGGTTGTGTATAGACAGCCCGCGAATGGAACTTGAGTCGTCGGAGCACCGTGACTGTCAGAGAGTGGTTGAGATCTGTTTGTATGTAGATAAATAGTGGTGGGCGCAGATGGATAGCTATGTCTACCTGGGGAATCAGTTGAATGCATTTTTATTGATGGATCGCCTTGTTTGATCATGAGGTGGGGGTGGAATGGTAGAGAATTAGGGGGTCAATTTCCCTTGGTACATAAAAGTGACACTATTCCAACTTATCCCAGACTCGATGGAAACTGATTCAAATCCTGCCCTTCAATTGATTATTGATCAATCAAGCTTTCACAAACTCCAGTTGCTGGTCCACCACATCCCGAACCATCTGGTCCCAAGAGCGCCATCGCATCCCCAACTCTGCCTCTGCTTTGCTACTGTCCGTTGGCAGAAACTCTTCCTCGATACCTGGTGTGATCTTCGCCCCGAGGTCTGAACAATACCGCTGAACGACATTCGCCACCTCTTTCCAGGTCCCGGCCTTCCCCGTGAGCAAATACCTCGACCCGTCCGGGATGGCTGGATCCAAGGCCTTGAGGTGTGCTTCGACAACATCGTCGACATGCACACCAGGAACCTGGGAGTGAGAGTAATGAGGGATGCCAGTCATGATGGTATACCAGAGAAGTCCGTTCGAAGATTCCTGGATCTGCTCGGCAGATGTCTGCACGGGGTTGCGTCCATATACAAACACAGGATGGAGCGTTACCAAGGCATAATGCGGCTTGGCCGTCTGTCGGAATTCCCATGCGGTTTTGTTGGCGAGCAGTTTGGATGCATGGTACAACCGCATAGGTACTCCTCGTGGGTCATTCGAGGCTGTGAAGTCTTCGGTCTCATCTACCTCAAAGTCCCAGGCGTTGTCCTCTGGAATGATGTCAGTCCAGTTACGATCAGGCAGCCATGGACTCCGAATTCTCACCTTTGACGATGCCACCGGGCGGTACTCCATCCAATGGCATCAAGGCTGCAACCGATGATGTGATCACAACCTTCTTGATGCTTGGCACTCGAGCAGCCTCCTGGAGCAAGGCAGTCGTAGCTTTCACAGCTGGAGTGAAATATAACTCCTTATCTGTGCCACTGGGAAGAGGATGTGCGAGATGGACGACATAGTCTGCTCCGTCGAGCTTTCCTCTGAATATGGCTCCATCTGTCCAATCAGTAACAGTGACAAATTCCACTCGTTCGCTATCTCCCGATAGCAGAGCCTGTAGCTTGTCCGAGGGCTTTCGAAGACAGATTCGCAGTCGATATCCCGCTTTGAGTGCTGCCACGGCCGTGGCACTGCCAATAAAGCCAGTTGCACCGGTGATGAAGATCAATTCCCCCGCCATGATGTATAAAGTCCGAACCTAAGGGAGATTTGGACATAATTTGGAATATACAGGTGCTTTTATATCCTTCTGCATGGATTGGTGCGGTTGTATCTCTGACTGATGAGAATAACCCTAGAAGGGCGAGGGGAACGACCCTCGTCTATGATACTACCCCCCATTTAAACTCTTTTAGGAAACTGATCCAGTAAGACGGTAGTATTATACATCATGTAGAAAGACCTGAGGTTAGCGGGGCGTCGGATCCCGCTCCCGTTGCACTGCCTGCCATCCCCCTGCCTTCACTCGGGCCCATCTCAACTGTGATAGTGAAGGAACTTGCCATACGGTGTTAAAGCACTGATATCAACTTGTCGAGTGTGGCCTTCTGGGATCAAGATTGTCAGCGACCTGAACAGTCCTATCACATCCTATGAATGGGAACGTGTAGTCTCACGGGCTATATGATAATGAGGTACTGGATCAAGACATCCTGAAAGAAGAAAATCTTGCAGGGGAACCTCATCCAGTTCACCATCCTTCCAATGGAGTGAATTTGGCAAAAACGCCATCCTTCGGTACAATAGTAGCTCCCTCTCGCACCTCCAGCGGAGCATTGGGATATTTCAATTCGAACTCAAAGCTACCAACAACCGCAGCCAAGAGACATGCAAGTTCCGCCTTGGCAAATCCCTGTCCAATGCAACTGCGCGGACCGTGAAGAAAGCTCAGGAAAGCGTAGTTTTTGGTTGCGCCACCGGTGTTGGCCATACCGGGGCCCATCCATCGATCTGGGTTGAATTGTTCCGCGTCCGGTCCCCACAGCTGCGGCAGATGATTAACAAGTTCCGGCGAAATGACAACCAGTGTACCCTTAGGGATAGGCTTTCCCATCAGTGTGGTTTCCTTCAGCGCTACCCGAACGGTGTTTGGGACAGACGGGTGGAAACGAATGACTTCATTGCAGACGGCATGGAGGTATTCGAGGCTGTCGATTGTCGCAGCATCGATGGCACCGGGGTTTTCGACGTTGATAGGTGGCAGGTTGGCGCGAACTTCTTCTCGCAGGCGGGTCTGGACTTCTGGGTGCTTGCAAAGCGCATACATCGCCCATTGAAGAGCCCCGGCGGTCGTCTCGTGGCCGGCGCCGAGGAAGGTCATCAACTGGTCGACGAGGTTCTCATCGTCAAAGTTGCCACTTCGCATGGCGACCGAGATGATGTCGACCTGGAGGTCTGCACTTGGATCTTCCATCTTGACTCTTTGCTCCCGAATCATCTGCCGCGTAGCCTCACGGATATTGCGGCAGCCCGCGTCAATGAGCCTATTCCGCTTGGTAGGTAGTTTTGCTAGCCATTTTGTATCCCCAAGAAGCATTCCAAGAATAAAAAGAAACTTCGTCCCAAGACCCGGAGTAGCGAAGATCATTTCGTAAGACTGGCTGAGACTGTTTTCCGGGTCACGCAAGGAGTCGAAATCCCGGCCCATGCCCGCCAGACCGATGATGTCGAGCGAGGATCGACTGGCCCAGTTTCTCACTTGGACTGTGTGATCTTCGGTCTCTTTTCTGTTCTGCAGATCCTTTCGAATCAACCGGACCATCTCCGTGCCCTTGGACCAGAAGACGGGATAGAGATCCTTGATGTGGCGGTACGCAAAAGCGGGTTTGAGATTCTTACGTTGAAACTACAAGAACAACTGTAAGCTTCAAAACAGATCAATTGAATGCAAATGAATATCCTTACCTTGTGCTCCTCGCCCTCGGCAATCAGGATGCCATTGCCGAGCACACGACCCAATGCTTGCTGTATCACCAGGGGCTTGGCGAAGTCGTAGGCTTTGCTCACCAAGATTTCGCTGAGGACAGCAGGGCTGGTTATCGTGAGCCTCTCCATGTTTCCCACAATGTAGTAGCGAATGATTCCATCATTAGGGATCGTCTTGGCCCACTCCTTCATTCGTGCATGGGGCGTGTCGACGAGCACACTACCGGCATTGCCCGTGAGCCAGTGCCGATTCTAGACGCTGTCAGTTTCCGAGGCAATCTGACCATGGGGAATTTGTGGCTCACTGATGGGACGGGGAAGTGTTTCAATGGTGTGAAGAATTGAGGGTAGAGGAATAGCTGATAGATCAGCTTTGAGATGGTGATGACTGTAAATAGAACGGCAACAGTCGCGATTCTAGAGCCGTAGATGGCGTGCTCTGGCATGAAGTAGACGCCGGCTGCTACGCCGAGGTAGAGGACACCGAGGTGATCACTGATGAGCCCCATGGTGGTGGCTGGAGCTCCAGAACTCGTCCGCGACAAAGAAGTGAGGCTACGTTTCTGGTGCAGGCCACCCGTATTTCAATGATGAGAGTGATCAACTCCCGACAGCCTGGGCCAACACCGCGCCTGAGACTAATCGTATGTTTACTTTTGCCAGTGTTGCCCACTGGTCACCGGAGCTCGGGCGCCGTCTGGCCCGTCTCCGCGTTCGATTGTGGCATTCTGGCGGATCCTGGGTGTCAATAATAATAGGGCAAATACTGGGCGAAGTCGTGAGGCCCACTTTCGGAAAGGAAAGTGGTTGGTGAGAACATATTTGATTGTTCATGCCACTACTCTCTTTTAATAATCTGTCTATTGATCTGCCCTTTATACTTCCGACTTCACTGCCAGCTCTTGCCAGGTTACCTAATGCTTTGGAGAGCCTTCTTGTGGCACCTACTAGTTCGTCTTGGAAAGGGAGCATTGGTTGTTTATACTGAACATAACATATGTTATATATAAACTAACCTTCCATCCATACTCGCACCGGGTCAAGCGACACTGCCGAGTTTGCACTAGCTAAACCTGATTGACGCCCTTCCAAAAAAGAACAGACTCTCCCAAGGCTTCCATAGCTAGAGAATTGAAGTTTTCGCTCCCAGGAGCTGTCTTCCCATAGCTCCTCAAGTGCGGCAGAAACTCATCTGGGCCACGAGCCAACTCGCCGGTTGTCGAGGTAATTGGGCTTATGGAGGCAAAAGCACTATCCGGGTCTTGGAAAACGGTACTGTCGAAGCGTGAATCGTAGGTTTCTGGAACCTCTGAATCCATGTAGCTGTAACCACTTGTGGGAGGCGAGAGTAGCTCAGACATTAAATAAGCATTTGTCGGTCCTTCCGAGGCCGGCTTCTGCCGTTTGTGCTGAGTCTTTCTGGCCTTGATCACGTCGGTGACAATAAGTGATAGCTGGTAGAGCCGTCGATTATATGACGCTTCTGCTCGGCTGTCGGTGATGGTCTGAAGCATCTCAACAAATTCTTGTAGCATGTCCACGTCACCATTGGACCCCTGACCACAGAGGATGGATGACAGTATTTCGTAAAGATATAGTGGTGGAAGAGATGCGAGAAAGCTATATCAGATGGAACGGTCAGTCTGAGCCATCGAAAGCAACCAAGGAAGTATCGTTACTCACAACGAGAAAATGGCATGGCTCCCTTCATCCGGCGGGGAGTGCCAAAGATGGAGCAAGAGTTTCAAACACGTTCTAGCAACCTCTAGAGCCCGTTGAAACATGGGGTCGGGATGGTGTTTGTGGGGCCAAATGACTAGCAGCTGAACACAAAGATATCTGAGGGCCAACTGGAGATTCGAGGCGGAGCTTTCCGGGGATTTCTGTAGCTTGTCGAGGTCAACTCCCGAGTCAGCCAGACAGCCTTGGAGTCTCGACCAAATCGTGGCTGCGAATCCTCGGACTTGATCTTCGTTTCTCGCCTGCACGTGGACAGCATATATCTCCAAGTAGATGGCCTCTTCGATTCTGGCCATCTCGGCTTTTGCAACAAGGCTGGATGTGATACTGTTGTCAGAAGGCACCAGGCCTGGGTCGAAATAGACTTCGGAAACTGGTATACTTGGAGAGGACCCAGCTGTCCAGGAAACGGCCTTATCGAGAACGTATAAGCAGTATGAAATGTTCTGCCTTTCTTGGATGTCTTCAGCGCTGAGTTGACCTTGAAAAGAGTGCCATTGGTGGATGCCGATGGCCTTGGCGCATCTGGTGGCTAGAGCAAACAGCGTCTCGGATAGACCTATAGAGAAGTACATTTGCGCTACTATGTGCTTCTCGTTGTCAGCGATTCCGTGCAACGGCCAGGCGGGCATTATCCAGAGTCATACCAGAGATAAGAGGGCCTGGACATTGATTAGGTGAGGTGAGACAAGTTGGTCAATATGGTTGACACCGCGTTTCGCGTTGGTCAGAAAGCCCGCGATGATGTCAAAGTCAATTGACGAAGTCTTGCGCGTCTGCTTGGTTTGCAGTGACTCCCGCTGGTGAGAGCATAGGGAGTCCGCTGACATGGCCATGAGAATGAGGCTGTTGCAGCAGACGATGGAGGCAAGGTCCCGTTCGGATGAGGCCGAATGCCGCAAGGTCGTAGCCATCTGAGTGAACCTTTTCTTTGTCCAGATAGGAAAGTGGTTGTTGGTTGTGGTAAAGTATGGCTCAATCATGGCATCCAAAATGGCGAAGGGAGGCATCGTCGGCAGTGACTTTTCCCCGGTGAGAACCTCCTCTCCTTGGCTAACTAGAAGATCTATCTTGTGCTGTGCTTGCAGAACGCTTTCCTTCACGGTGTGTCCATCGATATCAGGACTCTCGAAGAGCTCATCCTTGATGTTGAGCATCAGTGACTCGAGCGATGTCGGGCCAAAGCATCTCTTATCATTATTTTGGACCAGAAGAAGACGGCCAAGCGGCCTTGTAAATACTGGTGTTTTCAACGAGTCCGGGAGTCGTTGAGGAGTCAACTGAGGGGTGGGCCTCGATGGACTGGCCGGGTGTCTTGAAGAAGGAGGTGAGACAACCGGTGACCCCTCGAAAAGTCGTTTCAAGGATCTTTGTGTGTCCGCCAATGAAGTCTTCAAAGCACTCATTTAGAAACTGACCACGGACGTCTATCAGAGTGCGTCCGGCTTACCTCTAGTTGTTGAAGGCGACTGCCCATTCCCAGGATAGTGTGGCTCCTTTAGATCATCAGCTCGGAGTAATAATGTGGATAGGATAGGAGGGACAAGGTACATACAGAAGAGTTGTTTGATTGCACTTTTTGCCCTGACCAGACCACTCACACTGCAAGCCGAGGCGGCCACAGTTCCTGCACGAGGGCTTTTCTCTGCTGCAGCGTATCTTCCTGGCCCGGCATTGGTCGCACACTGATCCCAGTGATTGGTTACCTAAGGTTTGATTGCTTTTGGGGCCGTTGGATCGGAGGCTCACTTACCCGTGTACTCTTCTCTACTGACCTCCTTTGCCATTTTCCCAGCTTGCCAGAAAACAATTGTCCGCTGCGTAGAACCTTGATTGCACTCAAGATGGGACAAAGCTCGGGCCTAACCTCTAGCTTAATATCTTACAATGAACGTGGGCGAGAAGCATTTATAGGAGCAAAAAGCTTTGTTTGCCAGCCGCACTAGGGATTACTACCCTCTATTCCGTTCTGCAGGCTGACATGCATGGTTAATGGGGGCCACTTGAATATCACCAACTGCTGGGCACCATTAGGACCCAGGGCCAAGCATGCACAGGACCAACCATGGCCCAGCAATCGAGTGTGATTCGATGCCCCCGACTCAATTCGACAGCATCCGCCTGATAAGAAGTTAAGAAGGGAATGTGCTCTCCGCAGTTCTAGTTGCTGCTCGTCTTCAGTGTATGTGTTGTGGACATTAATACAGTCTATAATAATATATAGTAATATATCCCTTACTCTTTTTATTAATGAGCAAACAAGTGAAAGGCAAACAAGAGAAGAGGTTGAAAAATGTTGGAAAGTACATCGGGATCTGCTCAATGAACATATTCTCGAACACAGCCACCAAAGTGTCTTTTTTCGGCTGTGTTCGTCGAACCATAATTCATCCTCTTCCGTTGTCGTTCCACCTCACTGATTGACCGAAATCTTATTCTCATAACATAATAATATTTTAAAATATCAACCTTCGTAGAACTTGCCCGTGAGGATGCAGAAGTGGACTCGGTGGGCTTGTATCGGTTCAACATTGTTCGAGGCGCAGCCATTGCAATTAGGAGTGTTGACTTTCTTATAGTTATATGACATTAGGCTGATCATTGAGCAGATTTAAGCGAAGATATAGGTCTGAGGATGGACCGTGAACTCCGATGGACTACTGATAATCTACTGGCGAGACTGAAATGCGAGAAGCGTGGTTCAGTCAGGAGGTATATTCGGATATCATGCAACTCTCTCTCTTTCTCTAGATCTGACGGGGCTCAATTAGAATGTAAGAAACTACAAAGGTAGCCTACTATACTAAGAGGCCATCCCTAAACAGTTTGTGCTGATTGGTGCCAAAAAGGAAACTCAAAACAAGAAGCATTCAGTCAAGTGGGACCAAGCCAGAATGCGACGGTGCCATGCTCGGCCTTGTGGACCATGCTGGTATCTACTCCGTACAACCCAGTGATATTGGCTAAATGCAGTAATTGGTGTGTACAAGGGTGACACTAGCGTGAGGGGGTGGCGCCTCTCTTCATGTCTTAGCAGTTTGGCGCCTGTGATGGCGTGCTAGAGGCAATAGCCCCAAGCTCAGAGTACGTATGGTCCAATCCGGCTTCCACCTCGAGAGAAACAAGACTGCGGCAGATTCCGGAGATCTTCCGCTGATCGACAAGAATACAGTCAGCCTCCCATAAGCCTGTGGAGGTAACAGGACGTAAGCTTATCTCTCGCAAGGGTTTACTACCCCTCACCTCGTGCCACACAGGTAGTTTTAGTGTGGTTTTCATTACCAACCCAATTGGTCACCCTGAGCATCCTTACATAGGTAATGAAGGGGGAAATCTGTGTATTTTATCTCCTGTATTGATGTTTTGACAAATAAAAAGAGACACTAGAAATACATGCTTGGAGCAGGTGAGGGGAGAGGGGAGATGACTTTGCTTATAGCGGCGGTTGCTTAGGATAACAGGGAGGGGTAAGTCTGGGTTTGTGATTATCTCGTTAGAAGGAAAGGAAAGACTCCATGCTGACATAGAACATGAATGCTTGAAAGAAGATAACGCCATCCGCTCAGCGCTCGCTCCGGAGACTAGAGAGCTTATTTGAAGATGCTGGGGAGATGGGTGGAATATCTCATATGATTCCCCATGTCTCGGGCACGGGATCCGTGATCGACGCTCACTCGGTCAGGCCGGCGAAGGCTCCGACTGGCTCCTCGGACCTGGCGTTTCTGTTCATATTCCCCATGGAGCTTGACAAATTGATCTGACTTGCGCGAGCCGTCGTTTGGATTTTTAATTGCGCCCTGGCAGAATCTCACCTCGCCTGCTACACTGACTGTGGAAGGACCCGACTGGAAAGAAAGGATGAAACCAGATCAGGACCTCTTGGGCAAAGTACGCATGTAGATACTAGTCCTCGACGCACGGCGGCAATCCCAGGATACTCACTGACACATTGGCAGACAGCGTTTGTTACCGGTGGCTCCGGTGGATTAGGAAAAGCCATTTCCAACATACTTGCGGCGCGTGGTTGGTGAACCCTCCAGCTGGTTACCGAGAATATGACTGATCTAGTTAAGGTGCACATGTCACAATATTCGCGCGACGACCGGGCCCTCTAGAAGATGCGAAGAATGAGATAATCAAGAATTGTGTGGATGCCAGTCGGCAAGAAATCAATGCGGTGGCTGTGGATATGGCTGATGCCTCTGCGGTATGTTGCTACAATTCCAGAAGCACAAAAGTGCAGGGGAAGAGGAGCATGCGAACGAGCGTTCCCTGACAAGCAAACAGGTTTCAGAAGCATTCAGATCCCAGCCTCGAATTCCAGATTTCCTCTATTGTTCCGCGGGTGGAAACCATGCGGAGAACGGGTTTTTCGTCGACCTCCAAGCTACGCAGCTCGACTCTTGCATGAAGAATAATTATTATTCCACTGCCTATGCTGCAAAGGCCATGTTGGATCTCTGGATCGAGAACGATAAGAAACCGACTGGCATCGATAGCCCAAAACGCACCACTGGACCCAACATCAGGAGGATTGTCTTTGTCAACAGTGCGGCGGCGTTCCTGGGGCTGCCTGGGAGCGTTGCTTATACTCGTAAGCCGATGATCTTGATCTCATGATTCGAGTTTGTGTCGTCGACTAACATCCTCCAACTCAAGCCGCCAAAAGCGCTGTCCGAGCCCTGGCAGACACCCTCCGCTTCGAGGTCCTCCGCCACAACTCGTCCAAGACCACGTACACCATCCACATCGCCTTCCCGGCCGACTTCATCTCCCCGGGCTTCGTCCTCGAACAAGACACCAAACCGGACCTCACGAAGCGGATCCAAGGAACCAACGTCGCCACTTTTGCGGAGCTCGAGGAGAAATTCCCGTCGTCGGAAAAAGTGGCTCGTGGGATTATTGCGCGGGTGGATAAAGGGGATTTTATTATTTGCGAGGATTCGTTGGCCGCCAGTCTTTTGTTTACGAATATGGTTGGCTTGAGTCCCAAGAGAGGGCTCGGGATCGTGGATTCGTTGTTGAGTGTAGTGATGGGGTGGTTCGTTGTGCCGGTGCTGAGGAGGAGGTGGGAGAGGATGTGTAGGGAGGATGGTAGCAACAAGCAATGAGGAGTCATGCATCTCACTCAAGAGGAGTTCCAGGTGTGTCAAATTTTGATTATGTAGTAGGGATAAGAATGCAAGTGTATATTCAATGCTATATCGCATCTTCGTCGGACATGGATAAGAGTTGTCGCTCTACATCCGGCCAAACTCCTTTCCGCAGAGAATACAACAACCAATAATTACCGGTAGCGTCTTTTCCAATCACCACGCCTGTATTTCGGGTTGCATAGCCTTTGGTCCCGGTTCCCTGGATACTAGATGGTCTGCCCAGCTGATTACTTCGCTTGTGCGCTGTCATTCCTTCTCGTTCGACTGCGGCGGAGAAATCAACCTCGAACAGTTTCGCTTTGACCCAGTTAGATATCATGATCGTGTACATACTGGGATTTCCGAATAGGACTGGATGATGCGCGTTGTCGAGAGTATCTCTTTGGATGGCGTCCAGTGCCTGGAGTTGTTCGGCGTTCCGTTGCTGTATCAGAGACTTGCGGACTTCAGATGCGGTGAAGCTGAGAGGTTCTTCGAGAACCTGGCGGACGGAAAGGAAGGTCAGAGTTGCGAATACGGCATTGGTTACCAATGCACATGAAGCGGATGGTATATGACCAAGCTCTGCTAAGATTGATCGGCAGCAGTATGTATTCCGCATATTAACCGTGCGGCTGGGGGAAGGTTTTTCGGCTCGAAGAACGACGCGCGCCCACCAGGCAAATAGGATGTCCCCCTCACTGATGAACAGGGGTTTGTCGCTGTCGCTGGTTTTCTGCGATGCAAGTTCCTCCATCGCCTTATCTCGCATCCGTTGCAAGTATTTTGCGGGCAAGAAAATGACCCGTTCTTCCTCCCGGTGTTGCCAGAACAGCTCAACCGTAAAAATATACCGCAATGCGAACACCAACCATGTCCAACCGATGAGCAACGTGTTGGCAAAGACGTATTTTTGCAGCGGTTTGTTCTTTGTCTCAGCGAGGCCGGCTAGTGGATCGTGAGAAAATCCCACAAAAGGCTTGACTTCATCTTCTTGTCCGCGAAGCACTGCACTCCAGGCGTCTAGGACGGCATTGAGGCCCATCATGTCCATCAAACTATGAAGGAAAGAAACGGTCATGAGGGTTGCGTCTTGGAAGGCGATGATGCGAACTCCCAGCTGGGGACTGTCTGAACATAGCCAACCTTCCAAGCGATCGGGGAAGTCTGGAGTCCGGATAAAGGATCGGAACTCTGGTGTAGCTGTATATGTGACATTGAAAACAGAGGGGCGACCAGCGGCATCAAGACGGTGAGGTTGAGCTAATCGCGATGCTTGTGGATGGTCGGCCACCTTTGTGTCATAAGTGACTGTGGAGTATGCAAAGCCAGGCCGATTGTCGTCGAAACGTTGTGGAACGTGGTACTCTAGTCCTCCCTCTGCATTCCTGCGGATTCGAGCACCGAGTTTGCGCCAGTCTCCTAGTTCCAATAACCGGGATAGAGCACGCTGAAGCTTTTCATGGTCCAGGATGTCATCGAAGCGGAAAGTGACGTCGAAGGAGAGGCCTCGCGTATGGTGGTCGTCATCCCAGTAATGGAAAGGGATGATGGTGTCCGTTGGTACGGTCGGCGGAGGGGCAGGCTCCCTCCCAGAACCGAAAAAGCCCATGACAATTTCCTCCAATGGAGGTTATCGATTAATGATGAAGATTGTTCCCGTCTGGTGGTGATCATGGTTGTGGATGTGATTGTGGCCGTGGTTGTATGATAAGTTTGCCCCACCGACCGGGCCGAGCCTTCGGGGATCGGAACCCGCCTGGACCGGCCTCATCCATCACAGGCCACACTTGGGAAAGAGTTTTCGAGGTTTCGACTGAGCCATCCACGTTCTTTGCATAGACAGAGTACAGAGAGTACTCTTCGTCAAGTATTCTACTCTCCTATCCAAAGGACACGTGACTGTTAGGATCCTGCTGAGTAAGATCGACTAGTGACCCGGAAGAATCGGTGATCCGGGATCCGAATTCTGGAACAAAGGGGTCTCAATACAGAACACTCTTCCATCACCTCAATTTCAGCACACGCGGTTGACAGCGTGAAGGTAATCATCTCATCTCAGAATTGGCAACTCGACGTCCATTCTTGCGACAGTATCGCTGGATCAGCTTGAGCCCTGAGCCGACGTGGCTTGACAGTTAAACTATCGTGCCAAGCATGGGCCAGGCCGAGTTTAACGCCAGATCCGGAACCACTACCGAGATATCCGCATCCGCACTTCAACAGGAATCAGATGCGGAGCCCATATCAGAGAAAAAAGGGAACACAGAGACAGAGACAGAGACACAGTCAGGCGAGGCGGAAGTTCCTGCCGAGAGAAATGGCGTGCATGATGTCGAGAAAACACCAAAGAAATCACTGGCCTTTAAACTCGCTTTCATAGGCCTTGCTGCCAGCCTTTTTGTCTTCCAGTTGGATGCAACGGCGCTCGGTATTGCCCTTCCAGTGAGCAATACCACCTTTTCATCTGTTCCCTAAACCCCAAAGACTAACATCTTCGGTAGACCATAGCTCATGATCTAGACGGCGAGAGTTTGGAGTCCTTCTGGGCGAACTTGTCCTACACCCTATGTGGTCTTGTCATGCAACCGGTGTGGGCCAGTATCTCCAACGCGTTCGGCCGGAAACCGCCTCTCTACGTATCCATGGCATTATTCTTCATCGGATCCATCGTTTTTGCTGTTGCCCAAAATATGAACACCATTATTGTTGGCCGGGTGCTGCAAGGTTTCGGTGGTGGAGGAATCGACGTGCTTGCGGAGGTGATTCTCGCAGATATGACGACGCTGGAGGAACGCTCAAAATATCTGGGCTTGATGGCCATTCCAATGGCGATTGGCAATATCATGGGGCCCTCGGTTGGTGCACTATTCGCTACCTATGCGAGCTGGAGATGGATTGGATGGGTCAACTTGCCGTTGCTAGGAATCGGGACACCTCTAGTGTTCTTCTTCCTCAAGTTACGACCAGTCCCACTCGATGCATCGCTGGCCAAGAACTTGAACCGCCTCGATTGGATCGGTATGGTGATGGTCGTCGTCGGCATCACAATCTTTGTGTTACCCCTCAGTTGGGCTGGCTCCTTATTTCCATGGGCCTCATGGCAGACTCTGCTCCCAATGTTCTTAGGGCTTGCCGTACTGGTCATATTTGCTTTCTACGAAGCGAAACCCGCAGCGCCTATCGTTCCTCATCGACTCTTCCACTCGAAGACTGCAAACATGACATTGGCCGGAGGCTTCATTCATGGCGCGATTCTGGTCGCGCTTCTTCAGTACTTGCCCTTGCTTTACCAAGCCGTGCAACTCGAAACTGCAATCCTGTCGGCCGTTTCTCTGCTCCCTACAGTCATTACTAGTGTGGTGGTCGCAGCTGCCTCCATGATGATGGTTCCGTGGTTTGGTGGATATGTCTGGCTTTTACGACTTGCATGGATCATACTGACGCTGGGAACCGGCTTGCTGGCCCTGTTCGACGTCGGATCGTCGTCATCCATGCGTCTCGGGCTTCCCATCCTATGGGGAGCGGGGGTTGCCTTGCTCCGTCTCAATCTGCTTCCCATGCAAGCGAGCGTCAAGAATGTTGACGACACCGGCCTGGCGATTGGGCAGTTTCTTACGATTCGCATGTTTGGAGGTCTCGTCGGCCTCACGATCTCTTCCACCATTTTCAACACCGTCTTCTCGACATCTATCTCCTCTACTACGGTACCACTTACAGGTCCCCTGGCGCCTCTCAGCGACATCTCCAACGCGGTTGCCTTTATCGACAAGCTGAGATCACTCGACGTTCCTCTTGAAACGCTCGATCAGGTGTTGCGGGTTTATCTGAAGTGCTTTCAGACGATCTTTTACACGATGACTGGGCTTAGTGGACTCGGGTTAGTGACTTCGATGTTCGTGGATGAGATTGACCTGAAGGGGCAGAGTCTCGGGAATCAGCGCTTTGAGGAATAGTCAGGGACCTCTAAGAAAGGAGGGAAAAAGGCTTTACAACAGTAAAATAGAACATAATTTCAAGCAGCCTGTACACAATAGCTTTGTTTCAACACTCAAATATTGTCATAATCAATTGTATCCCATTGTTTGGGCTGGTTGATCACGTCCTGCAGATCCTCCATCGCACCCTGCAGATCATCCAACCCCAAATGCAGCGCCAATTCAATATAATCCTTCGTCCACAATCCTGGCGAGCCCCGAGGGTACTGTGATCGGAACCCAACGAATCTCTGCGCCCGCTTCGACAACTTCTTCACGGTTTCAAGCTTGATGATGAAAGGATGTGCTTCGGATGGAGTCAGGAAACTCGGGATGACGGTCAGCTGTATGCATTTCCGCTCCGTCTCAGTTTTGTTCTCGCCCATCGCATGGATCACCTTCCCGCCGATGAGTAGACAGTCTCCGGTTTTCATCTCGGCCGGGATCGTCTGCTGCATATTCCCGCGTTGGTCAAAGGGCCACTTGTTGCTCCCGGGGATGAGGCGCGTGGCGCCGTTGTCCGCGGTGAAGTCCGAGAAGGCGAAGAGGAAGTTGATCTGAGGCTCTGTGCCCTCGGGTCCCAGCTGCGCGTATGGTGGATAGGACGTCAGATCCCGGTGCAGGACCTGCGCTGGCTGCGGTCCTGAAGCATTGAGGGTCGTGGCCGCCGAGAGCCAGTAGTCTCCGTTATGCCCGCCTTCGCTGTAGCAGCGCTTGCAGATGGCGTGGATGAAGTCGTTCTCGAGGATCCGCTCGCGGAAAGTGGCGCTGTGGTTGATGAGGTCCCCCGCGCGCTTGGTTTTGGTGCCGTGGAAGGCTGCGAGGTCCGGATGGGGGACCCGGGAGCCACGTTGGACCGAGTCGAGGCGTGACTCCAGTTCGGTGGTGATCTGGTTCGCTTCTGCGATGGTGAGCATGTTCTTCAGGATGACGCCGCCAGTTTCCTTCCAGTGCTTGAACACCTCGTCCAATGGGGTGTCCACTGTCACTTCCGCAAGCTGGAGGCCATTGGGTACGGCGACCTGCGGGACGTCCGTTGGGATTCGCCACATTTGAGTTATTGGGGGTCAAAGGAGGTATTGATGGCAGAGACAGACAGGAGGTGTGGAAAAGACTTCGATATCCAAGTTTAGCAAGTTGTTGCATGTGAGTTTATGAATATAAGATTATTTGGCTTTTCGTTCAATGACCTGACTCGTCCGACTCGGATTCCGTCCTCTGAAGCCTCCGGATTTGCGGATTCCGATCGCCCGGTTGATGCACGCAGCAGTGCAGCACGCTCGGTGTTCTATCACCAATGTCATACGATTCGAATGGGCCTTTACTTACAACGTGTTTGGAACGAAAGAGGAACGGATGTATCGGAAGCTACAGGGGGTGAGACATGTGGTCTCCAAGGATGAAGTCTTGTCTGTCATCAGCTCAGGACGACATATCCTGTGCATTTGATCCCAGAAGGACCAAGGACCATGACCGTAAGGGTGTAACCAGGATGACTGCCAATAGTTTGCAGCTGAGGCTCGTAGAACCATGCTCTCAGAGGCGAAAACGGGGGTATTACTACGAAGCCTTGAGAGCAAATATATATTTGGTATTCTTGCGATAGAGATGTACAATCTGAGCAGGACAACAAGAATGTAGAGGAAGGATTGATAGATACATGGAATATTGAACCGTCTCTTTCTTTGACTCTCCAGTAGAGCCTGTAGATAGTATGACGCTGAAACCGGTTTGAGCAAGGAGGAGTAGCACAACGTACGTTTCCAAGCAATCAAGGAGAGCATGGCTAGCTTTCGTTATTTTCTGTCGCAATCCTGTAAACCTCGTTTGCGGCATATTGACCGAGAATGTCAAGAGAGCCAATACTCATCATCTCCAGCATAGGGAGGTCGAAGGAGAAGACCTGCTTGATCCAAGCACGCAATTCGAGAGCCACCAACGAGTCGAGACCGAGATCGAGCAACGGCCAGCTCGTGTTAGGTTCCTCCTGTGGCTTGAGCAACAGATCGAAGAGTCTCTTGCCAATTTCGACCGCAAAGAGTTTCGCTGCTTCTGGCGACTTGAGAATGGAAGGATCCGCTTTGGCGTTGCTCAGGTATGATTTCAGCACATCTGTGGAGGCTGCGGTTGCGGCAACAGTAGAATTGTTGTGATAGGAGGCCATACGCCGGTCCTTCTTCCAGATCACGTAGTTGCTGGGATCGTGCAATGGAATGAGCAAAGCCAGGCCGACGAGGAAGGTGTTTTTGTGGACGAAATAAGAAGCGTTCTTCGAAGCGACAGCAAGGGCTTCGTCGACGGCCTGATCCGGTTTGTTGTGAACCAACATGGATATGGCCATTGCGTCAATGACCTCCTGCTCCAGGACAGGCTTGAAGCCGCTCCTGGACATCTTCCCCATCATCCCTTGGTGCTCCGAGATCCATCCAATGTCCTCGACGGCTCCCATATCCACCACGGAGGCTGCCAGGCCCAGTCCATTACGGTACTGGGCAAACGCATCCAGGAAGCTGTTTCCACTGGCATAGTTGGCTTGGCCCGCTTGTCCAACGATGCCTGATACGGAGCTGAACATCACAAAGAAATCCAGATCGACTCCCGCATCCATAGACGCGTTGTGGAGGTTCCATGTTCCCTGGACTTTGGGTGCCGTCGATGCCATCCACTCGTCGAAGCTCATCCTGGTGAAATTCTCGTTGGCAACCACCATGGACATCTGCACAACACCTTTGAGGGGATATGTCGCCGCGGCAATGGCTCTCTTGACGTCCTCGAGCTTCGTGGTATCTCCACTCACGAGCTTGACGGCACAACCCATGCTCTGGAGCTCGGCGACAAAGTCGTCATCTTTGGGCGTAAGGCCAGCGCTGCGGGACAGGTAGACAAGCTCGCGGGCACCGTGATCGACCATCCAGGTGGATACGGCACGACCAATACCACCTAGACCACCAACCATGAGGTACGAGGCCGACCCGTTAAAGGCCACCGTCAGAGCTCTCCTGGTGGTTTCCCATCCAAGCTGGGTTTCTCCTTCGACGGGCTTGAACGAAACCCCGACACGGCCGATGTGTCGTCCCTTCTCCATGAATCGGAACGCGTCTTGGGTCTGAGCTGCAGGAAAGATTGTCGTGGGTAGTGGGGAGATATATCCTTTGCCGTAAAAATCCAAGATGGAGAAAATCAAGGCTCTGGCGACATGGATTCTCTTCCAGAGGCCATCGATGTCGACACAACAGTAATTGCGGTTCGCCAGGAAGGGCTTCATGTCGAGTTTACCATCCCCGATCAGATCGCGTTTTCCAATTTCGAGTAGAGTTCCAAATTCCGCAACGCAGCTCCATGTGGCGTGCAAAAGCTCGCCGGAGAGGGAGTTGAGGATGAAGTCTATGCCGTGGCCGTCCGTCTCTCGCATGACACCATCCACAAATGACTTGTCCCGAGAGTGGAAGATCCTGTTTCGCGGGATGTGGTAGTTGTCCATCAAATACTTGACCTTCTCTTCGCTGCCAACCGTGACATACACGTCGGCCTCCAGCATCTGGGCGACTTGGATAGCTGCCAGGCCCACTCCACCGCACGCGCTGTGTATCAGGACGGACTGGCCTTTTGTGACACGTCCGACGTTGACTATGGAGTGGATCGCGGTGAAATACGGTATAAGCATCGTTCCGGCTTGATCGAAGCTGAGGCTGTCGGGAATACGCACACAGACTGCAGCCAAGGTAGTGGTGTACGTCGAAAAGGCGTCTTTTCTGCAAAAGCAAACAACCCGATCACCTACTTGAAGGTCATCGGGGCTGACGTCTGCTCCTACACGGGTGACGATGCCAGCAGCCTCAATTCCGAAGAGACGGACCGGCAGTTCAACGATGCCCAGTGCGACTAAAATATCCTAGAATGTCCTGTTAGTAGAGTATCCTGTAGAATAGGGAAAATCCTGGTTGACCTACTCTAAAGTTCAGCCCGGCGGAGTATACCTGGACCTCTACTTCGTCCTTGTCGAGGTCCTTTCGTTCATGTCGCGCATAGTGCAGACTGTTGACCCGTCCCGGCGTACGGACATTCAGTGTAGCCATCTCGTTGGACTCCTCTGAAACCAAGAGCTCATCGGCCAATATGAAAGGGTGGAAGCGTGCGACTTGAACCCGGTCATTGAAAATGGCCCATTCGAAGTCTGGATTGAGTTCCTCGTCACCTTGGCGGGTCTGGAACTTGGCAAGCACCTGAAGGAGTCGGTCGATGGACTTCGGACTGTCGAAACTGTCGACCTGACATGTTGCCAAATTGGCCAGCTGCTCCGTACGGATAGTTCTCGCGAGGCCGAGCACTTGTGCATATCGGGGATCGCGACATCCAATGTCGATGAGCTGTGTCGCCCAGAGCATTCCGGCGTCGCGCTCTTGAAGGCCGAGAAGGAAGGCCTTGAATGACAGGAAGCGGGCCTCGTCGATCTCGTGGAAAAAGGGCTGCTCGACGTCCAAGAGCGAAATCACATCTTGTCCAGCTGGCGGGACATCGTCCAATTTGCACCTGGTCACCTGGTAGCCCTTCGTTTCGAGCTGGCTCAAGATTTGGGTAATAGCAGGTCCCTCCTCCTCGAAAAGCGCGGTGACCTTCTTCGTGGGCGTTTCAAGGACCTGCCTTACGACCATGGTGGCTGTAACTTGATGGGGCTCTTCTGCATCCAGAGCCAAAGCCTCGATCTTGCCAAAGCCGGCAGCAGCAAGCTTCGACTCCCACCCTTCTCGCTCGATTGGCCCGTCGCTAGGATCTAGCCACCAAGTGGGGAGCACACCGAGCACATACTGCACCCATCTGGATGACGGGCAAAGCTCTTGCAGGAGCAATCTACCATCGGGGCTTAGGAGCTTCCTCACGTTGACCAAGCTTTCCTGGACATTTTTGGTCTCGTGAAGAGCATTGACAGCTATGATGAGATCGTACCCGACTTCCTCGAATCCCTGTTCGAAAGGATCCTGGCTAATGTCCAGGCTGGCAAACTCCATATTCGGGAATAACTTCTCTTGAGCCACAACGTAGCCTGGGGCAGTCAACGTGTACTTGGCGCAGAGAATCTCTCCATCGGGACGGGTCAATTCGGCGAGGATCTCACGGTGCAGCGACACGCCCTTTCCGGTTCCGATCTCCAGGATTCGGAGGTTGGGCTTGGCGTGGCTCAAATTGCGAATAAATTCCCTTCGGTCTACCTGCCCAAGGAAGTCATAGACGTCCGTTAGCGTTCCCTCTGGGAGGACACTCTCCAGGCTTTCGCCGGAGAGGACGGCATCCATCTCCATGCAGACTTGGCGCATGGCACGGGCGACTGGGGCGGCGGGAGTGCTTGCCAACTGACTGATTATACTCTCGATGCGAGCCGAGATAGCCTCATGGTCGAGGCCCGTCCAAGTCGAAGGCAATCTGATGGCAATGGAGTCGGATTGGGATCCAATCCAAGCCATGTGTTTCTGCAGATGGGGCTGAATTGGCTCGCTGACGGATTCCGCAAAGCGCCATTGGGACAAGAGCAAGCAGATGTCTCCCAGCTCCTCCAAGAGACGCAAGTGGTCGGTGCGGCTTGCCGGCGCGCAGGTGAGCTCGTTCACATTCAAGAAGTCAATGTCGGGTCTCCATTCACACCTCGATGCTGCGTGTGAGTCCGAATTGTCCGTTGCAACGGCGCCATCCGCAAGGGACATCCGGATGCCGACGGCTTCAACGACGGTCGCGCCCCCGGATGTACAACGGCCGTCTCCAACGACCGAAAAGTTGCTCGACAGCTTGGCCGAAACACTGGTGATCATATCTGCAGAGCATCGATGGACGGTGACTTTATCGATGCTGGTCGGGAGCCATGTCTTGGTTTTGCGTGCATAGCCCTTGACTGCAGCAGCGCCCAAAATCTGCAGGGTTGCGTCGAGGACGGTAGGGTGGATGTGGTAGTTGGCTTCATCTCCCTGCCTTCCATTGACAACATTCCCAACGGCCCGCTGATCCGAAGTTGAGGTCGTCATTGTCTCGAGGGTCTGGAAGGATCCTCCCAGATTCAGGCCACCTTTGCCCATTTTTTCATACCATTTTCGAACGTTGAGCTTCCGGGGCAGGGCAGCGGGATCCTGGGCCTGCGCGGGCGCCGAGGACTGAGCGCAGACTTCTCCTGTACAGTGCTTCGTCCAGTTGCGCCCGTTATAAGCGGAAACGCTGAACTCCCACCATGCACTATTCAGGGAGTTGGTCAGCCGGTGCGGCCGGAATGTGGCCATCATTTCCGTCGGCTTGCCTTCGCTGAGCACCAGCGCCGTGCTGACAATGATGTTTCGAACACTGAACCCTTCCTCGACGTTCGTCAGTTGTCTGATGGCCTCGCCTGCCAGGGCAATGTAGCCGCAGAATGGGAAGACGATGTTTTCGCCGACCTTGTGGTCGCGAATCCACGGCGCGTTTGTAACGTGGAACATGTTACGCCACACAGGCTCACTGTCACTGCTCTCAGCCACCCTCGCACCAAGAAGATCATGGTACGGGAACTTGCGGTTGCGCCATTCCTTGCTGAGCCGAGATTCGTACCAGTAGCTCCCTTCGTGATTCCATGGATATCGGGGAAGGTCCGAGAGGCAGGAACCCGTGGGAAAGAGGGCCTCCAGGTTAACATCGACATTGACTGAATGAAGTGCCCCGATGGCGCTCAAGAAGGATGCGGTGCAATTCTGGTTGCGCGCCATGGCCGAGACATACGGAGCAGGAGAAGAAGCCTGAGTGAAGATCTGTCTCAGTGGTCCTGCGAGAGCCCCGTGAGGCCCAACCTCAAGGAAGACCGCATTCTTTCCCACGTCGTGTTTCAAAATGGCCGTGACGGCCTCGCGGAACCGGACCGGCGATTCCAGATTGTCCTGCCAGTATTTCGAACGGATTTTGTCCTCGGGACCCAGGACGTTTCCGGTCACACTGGAGAAGAAGAGCGCCGACGGTTCTCTCCCGGTCACTTCCTCGCCGATCAAGGATTGGTAATCCTCTCCGATCTCTTTCATATGGAATGAATGATAGGCCTTGTCAACCTGGAGCAGTCTGGCCAGCATCTGTGGCTGGTCCTCTTTGATAGCCGCAACAACGGATTTCACGGCGTCGACATCGCCTGAGATGGTAACGCTCTTGGGGGAGTTGTCACAGGCAATCGTGACGTTCGGGACGAGGTACTTTTCCGTTTCCGCCCAACTCATTCCAACAGCCGCCATGGTTCCTGCTCTCTTCTGTCTGCTTGTCACGGCTCCACGATGGTGGGCAGCGGTGATGGCCTCTCCAGCCGTGAGAGCCCCGGCGGCGTATGCTGCAGCAATCTCGCCACTGGAATGGCCCACGACTGCGTCTGGGCTGATTCCTGCGGACTTGAGAGTGTCGACCAGTGCAATCTGAATCGCAGTGCAAAGTGGTTGAGAGAACTCGGCCAGTGACAGACGGCTCTTCTTGGCTGGCTTCTTGAGCTCCTCTTCGATGGAGTACTGAGGTTTCTGCCCGGCAATGGTCTGCAGGTGTTGATCGAGAGATCGGATGCTGGACTTGAACACTTTATTCGATCGCAGCAGCTCGCGTCCCATCTGCGGCCATTGTGCCCCCTGGCCGGTGAAGACCATCACCACGCTCGCCGGTTTCGCAGACTTGGAGTTCACCGGTTGGGAAACATTTTCGATCACACCATTACTGACAATAGCAAAAGCTCGGTGCGGCAAATGCTCCCTTCTCCTTGCCAATGTGTAGGCCAAGTCACTGACTTTGTCCGGATTTTGCTCGACCCATGCCTTGTAGTTGTCGATCATCCGTGTGATTGACTTTGACGAGTTGGCTGTGAACAACAGAAGCTGTGGTGTCTCCGGGGTCTCGTGAATGGCAGCCGGGACGTTATGAGTAGCGGCAGATTCGAGAATGACATGGGCGTTTGCGCCACCGATCCCAAACGAATTCACACTGACCCGTTCGAGTCTGTCTTCCGGCCAGGGAAGTGGCTCGGTAGGAACCGTGAGCTTAGCGTCCACAAACGGAATGTTTGGGTTGGGGCTCGTGAATTTGATGTTCGGCGGGATGATACGATGTTCGAGTGCCTTCACCATCTTCAACAAGGACACAAGGCCGGACGCAGCTTCGGTGTGTCCGAGATTGGGCTTGACTGATCCGATGTAGACGCCTTTCTCTCCAAACACCCGGGCCACCGCTCTCGCCTCGATGGGATCCCCAGTCGGTGTGCCTGTTCCGTGACATTCGACCATGGCGGTTTCCGCGAAGTCAGTGATCCCTCCGAGCTCGTACGCTCTCCGCATCAGAGCCTCCTGTGCATCCGTGCTAGGCTGCGATAGTGTTGGAGTCTTTCCGTCCGCGTTGTGGGATGTGGCTCTCACGACAGCTCGAACTGGGTTACCATCCCTCAGGGCATCAGCCAACGGCTTGATGAAGATCGCTGTAACCGCCTCTCCACGAGCATACCCGTTGGCGTCAGCAGAAAAGGTCTTGCATGAGCCGTCACTGGATAGGACTCCTTGTTCCTGCATCGCCATTGACATTCCTGGTGCGAAAATCAGATTGACACCACCCACCAGAGCAGAGCCACAGTCGCCTCTGCTAATAGCAGCGCAGGCCTCATTCAGGGCCACCAGGGCGGAAGAACAGGCCGTGCGAATCGTCATGCTGTTCCAATTGTCAGCACCGAGTGTTTGTTTGCAGCGGCCTTGCAACGGAGATCATACCTCGGCCCTTGCAGGTCAAACTCATACGAGAGACGATTGGCGACCACAAAATCTCCTGAGCCAGAGATGCGATGTATCCCCCATGGCTGGGTCTCCTTGCCAAACATCTCCAGCCAGTCCTCTCCAAAATTACCGATATACGTGCCGATAGTCTTGCCTCTCCAATTGGTCACGCCGGCATCTTCAAAGGCCTCGCGAGCGACTTCCAACATAAGCCGTTGCTGAGGGTCGGCTCGCTCCACCTCGGTTCGTGTCATGGTGAAAAAGGACGTATCCAACGCTCCGACATCGACGCTTTCATCGAGGAAATATCCATACTCGGTCGAGACAGTGCCCGGCTTTTTCGTATCCGAGTAGTACGAGTCAATGTTATAGCGCGATTCAGGCACACGGCATCGACCATCTTTCTTTGTGAGGAGGAAATCCCACAGTTCCTCGGGCGTCGTCAAGCCACCTGGGAGACGACATGCCATACCGCAGATTGCGATGGGAACTTGACCACTGCCATGGAGCCCATGGGCTGCAAGACCATTTGAGCCATTGGTGACACCGTTGGTGGAATGCCCGTTGGTAGTAGCCCCGTTGATGATATTCGAATCCATGGCTACATGGCCGTTCATGCCGTTGCTTTCGTCCATAGTCATCGATGTGAATTAGAATGAAAGCTGCTTCTCTCGTATCAGCCTGGCGGGCCATCTCTGCATTTGAGTTTAAAATGACAGTCAACGTGCTTGTTGCCGACAACGTGCATGCTGTGCCCCCGTGTGGGTTCCGCAACGGCCATGCGCTCCCCGTTCCTCGCAGCCCGGAACCCGTCTGGGCGACAAGCCGCAGCATCTCGGGCCGGCACACCGATGGGGACCAAGTGATGCTTAAATTGGATTATGAAGTATCTCGGCATGTTGACTCGATGTGTTCCTGAGCTTTCTTTCTTCTTCTTTTAGGTGACACGACGCTGGCCGCTGCATCACGCTTGAAGTCTCCACCATCAACAACCTCACCACCATGGCAGCTAACGGCAAAGTCATCTCGGAGATGGTCTCCTGGATCAGGAGCCAGAAACCTGTCGCTCCGCGTATGAAAGATGCCCCCACGTTCTATCGAAATCTCGAGGAGGCGCTAGATGTTCGACGGTCGACCCAGTCTATGATGACCCGAGGACAGAGCACATGGAAAACAGGAGACGCGATTGACTTCTGCTCCAACGATCTTCTCTCTCTCGGACTCACCGGAGAACTGCGAAGGGAGTTCCTGGCCGAGTTGGCAAGACACCCCGACTTCTCACTGCATTCCGGGGGCTCTCGCGTGATGGGCGGCAACTACGACTATATCGAGGAGGTGGAGCAAGAGATCGCCGACTTCCTCGGGGCCGAGACGGCTCTCATGTTTAACTCGGGCTCCAACGGGAATATCGCCATCTACACGGCGATCCCACGGCCGGGAGATGCCATTGTGTACGATGAGCTGGTCCACTTCAGCACGCACACAGGCATGGCTGCCTCGTTGGCCACGACCAAGGTTGCTTTCCGCCACAATGACCTCGACGCCTTTCGAGAGGCCATGTCCTCTACCATGGACTCGCAACCCATGCTCCAGGATGGGTCTCGCTCGATACTCGTGTCCGTCGAGTCGGTGTACAGCATGGATGGAGATGTCTGCCCTCTGGTGGAGATGCTCGAGATTGCTCGAGAGATCTGCCCCAAGGGGAACTTTGCCTTCATTGCGGACGAGGCTCATGCTACTGGAGTGGTGGGTCCCAAAGGTGTCGGTCTTGTCAAGTTGCTGGGTCTGGAGAAAGAGGTTGCGATTCGACTGAATACCTGCGGCAAGGCCTTGGCCTGTACAGGATGTAAGATCAATAGAACCGCATGTATTCCCTGCTCAAGCGGTATAGCTGACACTTTTTGAAGCTGTTGTTCTTGGAAACGCCACGGTCCGAAACATGATGCTGAACTTTGCTGGGTCCCTGGTGAACACCACGGCCCCATCGTTCCCGTCGGTTGCCGTCATTCGAGCAGCCTACAATCTTATGAGAACCGGCGCCACTGAGAAGGTATGCAGCGATTGGCAGACGCACTTGAAGTATCTCCAGGTCAATAATAAGAGAAATTTAGGCTCAAGACAACATACAACATCTCGTCAAATACTTCTTCGAAGCCATTACCTCCAGCGCCATCTGGGACGAGGCCACCGATATGGGGATCTTGTCTATCCCCGTGACAGAGGATTATGAGTCGCGGGACTTTGTGACGCATATTGTCCCTATCTGGACGCGGCAAAAGTACAACTGGTGGCTCTTTTTCCACCTGCAACTGGCGAAGATCGCGGTCGTTCCCATTGACTATCCCCAGGTTCCCAAAGGCAAGTCTCGGGTCAGGGTCATGATCCATGCGGGGAATACGGAGGAAGAGGTGGATTACCTGGTGGCCACGCTTTGCGACTTTGCAAAGGAGATGATTGAGATCGAGGAGGGAGGCGAGAAGGGAAGGATACCGAAAGCCGCGCAGGAGATTTATGCGTTGATGGCCGCGAATGCATGAGCTCGCCTAGATGTGTTCGTAGAAATATACCTCTGTTATATTACACGAAGTACTACGAGATAACTGAAGCCGTCTATCAAACCTACGAGGCATGTCGCATCTTCTTTCCTCGGAATCACCTAGAATACGGACGCCATGGAACCCTCAACTGTCATCGTTCCAAAGATAGATTCATTTGTGCTGCTGCTGACACATGCCATGAAAGGACCTCACAATCCACCGTCACTGACTCTTTCTGCCGGCGAGTGCATTCAATTCCTGCTCGATACCAGACCATGCACTCGTCCGCAATGTGCACGACAGCCACCAGTTCCCAGCTACGTCCTTACCAATGATGGGCCCCACATTTCGCAAAGCAAGACCGCCCAAATGCTGGGTAGGAATTACACAGGATGGTCTGCCAAGCGGATGCACGCGGTCCTTGAGCGCAATGCCCGGAGTAAGAACTGCAGACGAGAAGTCCACTTCAAAGAACCTGCCTCTGTGCCAGTTACTACAGCAGACGAGCAGGGAGGTCGGTTCGCCAAATATCGGCGGATGATCATGTTTCTCTGAGGCGGCCTTGTGAAGAGCAAAGCAGGCTTCGATCTGTGGCAGTGTGCGTTGCTGGACCAGCGAGCGACGGATGTGGGAAGCCACGAAGCTGACCGGTTCACGGAGAATCTGGTGGCTGCGGAGAAAGGTGATGGATACGAGGGCAGCGTTCGTGATGAAGGCTGTGTTCGTGGAGGGTGACTCCTGGAGGGCGGTCGAGCGGATGTCGAACACGTTCAAGATTGATACCATGCGGCCGGGGGAAGGATTCAGCGCCCTAATCAACGCCTTGAGCCACCATGCTAGGAGCACGTCACTCTCACTCAGGAAGGGAGCAGGCTGCTCCTTGTTTTGCTCGGCTAGCTCGTGCAATGCCTGGTTGCGCATCTGGTCGACATAGTGCCCTGGGATGCAGATTACACGTTCATTGTGGCCGCGGTGCCAGATGAGCTCGAAGACGTAGCAGGCGACGAAGACCAACATTCGGAGGCCCGTGAGCAGAAAGGCGCTGTTAACGTAGGCGTCGGCCGGGGTTCTGTCAGTGAACCGCGCTGCAGGGTCCTCACCGACCTGCTGAAAGGTTGGGACCTGATCCTCTTGTCCATTCATGACAGCAGTCCACGCCTTGAGAAAACTCGCAAGGCCCATGGCGTCCATGAGCGTGTGCATGAAGGTCACAGTCAGCAGTGTCGCGTCGCCGAACGACACCACATCAATGACGAGTTGCGGTCGATCCGAATAGAGCCAGTCCTCTATCCTCTTGGGGCAATCAGCAGACAGACATACAGAGGAGAGAACTGCTGGGTCGCCGAGCAGTGATGGCTGCCCAGTTGCCTGGGGGAAACTGGCAGCTAAAGGATGCTCATTGATGCCCATGGGGTATTTGACGACGGTGTAGTTAAAACCAGGCCGTTTCGCATCATACTGCGCTGGAATATGGTATTCCAATTTCCCGTCATCCTGGTGGGTGTTAGGCGAGAGCGAACTGCCAGCGAATGATTCTCATCATACCTTCTTTCGAAGTCGCGCTCCTAGTGTCCGCCAGCCATCCAACTGCAGGAGACGTTCCAGCGACCGGCGCAGTACCTCTGGGTCAAGCACATCGTCGAATCGATAAGTAACATGCAGGCAACAGTCGCGCATGCGACGTTGGTCATCCCATGATGGCACAGGTAGTATCGTGTCTGTGGGATCCCTTTTCGGTGGACGGTGGCCGCTTTTCCAAAGGAAGCTCATTTTGACTCGAATCTGACCACGTCTGTCCTGTACAATGTTGTCCTTGATTGGTATATTGCAGAAAAAGGGGTTGTTAGTATGATAAATATAGAGTAGACCTCGCCAAAGCCCGCCCAGGGGCCCTAGATAGGTCCAAAAACCGAGCCCGCAAAACCCGAGGATGAACCAGCTACATATTCTCATTTGTCTAAGGACTTAGGCTTCATCCATCCTGAATTGAAGCCTCTGTTATAGAATTCTTATCATCCTAAGTCAGATGAATGCTGAAGACTACAGCTCAAGGCTGCATGAAATATGCGTCATGGGTCCTGCATTGTATTTAAGCCCGCGGGCTACCCCAAGACACGGCTTTTGTGAGCCCCCCCGGGTTTTAGCGAGGTCGAATGCACCGCAAACTGGCTGTGCTCTCACTGTTATGTTATAAATAGAGATGTTTGAATGGCTGCAATGTGATTAGTATCGGCTTTCAGTTTTTATTTGGAGCTAACCATCCATGAGAGCACTTATGACAATGAGTTTGAACAGCTGGGGAGATAGCCTCAGATAGACTGACATGAATACTTTCCCTGTCAGAGGCATAGAATGACTTCCTTTCGTTCCGTTGCATCAAAGATTAAATCTCTCAGGAGCCAGCCCTAGGGATGGTCTGGGAGAAGCCAACGGGGGTATCATCCGGGGAACTGCCGAAAGTGGGGAAAGGTAGGAGTTCCAGTGGTTGATGATACCCATATGAAACAAAACATGATTTTGATAGGACCACCAAGAGAATCTTGCGCACGTTGGCTTTTGTCTCCGGGGAAGTCGGGGATAGACTCCATCTCGTTCCGATAGGCACCAGAAGGCGGAAATATATATCAACGCTTATTCCAACATCATCTTGCTACATCTCGATATTATAGCCTCACAGCTCCAGTCCAAAGTTAACCCATTATCACCCATCAATGAAATTCGCATAATGGCGCTTAAAGGTACCGATATTGACCTTACGCACTTCCCCAACCGCCCGCAGTTCGCTGGATTCATGAAGCCTTGCCGGGTGGAGGGGGAAACATCGCAGCTAGAGGTCTACGGCACAGTTCCATCGGATATAGATGGCACTTTCTTCCGCGTGATGCCGGATCCTCAGTTGCCTCCATTCATCGAAAATGATCCGGTGGGAGCAACGTGGCATTCTTTCGAGACGTCTCAGACTGACACAACTAGTGGTTCAATGGGGATGGAAATGTGAGCGCATTCTCGATCCAGAATGGTAAGGTCTCTTTCCGGCAGCGTTTTGTCCGGACAGAGAAATTCATACGCGAGAGGGACGCCGGAAGGGCATTACTTGGTATGTCTGATTCTCGACCGAGTAGAAGCGATGAGGCTGAGTTATCAGGTAAATATCGGAACAAATTCACCGACGCCGTCGAGTTCAAGGTCCGATCAACCGCCAACACGAATGTGGTCTACTTTAATGGCAATCTCCTGGCTCTCAAGGAAGATTCCCCTCCATATGCGATGGATCCCAACATTCTGGAGACACGAGGACTATACACCTTTGACGGCCAGCTACCCAGTATGACCTTTACAGCCCACCCTAAATTCGATCCCAAGACGGGTGAGATGATCTGTTTTGGATATGAAGCCAAGGGAGACGGGACGCCAGATGTCTGCTACTACACCATTGGCCCCGATGGCCAGTTTAAGGACGTTGTATGGCTTACTGCACCGGTGGTGGCCATGATTCATGATTTCGCCGTGACTGAGAACTGGGTGAGTCTAAGCATAATCCTGTCATCAGACTTGGCCTTGTGCTCATACAATCAGCAGGTTCTCTTCCCAATCATACCCCAGGTCTGCGATATAGAGCGGATGAAGCAAGGTGGGGAGCATTGGCAATGGAGTCCCGAAACCCCCTTCTACGTGGGAATTCTGCCCCGTCGGAGAGCTAAGTCTACCGACGTCAAGGTCTTTATCCTTGAATCTCTCTATCGTACTCGATCTAACGCACACAGTGGCTGCGCTACCATAACTCCTTCCCTGGGCACGTTGCCAACGCCTACGAAGAACCGTCGGGCAAGATCATCCTTGACATCGGCCTCAGCGAGCAAAATGTCTTCTTCTGGTGGCCCGACGCTCAGGGAAATGCCCCTGAACCAAGCTCCATCGAGTCTCGACTCACTCGGTTCACCATCGACCCAACCTCAACTGACCTGACACTCTCCAATCCCCAAGTCTTGCAGACGAATAACTCGGAATTCTACCGCATTGATGACCGGTTCGCCACCCAACCCTACCGACACTGTTATTTTGACCTCATGGTTCCCGACCGGACGGACTTTGCGCAGGTCATGCCGAAGTTGGGTGGTGGATATCCGCTCTACAACTCTTTGGCCCATCTGGATATCTCCACGGGAGAACTGGAGGTCTACTCTCCTGGAGAGACTCATATGGTGCAGGAGCCGGTCTTTGTCCCTCGTAAAGGAGCCGCCACCGAAGGAGATGGTTATGTTATTGCGTTGGTGAACAACTACTCCACCATGCTGAGTGAGCTTCATCTCTTGGATACGAGGGATTTCACCAAGGCACAAGCTGTGATCCTGTTGCCCTTGAAGCTGAGGCCAGGGTTGCATGGTACCTGGGTGGACCGAGAGGATATGCAGTAGATGTAATCATTTCTTTCATTAGCATCCTGTCACTGTGGCTGAGAATATTCTCCGTATCAATATTCAATATGCCCCAATCAGGACTGGATATCCTATGCTGGTCTATCTTATAATCCAATGTGCTTCATAATCATTTCTTTCACTTCATGTCTTGGAATCTAACACAGTCTCAAGTTTCCACTCACTCTCACCACATATTCTCGCAGGATGCGAAAGTAGTCATCGGTGATATATCTCCATGGACTGGTTCGCCGGGTGTCATCACCAATCGAATTGACATGCCTCTTACTTCCTTGCGTGCTTCGAGGATGCAGAACTATCACTCTACAGCCATGATTCTCGTTTATTCCCCAGACGGATCGGTTCCTCCACACCGTAGTCCCCGGTATACCCGTTACCGGGACAATCTTGGGAATCTCGTCGGGGTTTCACCGATTAGTGCCTTTATAACCTCTCCATCATAAGCAAGTTGGCTTTGACAAGAACTCTTGTGGTCCCTTGTATGATTCATGGTCTCTTACCTTGACAGCATAGGCAGCCCTTTACCACCAAAAGAGAGTATCACATCGTTTACCTGGGAGACATCCACACCAGCATTTAATTTTGCCGGGAGGTTCATAGTCCAAGTGCAGAATGGACTCAGAGCTATCGACTTCTGATCCTGTCCGTCCCCAGAATCGACCAACGCGCCCCCCGCGAGGTAGCGTTCCTCTGCCCTGCCGTTCTTGTCAATGATTATTTCATACTCGTACGTCGCGACGACGGCGTTGTGCGTGAATCGCGAGACCGCGCCGGAATTGGAATCCACCACGGTGGAGTCCCCATGGCATTTTAAGCTCACGTAAACTTTCCTGTTGTCAGAAGTGAACTGCACCCCGGGGAGGGAGACAGTGAATCTCGTCAGCTGGATATGTGCCAGCCCCTGGAAGGCAGCCTCGTCGAGAGGAATGCAGAACACGAGATTTCCGCCTTGTCGAAATGCCGCAGCCGAGTCGTTGGTTGCGCTGTGCATGGGATGAGTGACGAGACGGTCAAAGGGCTGCTCGATGGCATTCACTGCATTCTCATAGTCGATTACTGCCTGGAGAATCCGGCCTTGCATTACACTCAGTTCGGCCAGGGTGTTCCCGCTCTGAAGGAGTTCATTGAAGTCCTTCAACGTGCGGTATCGGTAGGCCATGGTTTCGTAGAATAACTTGTCCATGACGCTGTCTTTGTAGTTATTATACAGGCCCAGGAGAAAGGTCCGGTAGGGCGCGAGGGTCGGATCGAGCTTGCCGCTTTCCTCGCTTTGCAGCTCGTCCATCTGTGCCTGCGTCTGGGTGATCTGGGCATTCAACTGCAGCACGTCCTCATCAAGCTTGGAGCACTGGATGACCTTGGTGTTCCGCGCATTGCAAAGATTCACGTAGGTTCGTATAGCTGCTCTGTACGCCTGGGCCGCGGGCATACTCATATACGGCGCGAGGTCATCGTCAACTGCGGCAGCATCGGCGGCCAGCTTGGCGGAATCCGGTCCATCGGCCTCTAGAGTCGCCTGGGTCTTGTCCCATTGCGCGGCCGCATCCGAGAAATCACTTTTGAGGACATTTATAGTCTTGCAGAGACTCAAGAAACTTGAAGGTAACGTGCCTGCAAATTTGATGCCCGCCCCCGAGAAAGTCGCTTCATTGACCTTCTTCGCCACATCGCTGACTTCTGCAGGAAACGCTGCCAGTGAGCCAATCATGCTTACAATTCCCTCGAACTTCATACATGCCTCTTTAGCCTCGACCGCCTCCTTGAATGACTTCTCGGCGTTCAGCATCTTGTTCTGGGCGACGACAACTTGCGAATCCAACTGGAGGCACTCCTCCCACAGCTTCTTTCGCTGGTCGATGGTGGCCGCAATGGCATCTTTGTATGTTTGGATGGCCTGACTCCCTGTGTTATAGACCCTGGTGAAATCATTGTACCCCGTTGTTTGATCTTTCAAGTACTGCGTGTACGTGTCAAACACGGTTTGCACCGCTCCTCCGAGCGTCAGCATGGGGGTGACAGTCGAACAATACAGACCAAAGGATGCGAGAGGAACGAAGTTGGCTGCATTGCCGAAGAAGTCGAGCCCTCGGGCCAGTCGCGATAGATATGTCCCCGCTTGACGGTGCAAGCCGTCCCACTTCGGAGCATTGTCAGCTTTCTCACGGTCAGCCGTGAGCCCGTAGATCCAGGCCAGGACATTCTTAGCCCGCTGGAAGTCCCGATCGAGGTAGTGGACCTTGACTACCTGCATCATGAGCTGGAGGTGAGCGAACAGCATACTATCGGCCGCAGCCGTCGCCGAGATATTGTCGATTGACTGGATCGTCACAGTAGCCTTTGTCCCATCCTGGCCGGGGACAACCTGGCCATCGTGGCCGTGCGCTCCGTCAGCCCCGTCGGAATATTGCCCGTCATACACCCACACCTTGGTGGTGGCCCCGTGTCCATGATGATCTGTCCTCCAGTGACCCTGTCTCCCCCCATGCCCCCCTTTTCCTCCACTCGCCCCAGAGCCTGGTTTTCCCGGCTCGCCCGCCTTGCCTCCAATCGCCGTTGCAGAGACGTTCGGAGGGTCAGTGACAGTAAAGACGGAGATAGTGCCTGCGTTGCCTCCATATCCGGGTCTCCCGCCGTTGCCCCCATTTCCCCCAGCTCCGCCACTCCCACCGGGACTCCCCGGATCCTTCCCACTCGGGGTCGGGAAATGTCCAGCGCTTTGTGGCTCATCGTCCTTGCCGTCGCCGCCATTGGCTCCTTTTCCGGCATCCCCGCCCTGCTGGCCATCGCGGCCTTTTCCTCCCGTGCTGTTCAGGGTCAAGGGATGATTGATGCTACCGGCGACAATGGTGATATTGCCTCCTGGGCGGCCGAAATCTTCTTCTCCTATCGGGTCTCCATCCTGCCCATTCGGGTTGCCCTTGTTCACGGCTGGATCATCGCTGGTTCTCGGCTTGGGCGACGGCGCCGGGTTCTGAGGGTCTGGGGGCTGGGTGCTGATGGTTGTGCCATTTGGGTTCAAGGACCGACAGCAGATAGTGACATTGTGGCCAGGAAAGACTAGGCTCCCTTTGCCGGAGTCCAAAGTCAGGATATCGGCATAGATCACACAGTTCTTCTTGGGATCAATCAAATCCGCCGTGAAGGTCAAGTCGCTCGTGAGTATAGTGTAGGTGGACTCTTCCTCGTAGCGCTGGTAGATGAAGTCCTGCGGGATTGCCATGTCGAGACTGATACGGTATCCTTCCAGGATATTCGAAGAGCACCTAGGTAATCGATGCTCCTATAGAGCGAGAAAGATGGTCCTCCTTGTTTCGGAGTTTGCGGTGGGGCCTAGAATGCAATCCGATAGAGGTCAGACTTACGTCAAAGAGGGAAATACACCATTGCTATCGCATCAGGGTTTCTAACAGCTTTAAATGCTGTCTTCTTCTACGAAGATAGTGGGAGAAAGAAGTTCACGCTGTCCTCAATGAGAGGTATAATCCCAAACATGACTTCAACCTTCCTTTCCAACAACGACTAGAGCTTGGTCCTTCTGCAGACATGCTCAGTTCCCGATGTTCCAACAATAGCAGGGCTACCCCGCTGCCAGCGAAGTAGCTGAGGACAAACTTCATCTTTTGCGCAAATCCCCTCGCATATCACATAGAGAGCGGAGAGACAGGGTGGTCCACCAATCAGTTATATCATTGATGTCAAGAGTTTATCCTAAGGTCTTATGGCGCGCAGCTTTGGCCACCTGTTTTGCACTGACAGGGCGAGACCCCAAGGCCCGTCCTTTTCGGCAGAAAGACTGCCAGTAGAAAGATTATATGCTTGGCAATACTGTCGTGATCCGTAACGGGTTGAACAAGTCACTTGCCGCAGATTTCATTTGGCAATTTTCTCCCGATTGATCTAACTCTAAGCTTGCAAATCCGCAGATATGGACGAGTCGGCTCTTGTTGCCTCAACTTCAGATGAGGCGGAGAATGTGATGCTAAAGGACCTCAACCAAGCACTGTCGCGGATTCACTCATACGAAGAGATTCGGCTGTTCATAGCAGGCACACCCAACTTCGGCCATCAGGCATCGTCCGTTAATTTGCTGCTACGCCTGTCCTGGGACTACGCTTATGCAGGTCTGATCACAGTGGTATACGACCCGGGCAACCCGAGAAATGGGTGGACAGTCCCAAAGCTACGTCGACTCCTACACCGCCACATCGATCCTGCGGTCTCGGAAAGCCTGCCACAGCGATTGCACCTTGCGCGGCTACAGTGGTTCTCGGATGAAGAGTTCGCCGCTCGCACCAGCGAAAGAGTAGACTTTGGTATGACGGGGGGTGCCGAGATCGGGAGGATCTATCGCTGCAGCCTTGCGGACATGCTGAATGTGCGAACAGCACTGAAGATGCAACCATTTCAGTGGCCGTGGTGCAGGGATGGCATTGACTTCTGCACCCAAAGCAATCAGCCGCCAGTTGACTTGCTGAGCGACGAGTATCTAGGCTGGAGATTGTTCCACCGGGCCTACCGGCTCCCCAGCGTCCTGCATCATCCGCTGAAAGCCAATTGTCAAAGCAAGAACGATGCTGTCGTGCAGCAGCTTCTCACCGTCAAAGCCCGAGTCTCGGGAACGTCACTGTCCTGCTTGTACGGCGTACGGCGAGAAGGTGTCTGCCGAGTGGACCCGGCCAATCTTCTTTATGTATACTTCCTGGCGCTTTTCCGCGCATTTTCACGACGGGATACGACCGCAACAACTAACATGCCTCACCGCCGCATTCTGGTGGTCAATTTTGACGACCTCTGGAATGACGCCTTCACCAGGCTGGAAGCCTACGTATATGGTCAGGATCCTCTGTCCACGTCTGAACAGCCGGTGTCACTTCCAATCTCCGGAAACCTCTCCAACTGGATTCGTTGCATTCGCACTCCCGAAGACCTACCGGCTGCTATCAACTGGTCGGATGAACCTCGACCGCAAGATTCGGCTTCTGATTGCCAAGCATGCAGCGTCAAGATATTATACGTTCAAGTCGGGTTCGTATCTCCAGAATCATTCGTCGAGGTCCTCCAACACGCCGATTTGCCTACCATATTCGAAGGCCAGCATACGGCATCAGCGGTGGCCTCGCTGGGAAAACCATACCTCAAACTACGGGATTCGGTAATCAATAATCCTTCCCAAGTCCTTCGGATACCAGATGACACCTGTCGGCACAGTGATGTGGTCGACCGAATCCAGGCGGCCAGCCTTAATCTTCAGCTGGGTGCACTGCGCGAAATGGCCCTCGAAGAATCGGTGGAGTGTGTCTCTCATTTGCTTTTCGAGTGTACGGATCCTTCTAGTCCTTTGCACATCTACCTTAATGATCTAGAGGCATACTATCGACAAAGGGGGGCGGATAAGTTCGAGACTCTCCTGAGTGCATGGAACAAGTACGGTTTCCTCAAGCAGTCCGCCGGCATGAAAGGGACCCATGTCGACATTACGCCTGGGGGCCCTGGGAAGCCAAAATTGCATATTGAAGAGACCCGGGAGCTGCTTTTCCAGTTAGGCCTCCGCAACTAGATGCCTTTCGCTCAGCGTTATCGCGGGTAGCTAAGTCATGAGTGAAGGTCTTACCATCGATGGCTCACCCTCCTACACATTAGCTATAGCACGAGAACCGAATCCCTCCGTTACGGATATCATTAGGAAATTTTAAGTATCAAGCAAGATGAAGTACGGAGAAACCACGGCCGGGTAAATCACAAGACAAAGGTATATTTGGACCTCGCGCGCAAGGTGTAGGTATCTGTTGTAGATTGACAGGCGTGACAACGAGCAACTCCATCCCCATGAGCCAAACTATCAAGTAACAACCTACTCCTTCCTCTCGATGTGAACAGAAGCAGTCCCCTTGTCTTCCGATGCCAACATGCCCTTCTCCTTCAAGTCCGCAGCAGCAACTTGACCGACATCGACGGTGTCGTCCCCGTCGAAATATTTGGCAATCTCCTCCATAGGGGTATATCGGGTCTCGATGAGGAAACAATAAATCACAAACACTTCGAACGCCAAGAACACACAGTATACGATGTAGTACTTCCAAGCCAGAGCATCCAGGGCAATGGCATTGATGTACTGATTGAAGAAAAGAGCCGCGGTAACACAGAAGTTGAGCCAGGTGAAGCCCTTGGCACGGAGTCCGTAAGGGAGGATCTCCGTGGTGTAGTTCGCCATAAGGCCCGACCTTCCATGTTGTCAGTGAGGGTAATGAGCATGCCGGGCAGAATACTCACTTGATATCATAGAAGACACCGTACAGAAAGGTCAGGAAGACAAACGCATAGCCGAGCGCTTTGTTCGGTGCAAGTTCATAACGGGCAGATACAATAGTCCATGCGTTGAAGACGACGAAGGTACCCACCGTCGAGACTAGATAGACAGGTCGTCGGCCGAGAATATCAATGAAAAAGGCAAAGACAAAATTGACGACCAAGCCCTCTGTCTTCATGCCTGCATTGATGCCGAGCTGAGTCTGCGCGTCCTTGATACCAACGCTATCCATGACATACTTGAGGTAGTAGGAGATGAGGCCATTTCCACTCCATTGACTGAAGAAGCCGAGAGCCGTAATCAAAGCAATCCGCTTGCGGTTTCCCTTGGACCTCAAAAAGTCTGCCCAGCCGGTGTGACCGATTTCTTTGTCCAGGGCGATAGCTGCTTTGATTTCCGAGTACTCGAGCTGCACAAACTCATCGTTGTGATCACCCTCGGCATGATACTTGACCAGGATCTCCAGAGCCTCTTCGTGTCGTCCTTTGTTCATCAGCCAACGAGGGCTCTCGGGCATCCACCACACACCGGCAACAATGACCACGGTGCAGATGGCTTGTAGTAGACTGGGCAATCGCCATGACCAGTCACTCTAGCAGATTTGCATTAGCATCGGACCTCCTACCCCAAGATCGTCTATGACAAACTTACCGAGATCTGCAAAGTTCCAAGAGTCACCCAGCTGGCTATGAATGCTCCCGAATGGTAGGAAGCTCCGCTCAGTGTGACGAGGATGGCCCGATCCTGAGGATGAGCTATCTCAGCAATCAAGAGAGGCGCACTTCCCAGGACGATACAATCTCCAAAGCCGAGGATAATACGGGCCGCGACAAACATGCCGAAATTCCGGGCACCGGACTGCAGGCCGACGGCGAGCAACATGAACAAACAGCCCACAGCCAACCCGATCTTTCGGCCGGCCCAGTCGATCAGGTACGGGACGATGAACAGACCAATCAAAGAGCCGAGACTCATGGAGGCATTGAAGAGACCGAGGATGGAACCGCGGGGATGATTGAAGTATTCTTGCCAATAGGACAAGGTCTGAAGCCCGTTCATCATCGAGCCGTCAAAGCCATTTGCGGTATTGGTGAGAATCAGGATGACGATGAAGATGTAGAGGGTGCGCATGTTCCGTCGCTTCCACCAGGGCAGGCGGGCGAACTCCCTGCCCGCAAAGAAGAAATGTCCTTTTGGAGGCTTCACAGGGAGGACCCTTTGACTCTGCTTTGGAGGTCGAAGTCGGAAGCGCATGTTGGAGGATTGATATTGAAAGCAGTTGAAGTTCAGACGGCAGACAGAGTCATTCAATGTGAAAGAACAGTGGCCTGTCTTTACAAGCCTGGGGAACGTCCTCTTGTATAGCCTCAGAAAGCCTCATATAACATCTTCGTGGAGAGTATGCATCAATTGACCGGCTATACAGGTACATTCAGCCGCTATCAACCCCGCGTTTTGGTATCTTACCCACGGGGAATCTAGATGCAATCTAGATCGACTACCTATGAGAGAGAATGGACAGGTCAGCTTGGCAGAATCGTATGTGAACGACCATTGGGAGTAGGATTCTACATGGCAATAACGTTTCTGGGAATCTCCACCGGGATAATACTGCGTCCAGCTTGGAAGAGTGATATTCGGCAGATGAAAATGCTCCCTGAGCCGATGCCCAGAGCCTAAGGATCTCCAAGAGACGCCATTATCACAAACTTCCATAAAGGGTTTCTGGGCGCACGAATGACACGACGGACCAACCAACCAGGGTGCCCTGAGAATAGGCTGAATTCGTATTGTCTGACGTTGGCCTCTACGACTGTTGGCAATACGGAACTTAACAAGCCAACACCAAGATTCTGAGCACAAAACCAATGCAGACATAGGCGAACATGACTCTTGGGAGTTCCAAGACTAAATTGATTGTATCCAAATCATAGGCTAATTTAGGTTGTGGAATGCAGATACCGCTCTATCTAGCAAACAACGAGATTCCTAAACTGAACCGCAGTATCCGCTGTCTCTGCCACCGCAAAGACGCCAATTACTGGGCCTGTAAAGTCGGGGCCGGTCAGGTCTAGAGTGTCAATCGTCGATACACACAGCCAATTCCGCTCAGCATCCTGTCCGACAGTGTAGAATAGCCGATACTCCTGCTCCGAATACTGCATTCGAAACGCTACTGACTCCGGCAGCCGCTCGAGTGTCTGCCGCTCTTGTCGAGAAATGTCCTTTGGCTTGTTGATTATGTCAACGACAATAGCAAGCTCTGCAGCGTCATAGTATATCCGGAGGAAGCGATGCTCATCCTTGTAGCAGGCCATTCCAGCCCGCAGCTTTGCCGCACTCCAAGTCGCCTGCACAGCCCGCAGCTCGACACCACTCCAGCCGTCCAATTGGCGCTGCCTCTTTCCTATAAAACTAGGACTGAGCTCAGGATGTGACAGATCGTCGGGTGAGGCAGTCAGCGCCAGATTACTATCGGTACTGTTGGGCAGGGTGTAATTGCTCAGATTGGCATTGCGAATATAGACGTAGTCAACACCGTGGTTGGCGATAAGCTTTTTCCCTTCGTCATTGCTTCGAAGGCCACTGGGCGTCAGCTTGACCTGCTCCAGAGTGAGCCAATCTCCATCCCAGCTCGCCCGAGTCAAAAACGTCTCACGGCCCATGATATAGCGGCCATCCTGATCCTTCCGCACGCCGAGGCAGGTACACCACCATTGCTGCTTGTCGTCTTGGAAAATATCGCAGTGCCCAGTGTACTGGATATACTCGTCGGTGCCGCGTGCTGTAAGTATTGGATTGTGGGGACAGCCCTCGTACGGACCCCAGATATTCCTTGATCGGGCCATCGTCACCATATGCCCTTCATGAGTGCCCCCCTCTGCAATGAGCAGATAGTAATATCCGTTCCGCTTATACAAGTGTGGGCCCTCGGGGTAGATGCCGCCGGTACCGCGCCATATTGTTCTCTCTTCTGAGAGCTTTCTGCCGGTGTTGAGATCAATCTCGAACATATTGATGGTTGTGAAAGGGCCAGGTGCAGCGGATCCTTGGACGTATGTTTTGCCGTCGTCATCAAACAAGAGGCTCGGATCGATACCATTGAATTCGAAATAGACTGGATCGCTCCAGTTGTCGGCCCAGATATCCTCGGTTGAGATGACGAAGTTCTGGCTGGAGTCGCCGGTAGCTGTACGAACCACATTGGTGCATACGACATAGAAGATGCCGTCATGGTATCGGATCGTGGGCGCATATAACCCTCCTGCGGCCACCAAAATCTCACCCGTCTCAGGTAACGGGTGTAGTTCCGTCTGCGATTTCGACAAGCTCAGCTGGGATTGGCGATTGATAGCATTTCCTGGTGGAGCATTAGTCCTGATACTGGTCTATTTCGTGACTGCGAGGACACAAACCTATATGCCGCCACGAGATGAGGTCCTGCGAAGCATAGATTGGCAGACCTGGAAATAGGTGGAAGCTGGAGTTGATGAGAAAGAACCATTCGCCTACTTTGACGACAGATGGATCTGGTGCGAAACCCGCTATGATGGGATTAACTGACGACATGATGATTTAAACCAGTACTGGGGAAAGAGAAACCAAAGTCATGAGTGACGGGACCATGATCGTTATTATTGACAGTAGGCTATGTATGCTACAGGCGGGGTCCGGCTAAAGTCCTTTGAGTCGCCCCGCAGGATTCAGCTTATAGCCATAATGACAGGAATATTTGCGCCATTTACCTGCAAGGAGTCTCGTGCAGGTTATTCTCATCTGCTTTGGTGACTTCAACCAGGCTTCCTCCTACCTCTTCCACATCAACAGCACTTCCGTCTCCTGGCCGTACATGGAACTTAAATAGCTGATCAGTGCCAGCTCGATGCCGCAGTCTCCACCTAAACTAAAAATCCGCCTGGGGGTTTTGCCGATGGTAGATTAACCGTTTATTGAGCATAGAGGCCGAGAGTGCCGTAGTACCATCTGTGGTTGCTGTGACACTTTGTCGAGGACGCACACTGATATCGCAAAAATCTTTTGCAGAAACTCTTGGATCATCCACCACGAAGTGGAAAACAGATTGAGAGCCGTGGTAGACCTTGTCGTCATCTCCAGAGCCTTCCCATTGAAGGTGATGCAGTAGAAGAGGTGAGCCGCTCATTTTTTCTGGACCTTTCCCCCATGTCAATAGCTGTGTCAAGGCTAGAGTTTGGTAACGCGGTTTGCTTTCCGCTAGACGGTGGTAGGTCCTTTGGGTGTGTCAGGCCACAAAGGGCGGCTCCCAATCTCCACGGACGGAGTGAGCCCCTTCGGTCAATCGGCCGAAGTTAAGAATGTTGCCCTTGTTGATGCTGATGAGGACTTGACAATTGGCACAGGGGTCCCACAGGCTCCCCCAGATCCTCCCGGACAGTCGATCATCGTAGGCGGGGGTAATGTGTATGTAGCGGCTCCATAACGCTAACCCATGCACCTTCGCCGCCTCTTCTTCGGTTTTACCCCTATCATTTATTAGTAAATGTTTCTGGGAATAGGATGGGATGCACAAACATCAGAAGTTTGCGGACGGGATATGTCTCCGCACAACGGCCAAACGGCCTGCCCCCATTCCGCCCTCGGGCCCGGATGGTAGGAGTCCAAGCCTGTGACCAATTGGTCAGCTGCAGTAATGGAGACCTAAGGATCCCATACCGAGCCCTGTCCAACACGGGGATATTGATTGACATGGTATTCGATGACAACGAATCAACTGTGGTAGTACGATCTTTTGGATGAAGGGACTCGAGGAGTCCGTTGGTTTGTGTGCGAATGAGTACTCAAGCCAGGATCCCATCCCATCATCGACTGCAAACGCCCCTCTAGAGGCTCCAAGATGGAACTCGCCAGCTTCGGTCCAGCTGCACTGAAAGACTCTTGGCAAATTGTGTCTACCCTGCCTAATCAGCTTTGCACACCACTGTCTGTAGACAGCGGTTAGCGGGAGGTAAAAATTCCTCTTGCTTGCTGCTGTGGGAGCTCGAACTAAACTGCTCATGAAGAGCCCTAAGAGGTCCGGAAGGGCCCAGTATTCCACCCCATCATATGTTGACTTTCTAAGCCGAACTTGCTCCAGGGCAGATGGCCAGTTGGGATGAACCTCGCGGTCGTGGGGTGGTGGCGGGATGAGGAAGTCGGGGCCATCGGGGCGGCTTTTATCTAAGTTAGCTATATTTGAATATAGATACTAGTAGCTTACCGAAGGCGAGTGATATCCTGGTGTATTAACACCAGGTTGGCGACATTCTCAGGGGGAACTCCATATGCACCAGGGCGGCTCGTGATATCCGCTATAATGTCTCTCAAGCTGAAGGTGTACACCTGTCGAAAATAAACCTGGATAACAAATGCTGCGAACGATTTGAATTGCTCTCACTTCTCTGAAGTGGAAGGAACGTCTGAACGGGAAGGAACGGACAGGCCTTGCCCTTCAACCATAATTTCCTCCTCCTGGGGCTCCTCCTCAACTTCCTTCACTGGCCGAAGAAACTTCATCCTTAGACCCTTCTCCCCCTGCGTTGCAAGAGCGCGCAGGATTGCCGGCCAGGTCTTAGGCTTGGTGATCTCCGCGATGTGATCAATCATTAGATCACCCCAGTAAAAACGGCCGCCTGATGTGATTATGTATCCCATATCCCCAGTATCGGGGGTTGTCATTAACAGAAGTTTTGGATCATTTAGGCCATGGCATCGGGCCAGGTAGGCTTCTCCAGAGTCATAATCAAAAAACCCCTCGAGGAGGGCGGGGTCGTTAGTCCATCCTGGTGGCATACCCTCGGCCTAGACACCCATCGATTAGACTCGACGTTGTAGTACTGGGTTGTGGATTATGACTTACTGGTGTTTCCATGATGGGCTCAAAGTTATAGTACCAGAAATGTGTTGACGCTGATAAAAGGGGTCAAAGGTGCATTAGTGAAGAGAAGGAGAGAGAGAGAAGTTATCTGATGTCTAACTTAGTTAATTAATCTGGTTGAGTCAGCAATAATAATGAGTGAATATTGACAGAATCACTTTGGATTCCACCTTTGCCATACCTAAATTTAGAATATGACTGTACACTTAATGTTAAGGAAATCAAATCTGAAGTGAATAGTATACTTTTGTTACGGCACCAACACAGCCGCACTAGCCTAAGGCGGATGAGACAGGCAGAATTACGGAATGCGGACATCCAATCACTCTAAGGAACATGCGGGTGACATAACCACGAACAAAGGTGATTGGATAC